ACTCACCAAAGGCAACATTTCCGTTTCTCATCCAGGTTGCGACCCGGATTTGCTCATATGACGCAAAGCGAGCCACTTCATCGCCCGTGAATAGGTCCCACACAATGGCGGTGGAGCCGGCGTCATACGACACTACCAATCGGCCCGCGCCTCTTTCACTGGTTGTGTCGACAGATATCCACGAGACGTCTTCACGGTGTCTCTCGAAACGTCTTTCTACAGCCAGGGTATCGTGGTGTAGGCACAGGATTACGTTGCGCTGGGCGTAGAGTAGGAACGAACCTGTGGCTGCACAGGGCTCAAAAGCAAATTCGTCCTGGCCGGGCGTCGGGGGCTTGAGCTTGACATCGTTGGAGTGGACCGAATTGCTTTTCATAGAATTGGAGTTGGCGCGCTGCCTCAATCCAGTCGACATGGTGAGAGCTGGATCTGTGCGGAGGTCGGGTGGTGGTTAGTCGGGTATGTTCCGCCAGGGCGCAGGAAGCGCATTCCGGTTGCAAAGAGGCAGAGAGAGAGAGCGAGAGAGATGGGGGAGGATCTGGGGGAAACGCAAATGTAGGAAGAGGAGCGTGCAGGAGAAGGAGGCAAGTTGCAACTCACTGCAGAGAGCAAGAGCGCGCTAGACGGGCGATGCGCGGACAGCTCCACGGCGTCTGGAGGAGGGTACCGCTTGGCCCCGCCTCGGTTGGTAGTTGTGATGGAGCAAGGATGGATGGGTGGCGGGCAATTGTGCAACAGAGCCAAAACGAGCAGCTGAAGAAAAGGCAGACAGATGAGACACAGCAAGCTCAGGAGGGCGACGAAAAAGGACGACGAGGAAGCGACAGGAAGCGCAGACAAAGTGTGCAAGTTGATGCGCGAGGAGGCCCGGCTATCAGTAACGGCGCTTAGGGCAGGCGAAGGCCGAGATGTTTGCTCGAAATAGGACGGCAGAGCATCGATTGGGTATTTGAGAGGCGTCAAAGGAGCTGGGGCAACGCCGCCTCATTCGCGGCCGGGTGTGAAAGGTCGAGTGTGTCGAGAAGAGCATCCTGGGAGCCAAGGTGGTGATGGGCGACGTTAGTGGTTAGGTTGGCGCCGGCGAGCCTGTGCGGACTAGACGGGCAGCCTCTCACAGCGCTGGACAAGGCAGGCACGACGAGCAGCCCATGTGCCTGCCGCACCACCATCACACTTTCGCGCTCGCTCCTGCCCAATCAGCGACCGCCCCAGCGCCCCCACGTGAAAGGGCCCATCCCGCCCTGCCCGTCTCGTCGACTCGATGCCCACCCAGCATACAAGCACACTTACACTACTACTACTAACCACGACGCTGCCCTCTCATGACTCTGAAAATGCGGTGACGGTAGCGCCAGGGCACTCTCATTTCTGCTGTTCATGTGCGTCTCTCGTCCCTGCCACCAGGGAGGGGGCCCAATACACGGCTGCCCGACGGTTCGCATATGTACGCCCGAGCTACTGCACCACAGCACCCACTCGCACTGTGCTTCGGGAACGGCCATGTGAGGTGGTGGCACTGTGCCTGAACAGTGGCTGTATCTGTATCTGCCCAGGTACTGTCTAGTACAACTGCATGTATACACACATACTTACAGACATATCACACCGACACCCCGTACCATGGTCCTTCCGACCTGCCCTGGACCTTGGATGCCACCGGCTCGTATACCTACATAGAGTACTCACATCGACCAGCAAGCAGCCATGTACAACGTGCTGCAGCCTTCCTTGTCCCACTCTACCCGATACAATCCATGCATGGCTATACATATGTATACATGCATACATACATACTTATATTCAGACGCGACGTCGTTTTCGTGCAATCAAGTCCACGCTGCAACTGGCGAGCCCAAGCTTGGTCAATCTGATACGCGGATCCGCTTCCCCGATCCGCGAGGGATGATGTGCAGCACCCGTCGAATCAATGGCAGCGACAAACGGGCAATGATTGCTCCAACACCTGAATCACTTCGTTTCTCACACCGTTTACGACTTGCTGGATGTGTCCTGATGCGATTGCGGAATCGGCCTTGATTCGGGCACACATGCTGGCGTCTGCTGCTAGTAGTCCATTATGCATCCTTCTTCACACTTGACGTACATGTATGCACACATATATCGATACTTACATACATACACGGACAAGGTCCATCGCATGCCATAAGTACTACTAATTTGCAGAGCACCTCGTCACAACCCCATCACATGTCGTCACAGCACCTTTGTCGATTCAACACGCGCAACTCCAAAGCACCTTCAGATATGTAGTAAGAGTGTTATCAATTCTCATTCGTGATCAAAGTCCAACTATGGATGGGGTGGGGGGTGGTATCTAAATAAAGCTATATAAAGGGTGCATGCCGAGCGTGTATGCGTGGGTGTATGCGGGGTATCAAGAAAAATGTGAAGCGAAATCTAAGCCACACGAGAGTTCAAAATCAAACAAACTCTCGCAAGTCCCGTCTCGCAGGGGTGGTGGGTGGGGGTATCCAGAACAAGTGCTTCCAACAACACTGCCAAAAATAAAACAAAAACGCCGGATGTAAATACCCGAATTCCTTCGCTATGCGTCCCAAGGTTCCCAAGGTCCTGTCCTCGATAGGAATAAACTCCAGCCGGCGTTGGCGCATAAGATGCAAAACATGCGGTGGCGAGCTGGAATCTTCCTGTTCCATCTCTTTCCGTCGTGATTCGACGAGGCTCGACTGCGGTCGCAACCGGCGGAGCGCCAGTCGAGCCATGCATGCACAGTGTGCACTTTGCTATTGGCGCAGCATGGGCTGCGGCTGGATGTGAGCACTGCCACAACCTTGACGACTAGGCAAGAATTGTGGCGGTGTGAGATGGAGGCACCGCCTGTCGCGCGTCAGGCGGTACGTCCTAGTAGTAGTAGTAGCAGCCGCCGAGGGTGATGAGGCTGCACGTGATGGGGGCTCATGTGACCTGAGCGGCGCAGGTGGTAGCGCGATGTGCACGCGCGCGCGTGCGCGTGCAAGTGTGATGTCAATGGTTGTCAAGAGCCGACTGATAAACATGCACCAGAACTGCGGCGTGACTGGGCGCAGTCATGATGACTTTGGATAATAAGAATGATTATCACTCAGCAAGTCATGGTGATGGTTGCTCATTCAACCTGCTCGGGTGACTCTGCAATAGGAGTCATGGGCTTGGAGGTGCGGCGCTGCTTGCGGCCACTGCTGCTGCGGCGGCGCTCGCTCTTGGGCTTCTTCTGCGCGTACAGTGGAGGCAGAATGGGAAAGGCCTGGGCCATGGGGGGCACACGGGGCGGTGCTGGTGCCTCCTCGAGGAGTGGGCAAGAAAGGTCGTCGTCGAAGTCCTCACCAAACAGGTCTGCATCGCTAATGTAAGACGATGGCGGACTGCGGTGGTCGAGCGAAGGACCGGTTGGCCATGATGGGTAGGCACACGAAGAGCCTCGGGTGGAAAAGGACTCGGTCGAGTAGGTGCTGTAGAGGGAGCTGGTAGGCGACGACATGTTGTTTCTTGGCGAGATGCTGATGGGGATGGACTTTGAGGGCGACGAGGCTGGTGATGGATCGAAATGCATTGTAGATTGTTGGATGGTGAATTGTGTAAGGGGGGTGGGTCCTGTGTATATAGAGACTTGCGGGCACTTTCGGCGCTAGGTGGTTACTGTGGTTTTCGTGATTTTTTTCGTCAAGCAACGTGTGCCGGCAACTGGACCGAGGGCACGGAAGCTTGGAAGCGGGCTGATGATGTATGACGCCGATGTGGATAGGCAAAACAAGGTTGCCGGTACTAACAGGGTAGCGTCGGGCCTCGTATCGGAGAGTGAGATGGGAAGGGTACGATGTGGCGAGCTGGGGCCCAAGGTAGTAGTTGGTGGAGGATGCAGAGCAGAGCGGGTGCAGGTGGGACGGTGTGGGCTGTTATATGTCGCAGGTTCTACCTACACATACACATGTGCATCTAAGTACACACACGGAGGGGTCAGGCGTTCGAGTCAGGCAAAGCAATTTGCAGTGTCGCGGGCGAAGATCAGAGGGCGGTCTGGCCATGGGGAAGACGGAAGGCTTGTTCCATATATCTGCCCGTCTGAGAGTTTGTTCCTTTATTGCGCCTTCGCTCCGGACCGCGTTGAAAACGCCTGGCTGGCCCTGGGCGCAGTGGGCATTGTGTGATTTGCGTTTGGGGGCACGAGTCGGTGAGCGACCGCTCTTTGCAAGGCGAGGCCTGTGGTTGGCGGAACCACGGCTGCGCAGACCGCTCAGACCGCTCAGACCGCTCAGACCGCCCCTTTGCAAACACTGCCCAATTCCGGCTACTGCTACCGTCTGCCCCGTTCTCTCCCGGGTGCCTACAACACACACAGACACACACACAGACACACATGCACATGCAAACCCGCCAGCCGAGGGTGCCACCCCTCTCCGCCCTGCGACGCCAGAAGAAAGCCGAAGGAAGAAAAAAAATCAAGAAAAAAAAAGAAGGCCAGGAAAAACCTCCCTATTGACCACGCCTGTGCGGACACATGGGTATGGGGGCGAGCGAGGGGGGGTGCATGTGTGTGGGTGTGTATGACAGTGACAGCGGAAACAGCGCCCACGACTCATCTGCACGCCACGCCCGGCTCCTCGCGAGAGCATATGCGGATAAGATTAGTGGTTTTGCCGCATACAGTAAGGGGCCAGACACAGGATCATCTCGGGGATCATGGCAGAAGAAGAAGGGAGACCCTTTTTGCCCTACGCCCTTGTATACACTGACTCCCCACGCCCACGCCCACGCCGCTACCTTCACCCGCCGGCTTCTGGCATGGGCAAAAAGGAAGCACAAGCGCACGCCCCCGGCTGCCTGTCCGCTTCTCCGCCCTGCGAGTGTGAGCGCCATGCTGCTGCTGCTGCCCAAGAGAGCGAGCGCACAGAGGCCAATGAATTTAATCCGTCCTATGCCACCTCGTCCCGCTCGCCTGGTGACTCAGATGCGTGGGCGGCGCCCTGGCTGCTGGCTTCGGTAGGTGACTCGGCTGGTTGTGCCAGCTGCTAGCCACCCATCCACCCACCCACGCAGACACATGTCGAAACACTCGGCCTCGATAAAGCTTCTCCATGTCTCACGGGCCACGGCTGACGCCTGCGACCTGCGACTTGGCCTCCCTGGATGCCGCAATCACATGCAGTTGCATGGCCGATCAAAGGGTCCAGTGGATAGATAGATGGTCGGTCGTCATCTCTAGCCTGCGGGGGCCTGTCACGAGCACGCAGCGAACCAAGAATGCCTACACCCAGGCGCAAGTGCACTCTACTGCTACTAGCAGATACTATAGGTGTAGAGTCGGCAGGTCCTTTTTGCCAGACTACACCATGTTCATATATGTACCTTGCCACCGAGTCGCCGTGGAACAATACTTGCCGGCCCGACATGTGTCTCTGGCACTATGCACGCCATGAGTACTCACTGGGGACTGGGGGGTCAGCCGAGTTGCCCTTGCACTGGAATAAGCCCGGCCCAGCGAAACCCTCCGTGGCCACCCTGCTGATGCGGATCCGGAATCTGGGTTGGGACACAATACTCCGAGGACAGTATATTGTAGTCTGTAGTAGTGGTCGTACTGTGCATGTAGTACTACTAGTAGTAGTATGTAGTAGCAGACCTGCGGACGGCTGACCCACAGCCCACGGGGCCCCCCTTTTCGCCTAGCGTCACCCACAGCATTTGCTCAAAACATTTGTTTCAATCAGCAGCCAGCAGAGAGTAGCCATCAGCCATCAGCCATCAGCCTTGTTGTGCTATATTCAGCCTGTAGTGCAGACGCAATGCCACAAGGCCCGTCCTTCATCTCGACGGTTGTCCCGGACACGGCCTGCCTGTTACTATAGCCGTTTTGCCTGCATCCGGCGCGTGGCACTTGGGGTCGTCTTGCGGTGCGTGCGCGCCCGTGCGGATCTGGGGATGGTTCTTCCACTTCCACTTCCATTCAGAGCTGCTCCGCTTCCATTCTTCCATGGAACCGCCGCTAGAACGCCGGTCGTGCGCCTCGCCTCAAGTGCCCACAAATACTTGCATGCACACACACACACATACCAAATTGCCATGATAGAAGCTGCGCCATCGCGATGCTCTGGGACCTAATACTGGTTCGCTGGCTTGAAGTTATTCTAGAGCCACCACTACTGCTACCAGTACCGTAGATTGGCCTTTCTGCCACGTTGCCTGCCACACCTGGCGCATCTGGTGCGCGTAGTGCGGCGTCTATGTTTGGAAGGTGCGGCCAAAAGGGCAAACCAAACCTTGTGCCTCGTCTTCTCTGCATCTGTCATCCCGCGGGACTATGGCTCCGTTTCGAGTTTCGAGTTTCGGGAGCCACATGCAGACGCTGACGCGACAACCAAAGCACAAGCAAATGCAGGGTCTGCACCCTTCTTCCCCCAGCCAGCTCCAGCTCCAGCTCCAGCATCCGCGTCATGAGCCAACAAAGTAACTTTTCCGCGGCATGTCGCCTCTCCCTCTCCCCTCTCTGCCTTGCTCTCCCCCTCGCGCATGCGATGACGCTGCCTGTCCCTCTCAGTCGCAATTGCACCGACATGGCTCCGTGCTGCAGAACATGCAGTCCGTGTTTGAAGTTTCTGTCGAATCCCCACATGGCGGCCGACAAAGACGTGCACTCGAGTGGACCGGAGTGCATCATCGTGCTGCTGCCCTAGAAACTTTTCATCGAAGGCGGACAAGTGGGCCGACAAAAAGTCACTTTCTTCGCGCTGGCTGGGAAAAACTCGGCCTCCGATGTGGACACACGTGCAAGGCCTGCTTCTCCCTCTTCCGACAAGTTTTCGTTGGGCACGCTGCGACTCATGTGGCTGCGCAGTGATTGGCCCACAGCCACTGGCGAAAACCGGCCGGGTGCTGTGGCTGTGGAGCTGTGGTTGCACGCTGCTGTTCGTCTTGATGCACTCGAATACTACTAACTAGGTGTACTGTGTCGTATCCAGCCCGCTCGGGTGGAGACCAGCTTGAATCAACAATGCTCGGGCACCATATTTCATTTCGGAATTTTTCTTTCGTAAAAACAGGAAGGGAAAAATCCCTTTGCGCGCCAGAAGAAAGCACATCATCCGGCCCTTGAGCGAAACCAACCTCTCTGTTCATGGCAACCCCACGCGGTGCTCATCTACTTTCCTATCTGGGCAGTAGAACCGCCCACGGCATTGATAGGCAGCCGCTGCTGCCCTGCGTTTGTATGGTGGCACAACAAACGGGCGGAGCGGAGTCTAGGCCGTATACACATACACTCTACACCTACACTCTACCTACTATCCGCCCTTGACATTCATCCGGTGGCTGCTGCACACGGAGAATTATCACTGTGAGCGAGCATGTGCACACAGGTAGTCTGTACGGATGCAGTGCTTCTACTAAATGCCACGGCAAAACATTCGCTACCAACACTGCCGACCCGTGCGGGCGGTCACTTTCTCCGCACTCGGCTTTGCGACATGCCATTTTTGACTTGTCGTCTTTGCCGCGGTAGGCAGTTCACTCGCAGCCGGAATCTTACTGCATACTAGATGGCGGGGTATTTGTTGCCTCTCAAACCATCAATGAGACGACGACTGACAGTCAGCAACCCCCACCCACACATGCATCCCTCACCATGAACCAGTGTAAGTGTGTATCAGCAGAACAAATATGCTTGGCTTTGCATCTTGCGACAAAGCGAACCCCTCTTCCTCTGCCGCCCCCATGAAAAGAAGCAAAGTATCGCAGCACCGGCTCATCGGGAGGGAAAAAACAATACAGCCAAACTCCCCCAAGGATCGATTGATCGATCGATTGCATACATGCAAGCCTGTTCCCAAAACATAGTCTCAACATATCAAAAAACAAGATCGAAAAGATGTCAAGAAAAAAATTGAGTGCTCGATTAGGCCCGCAGCGGGAAGGACTGGGAGCGGTGAGTCACCGCCATGTTTTTTGTTATCTCGAAATGCAAGGTCAAGGCAAGGCATGCAGCATGCAGTTGTGTAATGCATTAGTCGGGGCGGCAACAGCAGCAGCAGCAGCAGCAGCAGCAGCATGCGGTCTGCGGCATTCCCGCTTGTGGCGCATAAACGATGAAACACAAACACACACTAGATTCAGGATATGATTCTCCGATCCTGGTGGCCTCGACTGTTGAGGGATGATGTGTCATTGCTAGGGAGTAAGCATCCAGGTGATGCGTGGGCACGATGAGTAGTATCGTGGTGTTCAACAGTGGGAGGGGGTACGAGGAGTCATACTTACATATCAGCACCTTTGTTTGCCTTGTCTTTGTTGTCAACCCTGCACGTAAGCCTGTGCGCTGAATAGGGCAAGTTCCACGAAAAAACAAGGGATTCCGCAGAGCCCATGTTTGCAATTATCAGTCATCTGCGCGTGCGCTTGGGTAAGACAGCATTTTCCTTTCTTCTTTTCACTCCTGGGTAATACCCGAGAAATAGAGGGCTCAGCATGCCCTAGACTGGACTAGTATTCATCCTCTGCTCCACATACTTAGATGTGTATTTTCCTGCATCTTGTCCGCCATGGTCCGCATGGACGTTGCGCCTCTTGCTAACCGATCTCTCGCTACCCACACGCCCGCCCAGGACAAAAGAATGTATGCATACAAGTCCGATAACGCGCAGTCAATCTCTTGGCGGTAAAGAGTGGCTGCGGGGAAGATCGGGTCTCTCACTCCTTGGCTGCCGGGGAAAAAGTACAGAGAGTGGGAAACCGGGTACTGGCACCCGCACCCGACGTACTATAACAGTATGAGGTGATGTCATGCAGCTGAATGTGTGGTCGCACACGTCTACGTGTTTCCTACTATGTATAACCCTGGCTTCTTTCCAGTTGTTTCCTTTTCTCCTCACGCCTCATCACCAGTCGCGCACTCTGAATACGAGATGATATAATTGAGAAAAAGAGAGAAAGAGATAGAGTGAGGGGCGCTGACGTCATGTACACAACTATTCAACTCTACATACTCCGAACATGCAAGCGGGTACTACAATAGGGTGAGGAATAGCAGCAGCCCCCGGATTGATTCGGAGAGAAGAAGGAAAAAAACTCCCCGAAGTCCGGACATCCACTTCCAGCAATTTTCTTGGCCTTCAATGTCCATCTTTGCTGGGTTACTCCTTCATTCGCTCGTCTCATTCCTTTCTCGTCCTGTCCTATCTTTTGTTCGGCCCTATTTACTCCGCAACTGTGAGATGGGCCGAGATAGACCTTCCCCAGTCCCCGCTATGACGTCCTTTTTCGTCTCCATTACTCCAGACATGGTCGGATGCACAACATCAGCGGCTGGCGGTCAAACAGTCATGGCACGTACCCACCTGTGGGGAGAGACTGTGAGAACAGGGTGTTCGCTTTGCCACAACCCCCCCCCCCGACAGTGCCCACACCATACGAAAAAAAGTCCCCCTTCCTGGATCTGTTTCGTCATAATGGAGTTGGGCCCCTGTGAAGATCGAGAAAAAAAAAGAGGGAGAATGACGAAATAAAGCAAACATGTGCATGTATGCGTGTGTGTGTTTTCAGATTACACGTACTCCGATACTGACACCTGGAAAAAAAATTCCACTCCAAAATGAATTGACTATTTGCTACTCTATAGTCTGAATACTCTTCAGTTCTCTGCACTTCCGGCCTTGACCCAGTAGCCGTCCCAGTTGTACTTGAGCACCTCGTTTCCCCATGATGTCCAACCACTGACTAGGTAGCGAGAAAACACCTCGAGCGCAGTGTAGTCTGTTGGGTCCACCAAATAGGGTTCGAGCAAGGACTTGAGACAGGGCTTGCGTGAGTGTACATCTGGCACGGCGGCAATGACTCTGCGCTTGACCACCGCCGCATGTGCCATGCGTGTCCACGAGTTTGGTGCTGCACGACCTAGCAGCAATATCTCGTAGGGCTTGCGCATGGGGCTGTCAATGTCAAACATGGGCTCGCCTTGGGTCGTCGTCTTGATCCATATCCATTCTTCCATTAGTCCCACGTTCCACGCCTCAAACAGACCGCCAGCGCCGAGCACATGATGCTTTAACGATGGCTTGTTGGTGACCCAAACGCCCACCAGTGCATTGTGTTCCAGGTACATGTCGAGATGCATATTGAGTAGCATTCGCTTGAGGTACGGCATACCTCCGACCTGCTCGTAGGCGCCTTTGCGCTTGGCCGACCGATTGGGCCATGGTGGATCTAGTAGTACAAGGTCAAAATGCCGTGCAAGGGAATACTCGTCAGTGAGTCGACGAAACGACGAACGGAAGGCATCCGAGGCAGTCGAGTCGCTCAGAAAGAGGGTGGCCCGCGGCGGGATGGTGAAACGATAGTCTTGAGCCGGGGAAGCAGATTGCAACGTCCTGTCAGTGATTGTGGCTTCGAGTGAGTGGTGGTTGGGATTGTGAAAGGTACATGTCCATGGCAGCGCCTGTGTCTCTTGGGTGACGGTATCGGCGGCCTGTGTATTACTTTCAATCTCAGGTGCATGCCGGTATGACAAGATGAATTTGTCTGTGACTGCAGCCGAATCTGCGGGCTCAGATGCTGCACCGAGCGAAGCCATCATCTGCTGCAGATTGAAAGCCATGTCGTCTTGTTTGGCTTGGCTCCATGAGGCCCACTCTCGCATGCGCGACTCCAGATTCTTTTCTGTGGGGCCGTCCATATCCATAGCCTCGTCTTGTGCACACAAAGACCTCTGGGTCATGAGTTGACGGCGCATGCACCATGGCCCCGAAACGTGTGCACGTATTTGGGCGAGTGCATACTCAACAAGGAGTTTATACCCAGAATCGTCAAGATAGAGGGACTGCAAATCATGCTCATTCTGCTGCGTGCTGTCGCCATGCTGGGCTTTGGCCAATTTTGCCTGTGTTTTCTGTATCTTGGGCTCGTAGTCTTGTTTGAGCTGGATAGGCGCTTCTAAAGGCGCAGTGGACAAGAGGACGTCAGAGCGGTCGCCTTGGGCTGCCACGATAGACGCCGGTATGTCCACCAGAGTGATGTCGGCGTTGGCATTCTGAAAGATGACGGGGTTTGGCACGTGAGGGGCCGACTGCACGGTGGAAGAGGCGCGTGGTGGTTGTGGTTGTGTGGAAAACATATCCGATGGGTAGCGTCGGGTCGGATGTGGAGCGTCGAGTGTCTGGGCGGCCGGAGGAAGCAGAGCAGCCTCGGCAACGTCATTGCCGTGGCCAAACCATGCACACCACACAACCACGTCCGCTTTTCTACTAATCACGCCCTGCCTATCCTTGACCACAAACACCCCCTCATGTCGCGGTAGCCCATTCACGTCCGTTTGGAATGTCCACGCACCTCCTCCGCCATGACGGAAACACGCCGAATATCATGACAATGACTGCCGCGCAACCCTCCCGCGCAACCTCCATCATTTCCAGCCATGAAGCCGCTCCACCACCCTCGAGGAACGAGCAGACGAATATGAACAACAAGGAAAAGAAGAAGACGGACAAGAAGAGCACCGAATATGTCATCAAGAGCGGGCTGGCGGGTGGCTTCGCTGGATGTGCGGTATGTTCCCCAGGCCCTGTATCTTCAACTCTCCATGGCATCTGCTAATGTGCATACGGCAGGCCAAGACGGTCGTAGGCCCCCTCGACCGCGTCAAGATCCTATTTCAGACGCGCAACCCCCAGTTTGCTAAATACACAGGCTCCTGGGCCGGCTTCCCAGAGGCCATACGCGACATCTACGCCACCGCCGGAGTGCGAGGTCTGTTCAAGGGCCACTCAGCCACCCTTCTGCGCATCTTCCCCTACGCAGGCGTCAAGTTTCTCGCCTACGAGCAGATACGCGCCCGTGTCATTAAGAACAAGGCACAGGAGACGCCCGTCCGCCGCTTTGTCTCGGGCAGCTTAGCCGGCATGATGAGCGTCTTTTTGACATACCCGCTCGAAGTCATCCGCGTGCGCCTGGCCTTTGAGACCAACGAGAACGCACGAAGTAGCCTGGCCACCATTGTCCGCAAAATCTACTCGGAGCGGGCCCCCCGCGTCCACCAGCCGGAAAACCCAATCACCGCAACTGCCACGCACCTTGTCGATACCGTCACCCCACGCTCCGGCCTCCCAAATTTCTTCCGCGGCTTCACCCCTACTCTGCTCGGCATGATACCCTATGCCGGCGCCTCGTTTCTCGCCCATGACCTCATGTCCGATTTGATGCGTGTACCCCTACTCGCCCCTTACACTACCTTGCCCAACACCTCGCGCGAAGAAACAAGTACTTCGACGCATAAGCCCGCCCAGCTCCGCTACTGGGCTGAGCTCACCACCGGCGGCATTGCTGGCTTCGTCTCCCAGACTGTCTCGTATCCGCTTGAAGTAATCCGGCGGCGCATGCAAGTCGGTGGTGTCGTTGGTGACGGCCATAGATTGAGCATGCCTGAAGTGACAAGAAGGATTTATCTTGAAAGAGGATACAAGGGCTTTTTTGTTGGCTTAACGATTGGTTATGTCAAGGTTGTGCCCATGGTGGCAGTCAGCTTTTATGCATATGAACGTGGCAAATACTATTTAGGAATATGAAACATGAGAATTTGCCCATGTCGATTGATGAAAATGGTGGCGCGCGTGATATTTTTACGGGCTGGATGCATCAGTAAATGACACCGGTCTCACTTGTTTCCTTGCTTGAAGATTTTTCAAGCCGGAGAATGTGTCTTTCCTAGCCAACATGGCATTCCATCTCTACCCAGACCTCAAGCACTCATCATTATCTAGGGCCTGTTGTTGTTGTTGTTGTTGTTGTTGTTGTTGTTGTTGTTGTTGTTGTTGTTGTTGTTGTTCATAATTACATCAATATCGTAAAAGAAAATGTATTCCGATCTAATATCCCTCCACGTGTGGCGGAAAACCCTGCGTGGCGGCATGCCAGCAGTGCTCCCACCACAACAAAGCCAAACGCAGCAGAGAGATGCAGAGAATCTCGGGATAGAGTCCTTAGCCTTAGAGCTCTCTCTACATTTTATCTCGTCGCCTATAAGTCCCTGCTTAGCTAGCAATACTATAACTCACTACCAGTATATACTACAACCCCGCCTCGGGCAGCCTTAGACGTGCTTAAGGTTTAACGTATATATTTAAGAGTTCGCTAAGCTATACAAAGACGAATAAATAGTGTATCCTAAGCGAGATACTACGGTATTCTAGGTTGCGGTGCTGTTACGCAAGTCTATTGCTCTACAGAGTGTAACGACGTTACAACTTCGCCAAGTATCGGACCAATCCCAGAGCCGGATCGGAGGTAGTATTCGCCGCCCTCTTTATTAACCACTCGTTGTGAAGTTGGATCCGATTCGGATCCGACTAAGACAAGTATATAAGGAGACACTCCCTGTAGCTAGCTCTGTAGACTTTTGATATCCTTTCGTACAAGGCCTATAGGTGTCTATTCGAATCAAGGCTCGTTTGATGTCCCACGCACTCCCATATGCCTCTGAGTGACACTACCGCCGATACTGATCCGAGTAGTCTTGCCTGCGCCGTTACACAGAGCAGAATTGATAATTAAGGCGCGCTACTTACAGGCCGTATAGAAATGCTATAAGCGGCTTAGCGGTATTCTACCTGCGCTAATACTAGACCCTTGTTACGCGAGTGTTATTTTAATAGAGCTACCTAACTAGCGGCCAAGGCTAAGACTAAGCATGACTCGCTTATAACTACTTAAATATATGCTCAAACGCCGCACTAGACTCCACGCATGCCTGTTTAAGGAGAGGATAGTAGTAAAGGTAGAGGCTTATATATAGTCCTACAGCAGCGTCGGAATTAGCTTAGAGTAGTTAGTACACATATAGCGTCTATCCACTCGTAATAGAATAACTACGTTCTACTAGAAGCTAAGAAACGATACACGCCCTAAATAGCACCCTAGACACATCATGTGCCCATACACTGCCGTGACGCAGTTCCGATACTGAGGAGGAAGCCATAGAAACCGCCGTGTTTGACGCAATACCCATTCTCCATCTACTGCAGCATATAGCAGTTCTTGGGCTAAAAGGGCGGATACAACAACCATAAGATCTAACGGTAGGGGGATATCCCCTTTGTCTGTGTAGAGGATCAGGCCATCTGGCGAAAATGCGATGTGAAAGATAGGTGAAGGCTGATCTTCTAGCACGCTGCGACAGCGGCCTGTCGCTGTCTCCCACACCCGCACTGTCCTGTCGTTGGATGCTGAGGCGACTAGCTGTCCGTCTGGCGAGAGCACTACCGCCTTGACCCAACTTGAATGGCCCTCCAGCACGCTGCGGCACTGGCCTGTCGCTGTCTCCCACACCCGCACTGTCCTGTCGTCAGATGCTGAGGCGACTAGCTGTCCGTCTGGCGAGAACACTACCGCGTTGACCGAATCTGAATGGCCCTCCAGCACGCTGCGACACTGGCCTGTCGCTGTCTCCCACAACCACACTGTCCTGTCGTCAGATACTGAGGCGACTAGCTGCCCGTCTGGCGAGAGCACTACCGCCTTGACCGAATCTGAATGGCCCTCCAGCACGCTGCGGCACTGGCCTGTCGCTGTCTCCCACACCCGCACTGTCCTGTCGTTGGATGCTGAGGCGACTAGCTGCCCGTCTGGCGAGAACACCACCGCGTTGACCCGACGTGAATGGCCCTCCAGCACGCTGCAACACTGGCCCGTCGCTGTCTCCCATAACCGCACTGTGCTGTCCCTAGATGCTGAGGCGACTAGCTGTCCGTCTGGCGAGAACACTACCGCGTTGACCGGATGTGAATGGCCCTCCAGCACACTCCGGCATGCGTCCCACTCTGCATCTCTCCCAGAAATCACTCTCACTGCCTGTGGTACCTGTTCAATAAACACCTTCCGCACAACGCTTGACTCGGGCGAGAAGAGAAGGGCTGATGAATATATCTGGAGGGGGGCCTTAGCCAGTATTGGTACGAATCGCAGCACAAATCGGACGGCATCGTGGAGGAACTTAGCAACGACACTATTAGACGGCTATACTTAGGTCAGCATAAAACACGATAATTTCTTGGATAGGAATGCTCTACCGTCGCTAGAGCCTGCAGCCTCGCTAGTAGTCGCACGCATAGACTCGTTTCGTGGAGCAGGCTCATAGCCTCCAGCCAGTGAAGAAGGTGTTTCTTAAGGAAGCAGTGGGTAGTGTCTCCGTCTTTAATACTGCGCCCGCTGCGCTCGAGATGATCGACCCAGTAGCGGCACGCGTACTGCAGCTCTGGTGGCAGGTTGCGATGAATTGTCTCTTCGTCGATCTCTCTCCGTAAAACTCTAGGATCTGAGAGATTGCACATATCCTGTCGAAGGCCACTAGGCGTAGACATAAGCTTAAGGCAGCAATGCGCTAGCTTCTTATGGGTGCTCTTCTCGTCTACATAGAACCTGTCGTCGCCGCATCTCTTGCTATCGAGTAGGAAGTCGCGGAACGATGGATGGTGCAGTTGGACTGGCCGGTTTCTATTGTTTGGGATGTCGAGAATCGCGTGGAGATCTTCTAGTGTTAGCCGAACCCCTTCTACAACGTCAAGTAGCTGATCTAGAGACTGTGCAGAGAGAGGAGAGAACAGCACTGCTATGCTGCCAACAATGTATCGGAGTGCTCTACATTGCTCCTCTTTTTCTTCGTCTGCATAGTCTTGGATTGAGTTCTTTAGCACTGTAGTGTAGATCTCGTTAAGGTGCCTCTCTGGGGCGATAGAGGTAGCGTCTCTATTGCATAAGATTGTCTCTAGTCTCTTTGCTGCGAACCGTTTCCCTTCTTGGATAAAGCGACATGCTGTTGCAGCCCAGATAAAGAGGCCGCCTGCACTCTGGACCAGCTGCACAACGATCTCTGCACCTGGCCAGCCGGCGCACAGACAACGCTCCTGTGCGATAAGCTGGAGATTGTGTTCTAGGAAGAGGGCTATGTCACAGTCAATAATAGACCGCGATATGTTGTGCAGCACAACGTCCTGGTGCTCCGCCTCAGGAACCTGGCGGAACCCATGTCGGATCGGCACCTCTGGCCTGCTTGTTAGCAATACCCGCACCCGGACCTTCGTTAGTGATCGAGCCTTAGCCAGCAGCTGCACAATAATGCGGATGTTGCTGTCGTTATCACACTCGTCGAGCGCATCGATGACTATGATGTATCTTCTTTGCCCTGCTTCTGGCTCGTGCAGCTTCGACAGCGGGCGGAGAACGAGATGCTGCCACTGGTCGCGCAGAGACTGGCTAGCAATGTCGTCGCGCTCTACAACTGCGTCGCTAATGTGCTGCTTTAATACTGGCACATTACGCGCAAGCTGCACCGCAAGGCTCGTCACAAACTTGCCTTCGTGGCCTACGTCGCCGCCGCCGCGCGAGAAGAAGAAGCTGGCCGCTAAACGCTGCTTGTCGTAGTAGCTGCGCGCCACCGTCCGCGCGATTGTCGACTTGCCTGTGCCCGCCAGACCGCTCAGCCAGAAGATGCACCGCTCGTCTTGCCCATCCGCCCAGCTATATATCTCTTGTAATAGGTCGACGCGCGTGTTAGGGAGGCATATAGGCTCGTGCTGCTTAGCGTATGAGTTGAAGGGCGCATCTTCGGCGCGTGGGAGACGGTCGAGTGTGTTCTCAAGTCCTATTTGACGTGTCTGCTTAGCGCGTGCCATGTCTACCAGACGGCTTAACGACCCTCGGACGGTCCCGCGACGTACCAATATGGACAGAGCCGTTGATGTTGTTAGCTTGGACGCTCTTGTATGCGTTGCCAAACGCTGTGTTAGATGTCGTAGAGGCCATAGCATCTCTGTAGAAGAGCATGCATGATTAGTGGTGTATACCGTGACAGAGTATGCGGTGATGGTCTGCGGCACAGCATCTCCTCGGCCTCAGCCTGACGACTTCGAGCAGTCGCTTGTGGGGTCCAAGGCTGGAGCGAAGCACACGCATGCGCTTGGTTGCTTATCTGTTTGCTCCACCATCCCTCGTCGCATTCGCAGCGTACCCAATAGCCTTTAGTCACGTAACTAGTTATACTAAGAGAATCTTCGCGACGTTATAGACGCGGACAAAGTCATCTAGTTAGGCAAGTATCTTGCGCAGCGAACGATGGAAATAAAATTAACTTAAATAAATAGACTTTAACGCATCCTATTCTTGCTAGTCTTAAGAGATAAGATAGGAAGAACTGCTATAGGTAAGTAAAGCAAAGAATTAGTGTGGCGAGTCGGGTCTCCACATCGGGATCGTTTTTTCTTAATAACTCTACCAAAACCTATCTAATCAAAACTTTTAGTAGCTTATTTTATAGCTCTTAAGTAGAGCTATATCTTTATTTAATATAGTAATAGGCTAACTCTAATAGGTAAAAGGTTATTTAGCAACCCGTCGTGCTAAGAGTCGGGTCTCCTCATTTCACCCCGATCACTAATAACTCTCTATCTATTATAGTTAGGTTATTAGTATATTAGGCGAAAATATAGTTCTACTTAAGGGCTATAAAATAAGCTGCCTAACTCTGTAATATAATACAAACTAGTTAAGATATTTATGTTTTAAAGATCCCGAAGTGGAGACCCGTTTACCAGCCTACTTATAAGTAGCGCGCCTTAGTTATTAATCCTGCTCTATAAAGCAATAGACTTACGCAACAGCACCACGACCTAGGATGCTATAGTGTCTCGCTTAGTATACACGCTCTATGCATTATTATATAGCTTAACAGAGTCTTAGAAATATACGTTAAGCCTTTAGCGCGTCCGAGGCTGTCCAAGGCGGAGCCGCCGTATATACTAGCAGCGAGTTGTGGTATTACTAGCTAAGGAGGAATTTATAGGCAACAAGATTAAGTGTAGAGAAAGCGCTAAGGCTAAGGACTCTATCCTGAGATTCTCTGGATCTCCCCGCTGCGTTTGGCGTTGTTGGAGTGGGAGTATTGCTGGCATGCCGGCACGCAGGGTTTTCCGTCACACGTGGAGGGATAGTACTGTTAGCGGCTTTGCTACCATGCGCTTGAGTTCCGCCAAGTCACTTTGTATTCAGCTATTCGGCCAAGCTTCTCATACAGCCATGCAACGATGAGTCTGATTTGCTTTACTACCTAAATAATAGTCGAATCTTTTCCATTCGCTGGCTTATAGCTAGAGCAAGGTTTACAAGTAGCATGTGTGCCATGCCACAGTGATCCAGACTACCCCAATATTACTCTGTAGCCGCGTCAAATAACGCCTGCATGGCTGGCTGATTTTGTGACAAATACATTTATTAATATACTTACTCTTTTGAACCTTGTATATAATTCCAATGCTCATACCTAAGTGTTGAATTAGTAAAAGAGTTTAGTTGTCCAATAGATCCCAAGGGCTGTACATTTTCCACATGGCAAATTATCGTGAGATAGTCCTTTTTTTTAAAAAAAAACTTACACATGTCTGTTGCATTACTTTCTCTTATTATCCAAGTAGCTAAGATGCTCACTTTGCAAGAGGTGGAATAAACAAAAAAAAAGAATTGGGAAAGTATTGATAGTACGATTTAACAACTAGTTACGTTTTAATTTTGTAAATATATGATGGAGGTTAGGTAAGAATTCGTCGCGCTCTTGGATTAATATGAACGTTTTATGATGAGATAATATGTAGCTAGGTACTACTCAAGGAAATATCTCTATATACAATTGCCAATAGAATAACTGGTTATCTTTATTCAAGTTTAAGTACTTATATATGAAGAGTCACCTCTTAGATACAAGTTATTCGCTACTAAAAGAGTGTTGATTATTTAACTACTAACATATCCCGCTTGATCTAATAGCGCTAAAGTTATGCATGAGAAGAGAGAGAAAAGCGAGAACGTAGAAAAGAAATTGTGTGTGTGGCCTAGCACGTATAGCTTTGGGAAAGTGTCTTACTCTTTGTCTAATAGCCAAATATATATTGTTCAAACCACAAGGATCATGATGAAATAAGGTTATCCTTTGATTCAATCATTCAATCATTCAATCATTCAATTCATCTCTATTTCATCGTATCCACCAACTCACGATACATTCGCTTCAACTCGCGCACATCGCCTTCAAGCTCCTCGACCCTCTCCGTCTTCTCACCCAGCATCTCCAAGGCGGTGCCTTCTCTGTTCTCCATCTCGGACAGTCTCCTTTCCAAGTCGGCCACCTTTTCCCCTCGTTTCCTGGCCTCATCTACCTCACGCATGAGCTTGACGACTTCGTTGCGCGCCTCGTCGCGCTGGGCAGTCAGACGCACGACTTCTTCCTTGTGCGTTGCCTTTTCGGATTCCAGGCGGCGCACGGCGGCGCTCATGCGCTCGACGAGTTGGACAGAGGGGCCGGCGCCCATGGTGGACACGCTGACCATGTCGGCAATGGTGCGATGTGGCGAGGATGCAGTATCAAAGGTGTCCATGTTTTCTGGGTCGAGTGTGTGGATTGAAGGGGTTTTGAGCGGTGGTGCGGTTAGACCATTGAGACTGGTCATGCTATAGGGTATCGAGTCTTGTCTTTGGGGAGTTCCGATTTCAGGCGTGCGCACTCTTGAGGTGGATTTGGCCTGTCGCGAGCTGGATGGACGGCGCGAGACATCATCGAACATGCGTTCTATGGGTGAAAGGGCAGTGTCCATGCCACTTGACGTGGTTCGTGGATTGGGTCTTCGGGTGTAGATGCCTAACGGGTCTGGCGAGTGTCTTCGTTGCGCCACCGAAGGCGAGTCTGTTCGCAGATAGAGACTATCACCAGCTAGAGATGGTGTTTGTGATTCTACCTTCCACTTGCTTTTTTCCTCTTCAATTCGTTGTTGCAACTCGGCCTCCCAAATCTTCCTCTCTTTATCCAAGTCAGCGCGCGCATCTTGGGCAGCAGTTTCTGCTTGGGCAAGCTTGACTTGTAGCTTTTGAACCACAGTACGTTGCTCGTTCAAGTCATGTTCAAGAGTACGAGCGCGCTCGTTGAGACTTTCAAGCTCGTCTTCCAGTCGACGTGCTTTTGAGTTGGCTTCTCTCGCTTTTCGTCTAACCTCGGACTCGCGCTTCGCCGTCTCATCACGGTCTTTTTCGAGCGCGGCAACACGAGAGGTCAAAGTTGTCTCAATGCCTTGCCAGTTTTCGGAAGCAAGCGAGTACTGTGTTTGCAAGGTTTCAATCTGTCGGAGAAGCTTGGCCTGAGAGTCACCAGTGGCAGATGAAGTAACCTCTTCGGTCCTGCTGCGAAGAAGTTCCAGCTTTGATTCAAGATTCTGGATAGTGCGTTAGTATGCGTCTGCATGCAGCCGTCGACTTGACTTACCGCAATCTCACCACGCAGCTCCAGCTCAACGACCTGTGCCTTTTCCTGTTGGCTTTTGGCTTCGTCCCTGGCAGCTTGAAGTTCCTTCTTGGCACGATCTTCTGCCAGCTTCTTCTCTATACGCAGATTTTCGATATCCTCCTGCAACGATCGGGTCGCCCTCTTTTCTGCTTCGAGTGCGCCGGATTGTACTCTCTTCTCAGCATCCTCTGCGCGCGACAGGGCGTCATTGAGTTGCTTGCGCAGTTCAGATATTGTCATTCCTGCTTCTTCACGTTCTGCTCTGATGGTCTCAATGTCCTTTTCAATCTTGCCTACAATCTTCAACTTTTCCTGCGAAGATTTTTCGGCGGCTTCGGCGCGACGTGCTCTTTCTGACTGCTCTGTGATGCTCTTCTCGGCCTTTGTCAATCGCTGCTTCAGCATGGTCATCTCCTTGTCCTGCTCTTGAGACTTGGCGCGCATTTTCTTGATGGTAGTCATGTGCTTCATCTCCGTCTTGGATAGCTTCTGGCCCTCTTCCATGAGGGCGGCAATCTGCGCATCTTTCTCTGCCAACTTCTTATCCGTGGGCGTCGCGTCTTTGTCCGACGAGGCGGACTTTGCAGATGCAGCAAGCTGCTCTGAAAGATAGGTTAGTTTTGACTGCAGTGCATCGATGCGTTCGAGATGTGCATTGATTTCTTCGCGGTTATCACGCACAGTCTCGTTGTAAGTACTTTGCAAGAGAGACAACTCTGCTTGGATTTGGTCGGCATCTCTGGGCTCGGTAGGTGGGATTGGGGGGATTGCGTCGATTGAAGGCCGGGAAGAGATGCTGTCCAAAGACAGGCGGGGCGAGGACGTCTGCGGGGCAACGATGGCGGGTATAGATGGCATGAACATGGTGGGTGCGGGCGTGGAGGCTGGCTGGTCTACTATCACGGGCGCAGCTGCTTCTCCAGCGGGCTGTGGTGGCTCGGAGACCGTTGTGTCGTCCGCCTTGGAGCCGCCATGTTGGTCTGGCAGCGAGGCGGGGGCGATGGGCTCGGAAGCCTTTGAGTCTATGCTTGTGCGCGATGTGTCGGCAGGTGGGACTGAAGTGCGCAACGCAGGACTCTCTGGCCGGGAGCCAAGATCGGACGAGGGGCGCGAGTCGGAGCGGTCACTTGCCTTGTTGACGGCTTTGGCGAGGCGGTCCTGGAGTCGGGAGTTTGGTCTGCTTCGTGACGGGTTCCGCGAGGCTTCTGGGCCATTAGCATCCACGGAGCTTGCTGCTACCTCGGGCCTCTGGGGCTACCCACCAGCTTCCACCACCAGCTTCTTGTCCACGGCCGCCGCCGCTTTGTCTGTGCCGTCGGCCCTGGCTGCGCCGTCTGTCGCCGCCGCCGGCCTTGGGCCTGTAGAGCCATCTTCGGCCAGGATAGTGTCGAGCCGCGACTCGAGGCCAGAGAGGGCGTTGTTCCACCAGCCCTTGCCGCTCATGTTGTTCGTTTTTTACTTTTTTTTGTTGATTTGCACGTGGAATGGCAGCGCGTGTTGTGACGTAGCGAAAGCGTTGCTAGCCTTCACCGTTCACTCGTCCTTTGCCCGTGGGGGTGCATTGCTCAAGTGCGCAAAGAGGCCAGGCTGGCCGGATGGTGGTGGTGGTGATATGGGGAATGCGCAGCTAAGACATGGGCCGGCTGGTGTTGCACGCAGAAATGGGCGCGAATGCTGGATACTGCATCAGCTGCAATTGCTCGTCTGTGTGTATATGTGTATGCAGTATGAATTCGACTATATTCAAGTACACATGTACATATGGACGGTTAACGGGCGCCGTCGTGATTCGTGTCCGTGGCCTTTGCTGACGGGGTCGTCATCATACGTAGTGCAGCGCCGGGGCCAATCAAACGCCGATTGGCCCGCCTTCCGCCTTCCACCCTCTGCCGCCCTCCCTCTTGGTCTGCAAGTGACGGCATGGGGAGTGTATGTGGATTGCACATGGACATGCACTGTATGTATGTATACATGTGTACATGTGTACATGTCCATGTAGCTGGCTACTCTCGGCCAAGTCCTCTGTCAATCTCTGGTACTACTTACTACACAATACTACCTACCCAACTACTAGTCGTGCATACTAACAGCCCTCGGCTTGGCATCGCCTACCTACCTCCATACTCTCCCGCTCTACTTGTGCTTTTTGACCCAACCCCCCTAAGATTGTCACCATTTCCACGATGCTTGCTCCAATTGGTCTAGTTCTTCTATCGGAACTCATCCATCGCCTCTGCCGTCTCTGACCACGTCAGGGCGGCCCTGCCCTATTGCTTTTGCCCATGCCTTTGCTACAAGTCCCGCTTGCTGCTCTCTTACACACCAACCCCTCCTCAAGTCCATGCCCATATCTCTCAAAATGACACGCGCAGTAGGTTGCCCCATTGTTGCTGTCTATTATGACAATCCCACGCCCTAACAATTCCCTAGGCAGTCGGCCAAATGCGCTCCACGGCTTCCATGGCCTCCAATCTCACCCAAGCCCAATCCCTCTGCCGCAAAGCCCACCAAGCCGGTGCAAAAGCCCTCTTCCTCCCAGAAGTAAGCTCTCTGCTCTATTCCCTTCTTCTGCCCTCTTCACATGGCCAACCTTTTTTTCTTCCCTCTTAGGCAGCAGACTACATCACCACTTCCGGTGGCCTCCAACTATGCAAGCCAGTCACAACCTCTGAATTCGTCCTCGGTCTGCAAGATTGCGCAAAACAATACAATCTCGCCATCTCCGTCGGCATCCACGAACCCGTCTCCTCTGACGCTCAAAAAGTGAAAAACACCCTTATCTGGATCACGCCCCAGGGAGAAATCGCCCACCGCTACCAGAAACTACACTTGTTCGACATGAACGTCAAGGATGGTCCCCAGATGAAGGAGTCGGATGGCGTCGAACGCGGCCTTGAGCTTGGCCATCCCTTTGAAAGTCCTGTGGGCAGGATAGGCATGCAGATATGTTTTGACCTGCGCTTTCCCGAGCCCGCGCTTGCCCTCAGCAGGCGAGGTGCCCAAGTGCTTTTGTACCCTGCCGCTTTTACTACCCCAACGGGTAAGGCTGGTCATTGGGAGATACTGCTGCGTGCCCGTGCCATTGAGATGCAGAGCTATGTCATCGCTGCTGCCCAGGTTGGAGTGCACGATGACCAGGGCAAGAGGCGGAGTTATGGACACAGCATGATTGTGGATCCTTGGGGGAAAATCGTTGCTGAACTCGGAGGCGATGAGGGTGAAGATGGGAAATGGGCCGATGAAGGTGAGATTGCCGTTGCCGAGCTGGACCTTGATTACGTTGAGAATTTGCGCAAAGATGTGCCCATGACACGGAGAACAGATGTCTATGCAGATGTTTCTTAGCTACCATGTTTAGGACAAGCAAGAATCATGTAATATCGACACTTGAAAACAAGAAAGAAACATTAATGTTCCCCGAAACCCATGTCCACCCTTACCCTTGCTAACATTCATCTCTCGTCCAAATCCTTGCCTTTCAGCAACCACTCCTTGCCGCCTAGAGTCAGATTTGCCAAAGGATGATGTGTGTTCTCAAGATCGCGCTCTACCCTTTCCCTCACATGACTCAATTCGCACTGCATTCGTTCCGCCAGACACTTGAGCAATGTCGTAAATAAGCTCCTCTCCTTCTTATCCTTTTCACGCTGTGGTCCCTGCGTCCTTGGTGGCTCAAACTCGCCCTTTGCCTCTAAACACGGCCATTCCCAATCATGAATTCCGTAATCGTGATAAAAGTTGAGCAACGTTGCCTCGCAATCCGATTGGTCATGATGGAGCAACGTATCAGAGATGAATTCCGGACCGATACTGAGTGCTGCTTCGGCAAAGCAGAATTCCAGCTCATTACGTAGTTCGAACTGCTCCGCTCCCATGAAGAATCCGTATGTGCGCTGATTGATCCAGCCTGAGCCGTGGTACCGCGCTGCCAGTGTCGAGTGATGAAGCACAAGGTAGATGGCAATCAACCCATCTCTTCGCAATGACTCAATGTAACACTGTCCATCATCTCCATGCTTTTCTAAAATCTCCCAGGTCAATCGTTTGCGCACACCTGCTTTACCAAAGGGGCAATAACTAACCGAGTAAAGATATCCTGTGTATCAGTAATAACCCTGTGTAGGCTAGAAACGCATTGTGTGGCATGATGGCGTTGAAATTATGATCTGAGCAGAGAGCGTCCATGACGTCGTCTATAATGTCGTAGTTTCGAACACACTCGGCCAGCCAGGCAAAACTGAAGTCGCCCTCACATGCAAAATCTCTTTCCGCGTGGCGAAGCTCGTTTTGCATAAAGTAGCGCGTAAGTGATTGTTCATACGTGCTGAACAGTGTATGGAGCCTTGGATGCGCATTGCGAAGAGCAGACATCAGGGTTCCATTGCCGAATGGAATGTGTTGAATTGTTTGTAGAACAATTTCTGGGGGTATCCGTGGCGAGACGAGGAAGTTTCGGTACATTGATGAGTCTGAAAAGAATGTCATGATGATGATGATGAAAAGTTCCAACCTGGGTAGTGTTATGACTGTGTGCGTTAGGGGGAAGAGGGACTGAGATTGGAATTAGGCTGGGGAGATGATGGCGGCCAAGTGCGCGACTGCACTCAATGTGTCGAGGGTAAGAGCGCTGTGGGTGCCAATGGCTTTTATACAGTCTTGAGACAGTGATTAGGGCAAAAACTCGATTGCTATATGAACCGTGACATGGCTATATATGGAGCTAGTGAAGACCGTGATGGATGAAGGACGGGTACCATGATGGCGGGCCGCCTTTCACCATAGCAGGCACCAGTCACAAGGACAAAAAGTGGCACGGCGCCCATCCATAATGATAATGTCCATCTTATATAGTCGTTTGTCGCACATTTGGCCATGGCTTTGACCCACAGTCTGCCTGTACCTGTGCTCAACGCGCTAGAGAAATTCAAGTAGTATTGGGTGCAGGCTAGTGAAAGATTATGGCACAATATCAGGGCCGATGTACAGAGCAGGTGGGGGAGAGGTATTAGTAGAAGATGAAGGAGGGTACTAGTGGGGCTCCCGCCAAACTCTCCCAGCACTCTACAACGCTTTACCCGGGTATCTTGTAAACTCCGCAAACGAGATGCTATTATATCCACATAGGCATGCCACTCCTACTAGACCAGATCGATGCCCTCCCTCTCTGCCGCCTGCAAAACAAAACTTCTTGTCTTTGCATCTGGCGCCAGATCCAGAGGGACATGGCCGTCATTGTCCTGTTTGTCGAACTCGGCACCCAGGGTCAAGAGTAGCAGTGCTGCATCTCCATGTCCCTCGCTCATAGCATGATGCAGCGGCGTCATGCCGTCGGTATCAGTAGCATTGAGGGGGCTTTTGGCGTCTATCAGTGCCTTCATCATGGGTACACTGCCCACTGCCGCGGCGCGATGTAGCGGCAGCTGCCCACGTTTGTCCTTGACTCGCGCCGACGCTGGGGGCTTTTGTGCCAGCAATGTACGGGCAATGTCGAGGTTGGCTTTCGAGGCGCAAAAGTGCAGAGCAGTCTGACCATTGTTGTTCTTCGCATTGACGTCGGCGTCCTTGGAGAGCAGCAGGTCTACGATTTGTTCGGCGTCTTTCCGTGAGCACGCCATCATCAAGGGAGTCCAGCCGGAACCATCCGTGGCGTCGGGATCGAATGATTTTGTCTGCACGAGGGACTGCACAATGGTGAGGTGGTTGTACGAGACGGCCCAGTGAATGGGGAGGCGGTCGTCTGGGTCGCGGAGGGATGCAAGCTTGGGGTTGGCGGCAAGCAGAGAGTCGACGCGGGATGCTGGCACTGGTTAGAAGACCGTGGCTCGCCTGAGCGGTTGGTTGTTGCGCAGACCTTGGCCTTCTCGACACGCCTCATGGATAGCGTACTTGGCTTTGTATTCCTCCATGGTGAGTTTCACCTGAGATGCTGCCGCGTGCGTGTTGGAGTACCGCCGCCAACATTGGTCCCGCCTCGACCGAGGCTTGAATAATACTGCCAGGCGGTGGGGTAAGTACTAGCGCCGGTGAGGTCATGCATATATCTCAGTAGTAGTTATGTATGTACTTACATTCATGTACATGTGTACGTATCCACACCATTTCATCCACAGGTTTCACCGTGTTGCCCATAACTACTTCTACTCATTTGCATGGCATTAAAACAAATACTTTGGATAAGGCGACGTTGAACACTAAATAAAGCGGTATTCTTACAGAATAGCCTCGCATCGACCGCCTCAAAGCTCGCTCTTCCAAGAGTGATCCTCCGGTATACCCATCTGCCTTTGCTGGAAATTCAGTATCCGCTGGAGAAATATGGGCTTGATGCTCAAGATGCCAATCAGACTTAGCACAATCATAAGCAAGACACCCAGGCCAACACCCAAAGCCACGGCATCCCCCTGCCTACTGACTTTCCTGAGCCACGCCTTTGTGTCTTCGACAGCAATGTTTTCATCGTATGCACGTCGTACGCTCATCAGCCCAGGAAGGCCATCCAGAGATCGATGGTTGAACTGCTTTTGGTAGTCACCCAGTTCTCGTTTCTCTATCATCTTGCGAGCCCAGCCTTCCATCGTGTCCCGGGGCTTGAAGCCGTGCCCATCATCCCTATCAGGCTCATGATCAGCAAAAGTAATAGCGTCGCCGACAGCATCCGTGCCATCAGTCTTTGCATTGGCGATTTGCGGCACTCCGAAACCACAGCTCGTCTGCACTGTTTGTATCTTAAGCACAATCACCGCTCTTACACCAGCGATATCGACATCATCTCCATTTTCTGTCGACATCTTTGCTCGGATTTGGCTAAAGTATTGATCCCACTTCTCCACCACTTTGCCCTTGCAGAACAGCCGCATAATCTGTGGTGAAGGACCAAACGAGGAAAACATGACCGTCACACGGCCATTTTCGTACACATGTGAAATGGTCTCGCAGCCACTGCCTGTAGCGTCGAGGTAGGCTATCGTGTTGGGTCCTAGAACGGCAAACGATTTCGATGGGTGTCCTTTGGGTGATATGTTGACGTGCTCACCAGCCCACGGCGCGCTGGCGACAAAGAAGAGAGGCTGTTTCGTGATGAAGTCGATATGTTCCTGCGTGAGGGAGGGATAGAATTTGACCATGGTGAGGGTGTCGAGTTATCAAAAGGCGGTCAGGGTTTTGGGTGAGGTGTCGCTGCTGTCCAAAGTGCGGTATTGCTGAGACTGTTGATGGAAAGTTGAATACTACTAGAGATTAAAGTGATGGGGAATGCCGACGCGTCCAGAGTACTTTGCCTGTAGACGGTCTTGTCGAAAAGGAACAATGAGGCAGTACAAGTCCGGCGATCAAAGTGACAACTGTCGATCAACAGAGGGCGGATAAGAAGTACCAGAAGCGTGAATCGTCTCGAGAGCCAATGGTCGATTGCGTTGTTCTCTTGCTGGGGTACGAGCTCCACGAGTCGGCGATTGTTCGTCAGGGATATTCGCTCAGGAAAGATTATAAGATGGTGAAATGCACGGTAGCGGCTCTATGCCTATTGCAGACTGGCCCAGGAACTAAGTCGTAGTGGGGGCGGGGCGGGGCGCGTCGTCGAGGAATCGCGAAGTTATCGTCGCAGGTTGCAACATCACACGTCTAGAACGTCGCCATCACACTCAACATGGTGCTCGCACTAGCATTGAAAGCAGAACTCAATGGGTAAACTTTCCACCCCGCTCATGGTTTGACAAAACACTCTACGTACTGAACTCACCCCAGGGTAACCGACCTCCGCCCCAACGACACCGAAGAAGCACCTTTCTTCTATACCTTCAAAGTTCAATGCACGTCATGTCGCGAGATCCACCCCAATTTCGTAACAGTCAACCGATTTGAGATGAACGAGCAAAGCGGCAGTAAAGGCGAGGCAAACTTCGTATGGAAATGCAAGAACTGCAAGGTTACTCCACTCACATACTGATTCTATTATACCGCACCGCTGATGCTTTCAACAGAGGGAGCACTCGGCCAACGTCAAAGCTGCGCCCGCATCGTATCCGCAAAGTGATCCGCCCAAGATGGTCAACATACTCGAGTTCGACTGCAGAGGGTTGGAGTTCACTGAATTCAAAGCTGAAGGCGAATTCCTTGCCACGGGTATTGAATCCGGCACCAAGTTTTCAGGCATAGAGCTACCTGATGGTGAATGGTACGATTACGATGAGAAAGCTGGTGAGGAGGTCAGCATCACAAATGTACAATGGGAGATTCGTCGTGCATGAAGATATCTTGTGTAAGCTGGTAAATTGGTAGAGCTCTACTCCAACCTATATCACAAGCTACCCGTCCCTACCCCTATCCAACTCCTAGAAACCAATAAATCTTCCTCCACCCGCACTTGGCGCACTATACCGGTCTATCAGCCTAATCACTAAATCTCTCATACGTACACTGTTCGAGAATCCACTGTTAGAAATATGAAAGACTGGAAAAACGACTCAATACACTCTCTGCGTAAAGGATGCATAGCAGAGTAATTTTACGAAATTCACTATCTGGATAGCCGCAGGTCATTCTAGTCTTTCAGATCCGCGGTGGCCTCTAGGAATCTCGAAAGACTTCTAGTCTAACCCTGTCTATTATCAGCGTCCGAGCCTATATCCTATTAATAAATAAGATATTAAAAAGGCTGAACACTAAACTACTTCTAAAGATAAGACTATAATATGTCTATGCGTTACCTATATTTAGGTGCGTAGTCTAGTATATTGTAAGGGGCTACGCCCATATATGTAGCCTGGCTAAGCCAAGCAAATCGAGTATATCTACACCACTACCTTGACTTCAAGACAAGCTTGAAGTCTTGTTACTGCCTTTTTGGTAAAATGGTCGACGTAAGAGCCCGCCCATTACAATAGTATTAAAGATACCCTAGGCAGTAGTATAATTAGAATCTATAGCTATGATACCACTTACTAGCTATAGATATAAAGCGTTATAGATAGCAGATATACTAAAGATAATTACTCTAGGTTAAGCTAGAACCTTAAGCGCTCCTAGGCTTAGAAGAGTATTTTTATAAGAGCGATAGTGCTTAATTACTGCGAAAGACCGAAAACTAGTTATATAGATAAAGTTACACAGACCTGCGAAAGCTGCACTAAGGTTGTAGGCTAGTTGAATTCCTGCCTACATGTTAACTGACGTGGAAAGATAGCTTGGCATGATAATTACCATAAACGTATGCACCATCGAGCGAAGGGCCAAGAAGGCAGCAGCGCTGAAAGACGCAACTGTCGAATCAGACATGCCCGATCAAACTACGTTCAAGGATCCTGGGCCGAGCATGCAGCTTGCATAGCGGGCCAATGCTTTTGGTTGTTGTTGCAACCAGTCTCGTTTGTTCATGCGCATACGCGGCGTGGTACAAATGTACGTGTTTCTCTCTTAGCCAACGGAAATTCCTGGTTCATATACGAGTGCGAAATTTAAGACGGGCGCCTTTGACAACTAGCCATCCGGATTGAAAAACCTTCCTGTCTCCAAAACTATCGCATTGCTACCTCAACTATAACCCACCTTCCGCAGCAATGGATGTTCGCAGAGATCTCGATGAGTACACACAAACCATGCAACAGCAAAAGCGTTTCCTACAAGATGCCAAGAAGAAACAGGGCCAGCGCCCCCGCGATCGCAAGGGCAGGGACATCATGTTGTTCGAGTTCATGATGGTGTCGGCGGCCAACATACAACGCGCTGGAAGCGAAGACACGCAAATGATACATTCATCATTTGTTCCACCAGCATATCCGCCTTGTACCACATCTCTCGACGCCTTGAAATCCATCGCGATTGAAGATCTCAGGCTCGAGACGCATCATCGTGGCTACTATCTCATATTGCGAGCCATCACACCCCCTAACCGTATGACTGCGATTCTTGTTTTGGTTGAAGACGAACACGGGGACGTTACGATGTTGCAAATGTACCAGCAGGAAGATGAGGCCAGTCGTCCAGCATCTACTGTTGTTGACAAAGGTTCAATTCTTCTGATCAAGGAGCCGTTCTTCAAAGTTACGGCGTCTGGAGACTACAGTTTACGAGTGGATCATCTTTCTGATATTATTTTCCTTGGCAACGACGATTCCAGGGTACCACCATCATGGCGACGGAGACTGTTCGAGCTGGGAAGATCCGCGGACTCTTTAAAGCTTGAAGGGAATGGATTTGTAGGGAAAGGAGAGTATTGGAGGGCTATCGACAAGTGAGCAAGCTGTCTGATGAGAAAGCAATCGTGCTAACATATGGAGCAGGTACTCAGATGCTTTAGCGCACTCCGCAACACCCGACGAGATCAAAGTGATCAAACGAAACAGATCTTTAGCCTACCTGAAGACCAGGCAATATGACGCCGCGTTGTCTGACACTGGCTTCCCAGACTTTGGTGTGGAAGCCTCGGAGAAAGCGCTGTTTCGCGCAGCGGAAGCTCTATACCATCTCACTCGTTACGAAGAATGTTGCAACATACTCGAAAAACTCTGCAAAATCTTTCCGAACAACGAACAAGCAGTCGCTGCACATACCCGTGCACGCCATCGATTCTGTGAGAGCAGCATCGGAGAGTTTGACTTCAAGCTTCTCCAAACTGAAGCAAGGAAGCGTATTCCCCCACATCTGGACCACGGCACTTATATTGGACCAGTAACTGTTCAGAAAGCTAAAGGAAAAGGTCGCGGCTTATTTACAACCGCGTCTATGAAAGCAGGGGATCTGGTGCTGTGTGAGAAAGCTTTCTGCCATGCTCACGTCGACGACTCGGGAGAAAGCAATGCAAAGATGACTCTTTTGATGAACGTGGAGACAGACACAGCCTTCATGGGTGGTCAAGCACATCTCATCCAGTTGATCACGCAGAAGCTGTACAAAAACCCTTCTATGGCTGCGGCTTTCACTGAACTGCATCATGGCGATTACAAGACGGTCGACAAGATGTCTGTTGATGGACAACCGGTAGTAGACACGTGAGTGGCACTTGTAATGATGAACCAGCCGACTTGATAAACTAATTTTATACCCTTCAGCTTTCTCGTTGAACGAACAATGGCCCTCAATGTCTTCGGCTGTCCTGTTACATCCCTGAAAAGCCACAACGATGTCATGTCCAACAAGGTCTCGAAGAGAGATGGCACATTCCATTCGTGTGGCATCTGGATCAAAGCCTCATATATCAATCATAGTTGCCTCGGCAATGTGCGCCGCTCTTTCATCGGAGATATGATGATAGTGCGCGCATGCAAGGACCTGGAAGCTGGTACTGAACTGGCTTTTCCTTATGTAGCTCCAGAGGGTGACTATACTCCCAAGGTTGAGCAAAAGTTCAAGAACTGGGGGTTCATTTGCAGGTGCGCGCTTTGCGAGGATATTAAAGCCACCAAGCCGTCGGAAGTGACAAAGAGAAGGAGCTTGCTGGGTCAGCTGGACCGTCTCTGCAAATCTGGCTTAATAGCGCATAATTTTCCGATCAAATTCGAACGCTTAATCATGGCGCTAAACGAGACATACAAGTTTCCGGCGGAAGAAGTTCCTCGACTTTTGCTGTGGGATCCACAGCTATTGCTGACGCGGATCTACATGGAAAAGCGTGATCTTACGAAGGGGTTAGAGTCGGTTGCAAAAACTCTCCATACTCTAGGCTTCATCGTCACTGGGCTTGATCAAACTCGTGCAGCTTTGGTTGTTAACAAATGGGGTCATATCGTGGACCATATAGTAGAGGTTTTTCTACATGGGCAGTCAGCCTTCGAGAAGTTGGGGATATGGGAGAAGTCAAAACAGGCCGAGCAATATGCAAAAGTTGCATATCGGATATTGGTTGGAGAAGAAGCGTCATTCAATCGGACATGTAACACAGCGTTGTGAATTCCAGGTCTCCGTAAAGAAGCCCCCATTCAAACGCCGACAGCTCGAACATCGTGGAGCGGGAGATGATGCAAATCATCGGGATGGGTGGGCGAGACATCTTGTTTAGCAAAACTATGCGGGCAATCTCTAGCACGACAATTGTCACCCTAATGCAACTATAGCAAGCTATCGACCTCGGAAGAAAAACTCTTGCGTGCATTGATCTCATGGAAGAAGCCTGGGAGAATGCGCTGTTGACATTAATTAAATGTAACTATATCAAGTGACTGCAGCTCAAACCCCGACACAGAAGTAAGTATCAGCCCACATGCTCCTACAGTCTGACCCAACAGCTGGGTTCCATTTCACAAAGTCAGCTAAGGTGATTTTGTTGTAGCTGGTAAGCTGACTGCACACCACGCCTTTGGCCGCGAAGTGGGACTTTTTACAGTTTACTACCATGTCCGGCTACGTAGGCTGCGGAGTCTAGATGCCGTTACCTACCGTCGTAGCCGTCGTGGGTTTCGTTGTGGTCGTGGTAGGCATTGTTGTAGTCGTTAATCGTCCTATAACGCCAACGCACACATTGACCTCGGCTTGCATACCGGAGCAGTCGCTGCAAACAGTAGGATCCCATTAAACGAAGTCATCACGGATAATCTTTTTAAAGCTAATTACCTAACTACAGCTCACGCCCTTAGTAGTGTAATGAGACTTATTGCAGTTGGTAATCATGACAGGCTGCGTGGGAAGAGGTGTCGAGACGCCGTTACCAGTCGTTGTAGGCTTAGTAGTGCTCGTAGCAGGATGTGTAGTAGGTGTCCCAGGAACGCCAATACAGTAGTAAGTGTCGGCCCAGAGACCACTGCAGTCATCACCAACAGCTGTGTTCCACGATACAAAGTTCTGGGCAGTGAAGGTGCCGTCTCTGCTTACAATTTTAGCGCAAGTATCATCTCTGATTGCAAAGTAGAAGGCGGTACAGTTCATAATTAAGCCCTCTTAGGTCGGCGACGGTTTTGGCGATTCTGTCGTAGTGGGATGCTGGGTCGATGATTGCAATGTGATGGTAGGTTTCGCTGTTAGCGTTCCAGGTATGTATATATAATTTCATTCTACGAAAAAAACCACAAATAGTGGGAGATACAACCGCTCTATCGAGATAACTATAACTTCATTTTTTCTACAATAATGGTCTCCGGCACACAGAAGTAGTCTATCAGTTATATTCATCTGGATCCCAAAATTTTCCAGGCCATGCATGAACGACAATCTGCTCAAACATAAACATGTCCATCCAGTTGTAAAAATCCAAAACAGCTGTCGTTGGGATAGTTGAACATCCAAAGTTTTGCTGTCGAGCAGACTCTGTATGCTTAGGTACAGCATTAACAGGATCGTACTTCGTGTCCACGACTTTTAATAAGCGGAGGGTTAGGGTCTCGCAGCACTTCAGTATCCGCTAATAAGAAGACACAGGTACCCCAGCTGTCACTCTGAATCCCCCTCATCGGCTGACCCCCACTTCCGTTTAGATAGACTTGCTGAACATCTTCCATTATCAATCTATCTAAAGTGGCAGGGAGTGAATGCGCGTCAAGTCGAAATTGATCTATCATTTTCGTGACATCATCAGGCTCATCTTCAGCCCCTTCTAGCTCGTGGAGACAGTTTTCCACGCCGTCGGTGATGTTTTCAAGCAGCTTTGACCACTTTTCGTTAGACCCACGACCATAATATGTTCTGTAAATCGTGTAGCCCCAATGGACCAAGAACTGTTTTGGTCCACTTCCGGTCCCACGATCTCACCCTCAGGCAACTCGTAGAGGTAGGTGAGGAATTCTGGGACACTGTTCATAACTGTGGGAAACCTAGAGATAGAGAGTGGCTTTTGCAAGTGTGTGCGTATAAGTGAGTGTTGGTAGGTGTGTTTAAGTTTTCAGAAAGGCCACAGAGGCGAAGGCGAAGGCAAATTGATCAAGAAAAGCGATCCTTTCTGCACATTAAGAGGAACCATGATAGAAGCCCGTACCGCTCCGTGCTAGTACCGAACTGCTTACTTCCGTGCCGGCTCGGTTAGAATTGTTAGTCGGATAAGGTGAAGAGCTAGTACCGGCATGCCCGCCATTGACTGCCGGTTAGCTGAAATGCAGAACACAAGCACGGCAGCTGGTGACGCTTGTAAGCACTTGCAGAGTACCAAGAACACGACAATGTATGGCGGAAATACGCAGGCTGAATGAATATTAATAAAATGATTGATGCGTCTCGTGGTTGTCTACCATTTATGACTGCTTAGCCCTTCAACAGCAAATAGTTGCTTAGCAATCCACAATGAGTCTCAGATGCGACCATTGCCATCATTTAGGGACTGGTGAGCTTCGTAGCATCATCCATGCGCATCACAGCAGCTTACTTCAACTCAAATCATGCGCGAAGTCTAAAGCATGCTGTCTGTGTGCACTCTTTTGGGAGTTTTTGAGGTACTCATGTCGCAAAGCTATTATTCAGGAATATCGAGACGGATGGTCCAGTGATGCCACCAATTTAGGAGACACTAAGATATTCCTACAAGGCTTTCTGACCGACACAGGTTTGGGAGCAAGTCCAAAATTCGTAGATATGATCAATGGAGCAACTATACAAGTATCCTTGAGCGAATTCGCATCTTCTCGTGTGCATGGGATAGTATCGGTCTATGCGAAACTAGGCAAGTCGATGTATATAGTTTCTTGACCAATAATTTGTTGAACATCAACGCACATCACAATCACCCAGAGTACCTCCTCAGATCTGCCACTTCGATGATTTTCATTCCTCGTGAACCGCACCCACATAGCTTGGGACTCGATTGAGCCGATCCACATCGCCTTCAAGCGCGGAGCTGACAATTAACATACAGACACGATCGCCGGTAAGTTCTTGACAGGGAGACTCATCATGAAGTCACACAATCCCGATCTACTGCGGATCAAATCTATGGAATGGCTCAAGCGATGCCAGTATTTCCACGAACACTCCCGTGGAACTCCCCTCAGCTCATGCCAACCCATGTCATCGATCTAGGAGACCCCAAAGCAGTGGCCCCGATACGGCTCAAGATTAGCAAAGGCTAACGAAACCGTTACCTGGCATTTTCATATTCATGGGGCTATAACCACCGTCACTCAGTTAAGCTCAAAAGAGAAAATCTAGAACCTTTACAAGAATGCATCCCCGAATGCTCCATGACGCAATGACATCAAGAAGCTCTCCAAATAATACGCGAGCTTGGATATCGCTATCTCTGGATCGATGCTTTGTGTATCATCCAAGGAGATAAGAAAGACTGGGCATCTGAAGCCCGCAAGATCGCCCAAGTTTACTCTAATGCTGAGCTTACGATTGTGGCAGGACGAAGTGAGGATAGTGCAAAAGGCTTCCTCCAGCTCATTGAAGAGCCACCGCCCAGCCCCAAGCTATACCATACAGTCGGCTCGAACATAAATTTGCCAGTTCCCAAGAGCTCGGGAACCGTTTCCTACCAATAAACAGATCGGCACGTCCCGGACCCGTCAATGAACGAGCCTGGTGCTTCCAAGAATCCGTCCTAAGCCGGTGCATGGTCATCTACAGCATGCAGCAGCTAAGCTTCAAGTGCCGCAAGATGTCTTGGTTTGAGGATGGATGCATCGTATTCTACGAGTGGGCCGATGGTAGACGATATGATCTTTCTACTTCACAAGCCGGCTAGGGCTTCACCTAGGACGAAATTCTTCACCACTGGTAGGAGCTCACGCAACAATACTCCTGTCACCGCGTGTATGACGCAACCGAAAACTTTGCGGCATTGGCTGGTATGGCATCAAGGTTCCATGACGCTTTGAGTTGTAGATACCTAGCGGGCTCATGGGAAGTGAATATGCAGCGCGCACTGCTATGGCGAAGTCGTCAGCTGTGGCTTGGGCAATTTGCGAACTAGAGTCTCGAAAAGCCGATTGCTGTCAATGGACCGCTCAAGGGTGATTATGTCGAACGCGCGACATCTTGGTCTTGTCTTGCACTCCTAGGTCCTATACTCCAGGTGAAGAAGGCGCTCAAAAAGAAAGAGCAGGTCGGAGGAGATGGGACGAGGATCTCGCTCAATTGTAGGCCTATAGCCACTAATAATGGACGGTGGAGTCCGGACGATTGGTGCCTTGAGGTCGTGGAATATCTCGATCATCAATTGCGCATACAAATACATGAGTGCATCCGCCAAGTGTGCTGCTCTGATGTGCATGTGCGCGACCTTCCAGCCAAACCAAAGTGGCACTACTCTTATTCCAAAATCAAGGAACATGCCGTGGCGTTTGAACCGACAAAAGGTACAAAGTCCCCGGAGATCGTGGCTGTAGGAATGTTTGATCTGGCGTGCAGAGAATATGAACCACTATGGTGTCTATGTATATCGGAACAAGAAGGTCTTTTTCTTCAAAAACATAGTAGTAACATCCAGAGGGCGGGTATATTTGTGGTTAAAATATGCTGCCTGTTTTTCTTTTATAGAGCGCGAGAACGTAACAATTTTATAATCTGTTCTACAAATATAATATCATAAAGAAACCTATTACACTATGTAACAAGGTCATACAACTACTACATATATCTATAAGAGAGATGTCCTTAGTAAAGCTAACCACCAAGCTTTGGATCATTCCCACTCTACTCAAGAATTGCTTTAAATTAAGATAGGTTTGTTAAGTTATTAACTAACTAACGTGTTTTACAAGCGAGCGGGCCATACAAGCGAGCGGGCCACCCCACCAACTTTGCGCACCTCTTTACGTGTACGGTTTTACCACAACTAAATAAAATTTATATATATTAAGATAGTGGATTAAACACTATCTAAAGCATCTTTCTTACATGTACGCGAATTATGGCCAGTCTCTCTACACCTGCTACACCGCGCTAGAGCCTGGCGGTTGACACCTGATCGCTCTCCTCCTTGACGCTCTTCATAAGCAATCTGCTGATCAGCCTCGCGCTGAGCGAGTAGATCTTCTCCAGCTCCCTTTGTTAGCACTCCTTGCTTCTGTATCCGCTTCTTCTTACGCTGTCTACGTTTTGTTGCGGCTTCGTTCGCCTTCTCAAGGCTGGCTATCCGATCGCGCATAAGCTCAGCCAAGAGCATCATTACCTCAGCCCCCTTCTTAAGCTGATTAATTGCCATAATAATCGAAGTTGGCGATGAGCCTTGATGCCGCTGAACGCGATCACGTATTAACGTGGATTGAGCTTCAAGCTCGCGTGTGTTGCTAGGCGTACGAGCCTGCCAGAGAACCTCTAGAATAGCTGGTGGAGTAGGCGTACGGAGCTTTATATCAAGCCTTGATAGAACAGCATCTGGCTGGAGAGGAACAAGGCCTGCACCGCGGAAGGCAGAGCAGATATTGGCTAGCGTGAAGGATCGATCGAACGCTACCTTGAACGCTGGCAGAAACTCGAGCTTGGTAATGTGGTTGATATGATAGCGGATTAGGCTCTCCACCTCGCGGCTATACGCGCGCTTTAACGGTGAGAAGCAGCCAACGTCAAGAGGCTGGAGTAGATGAGATGAGTGAGGCGGCATACAGAGCGTATATATGTTGTTCTCCTTGCAGAGCTCTTGGAACTTAAGTGACTGGTGGCTCTCATGGCCGTCAAGAATAAGCAGCCGACGTGCTCTAACAACCTTGCCATCTGTATGCTTAATAAAGTGCTTTAACCACTCAACTCCTAGCTTGTTAGTCGTCCAGCCGTTGTCGCTGACTGCGATGGCCCAGTCGCGTGGGATCTCTGCCTCCTCGTACCAGGCAGATAGGTGATACTTGCCAGTAAAGATTAGAAACGGTGGGATAGACTAGCCAGCTGCGTTGATCGCTGCGATCAGCGTCACCCACTCACGATTGCCTGGCTCAACTGCCTTTGGCCGGCACCTCCTCTCTGACGCTGTTACGACTAGCTGAGTCGTGATCTTGCCTATCATAAAGCCAGCTTCGTCGAAGTTATAGACGTCTTCATCGCAGATACCGTACTTGGCCTTTGTCTGCTCCACGAGCTCAAACCAGCCCTTAATTAGGACTAGATCTTCACATAGAGCCCTCTACCTATCGTACGCTCGATTGAAACGCGTCGTAAGACTGTCTGTACGCTTAATAAAGTTGCGCGGCCAGTAGACGCCAACCTGGCCAGCGCCGCGCGCAGCCAGTAGTCTGTCAGCCATGTCACGCACAGCTGCGTAGGTAGGCGAAAATCCACGTAGATCTAGATTAATTATATGATCAACTATCACCTCCTCTTCTAGCTTTGTAAGCTTCTTTGAGTTAGGCTGGCAATCGCGTCGGGTAAGTATGCCAGCGCGTCGACGCTGGAGTGTTGTTCGAGAGACTTCGTAGACTTTTGCTACATCTCTTTGAGACTTAATTTAATCTTGATTAATAGCTAAGATTGCTAGCTGTATATCAGATTCATGAGAGACGTTGCGGGCTTGATTTGATAGGGCCATAGTTGATTAGAGTTAGAGAGGTGCGCAAAGTTGGTGGGGTGGCCCGCTCGCTTGTATGGCCCGCTCGCTTGTAAAACACGTTAGTCAAATATCCTTTCATAGAATGTAAAATAGTTAGTTACTTAGTTATCTCAACTATGTTTATATTAATTCATATAATTGGATGTTTTACCATTATTCTGCTACTACTGCATATTACTAGAATAAAATACTCTATTTAGAATATTGATTTTACTTGATCCTCAAGTGGCTGCTGATTGGCTATTACATGTGCTATCTCTTCGACTCTCGCTAATACACGCAAGATATTGGCCCCAGCGACGCCTCTCACCTCGGTAACCGACACCCCTCGACGCAGCAGCTCCGCAACGAGCGCCGGATAGGTGCCGACATCTTCAAGCCCAACCGGGCCCTTATCGAAGCCCATTCCGTCGAAATCGGCGCCGATACCGACGTGCTCAAAGCCGATCAAATTGCCCAGGTAGATGATATGGTCGGCAACATCCTCGAGCGTTGCTTGGGCGTTGCAGGTGACAAAGCCGGGGAAGAAGTTGACCATGATGATGCCGCCGTTGGCCTTGAGTGCCCAAAGCTCTTCGTCGGCCACATTGCGTGGGTGTTCGCACAGTGCGCGCGCTGACGAGTGGGTGTACACGACGGGCGCCCGCGACACGTTGAAGGCGTCGCGTTGTGTCGCGACCGAGGTGTGCGACAGATCGACCATGAGGCCGATCCTGTTCATCTCCAGGACCACGTCACGTCCTGCCTCCGAGAGACCGCCGTTCAATGGCTCATGCGGACTGCAGCTATCGGCGTAGGCATTGTGGCAGCTATGTGTCAAGGTCACATAGCGAACACCCAGCTGGTAAACCAAACGCAAAAATGACGCGCTGTTAGCAACCTGGTGCAAGCCCTCAATACCCATGAGGCTGGAAATGCCGGTCCTCTTAGGATCCGCAAACTGCGCCCATACCTCTGAAGCCGACGCTGCGCGCTGCAGACGCTTCGGATAGGCATCGATAAGCCGATTGATCAAGTCGATTTGCTGAAGCGTTTGGTGCATTGCCTCGTAGAATGTCGCCTGGTCGCTGGCGTCGCCTCCATCACGAGGACACTCAACGTACGCACTCCAAAATTGAGCCCCCAAGCGACTCCGCTCCAATTTGGGAAAGTCGACTTGTCCGACCAGATCTATCGCGTCGCTAAAGTTGGATCCATATATGTGATTGTAGTAGAATGCTCGTATAAAGATAGGAAAATCGTTGTGTCCGTCTAAGGCTGGTCAGCTGCAAGACGACATGCAGAAAAGTTGTGCTACTCACCAATCAACGGTACATGTCCAAGTACTTGTCCTAAAGGATCGACAGTGCGCGAAATCCAAGTCCTCACAGCTGCAAAACCAGCGAGGAGAAGGATGGAGAAGGCTTTCAGTTTCCATGAAGTGCGCGTCGACCTTTTCTTGTCCAACACAACGGATGGCACAGACTGTTGGGTTTTCTCCACACTGTCCATATTGATATCACTACCGGACTAGATGCGATTTAGAGTGTCGATCTTGACATTTTAATACAGCTCTGACCATCCCCCTGCTTGCATCACCGCCTCGGTTGCCGAACTTTGCAGAGATACTTGAAGAAGGCACATCCATTGGGGTGCTCATGTTCATTACAGATGCTGCGATGAAGAAAACAATAGATTGATTCAGTCTTTGAGAGTCATATCTAATCTTAATAGGCAGTTCCTGGCCTCATGTGCACGGGATGCCTGCTGAAGCAACATTCCTCCGCCTAATTTGAATCTTGGCGTCCATGTTGGGTCCGTTCTGTACTTCTATGCACATGTTTGGAGGACGTGTCTTTACTGTACCCTCCCATTTAATGTCGTACTCATGAAGAAGCTTGGCAAAGATGATTTTCACTAATCTAATCGTATAAAATCGCCCAGGACAGACATGCCTGCCATAGCCAAATCTACTACACGTCAATACTATTCTTCATATTCGTACATATTTCAGCCATTCCAAGGACTTACGTGAGAAATGTTTTGTCAACTGTGGACGCATTGACTTCTTTCTCATTGGCTTGAGTAGCGAACCTGAAACCTCGGAAGGTGAGGGGATCTTGGTAGTTTTCGGGATCACATTGTATCGCTTGAATAGGGAAAGCGAAGCGCGATCCCACAGGAAGCGTGTAACCGTCGGAGAAAGTGAATGGCTTCTTCATAACAGCTCGTGTTACTGAGACTGAGGGAAAGTTAGCCTGGGAAATGCGAGTTAACAGACGCGCTTACCAACACCAGTAGGATATAAACGCATCGTTTCGCGTACAAAGCTTTCCATGAGTGGTGTCCGCGATGTAAAACTTGTCGTAAATCCGCCAGTTTCTTCAAGCGCGCGAGTTATCTCTGCCCTTAATGGCTCGAGGTATTCCGGGCTCATTAAGATCTGGTAGATCATCTGCACAACGAGACCACCAGGAGCACTGCTCCCTGCGAACATAAGGTGCATCAACTGTTTCGCCATCCGGTCTGGGTTGGATTCTATTTTATCATCTTTCGCGAGATCAAGCACCCATTTAATTGCGTTGTTGCAGTTATTGGACTGGCTACACACCTTTTCGATTTGGCGGATCAGGTGCTTCGTACAGCGCGAGAGGTGCACTCGATGCTGCGTGGCTGCCAGCCATGCCACTAGGTTTCTGAATGGTCCTAGTGCGATACCATTAATCATAATGGCGCTAACAAAGAGAGACCGGTTAAATAGTTGTGACTCTTGGATAAAGTCTTTGTCGCGCGCAAGTTCTTTGCCTAGCAAGATACGAGATGTAATGCGATGCGCCATCTCCGTGAACACGGGGAAAACTTGGATCGTCTTCCATTCGCTCCCGATACCTAATTCTGCTTCGAGAACGTACTCGCATTCTTCCCTCATGGTTTCAACTAGCGACGCTACAGGCTGATTAGACAAAGGAAGCACATGATGGTGTCGATGCTAACATACGCAGCTGGGGGTTGAGATGCTGTTTGACAGCATCGGGCATGATCTTCGATGCGTAGACATCTCCAGCGGAAACATGAACATTGAAAGCCTCGCTAAAACAATGCGCAAAACTAAGGTTGTCTTCATCTGCTTTGCGTACATCATCAAGATATTTAGGGGGCATCAAAAGGTAATCCCGTCCAAAGACCTTGGCGATGAATGGCTTTCCCAGCGATTTGTGAAACTGTTTCCCAATCAGTTCTAGAAACAATGACCAATCAGGGCTTACTCACCCTTCGGTATCCACGTCTAGCCCATTTATCCATCTCGAATCGCATCGGTATTTGGCCTGGAATTAGTGACCACCATCTTGGTTTTCCAAAACTCGCAGCACTGTAAGGTGTTCTGCGGGACAACAGAAAGGCAGCGACGAGGATGGGCAGTGTAATTGGCAAGATCCAAGACACAGAATGGTGCAATTCGGTTTCAATCTCGACCAGCGTTGACGAATTTTCCATGGAGTCCATTTTGATGTCCAATAATCGTGACGATTGGCATCGGGTGCTTACTGAAATAGTCGTAGAGTAGGTACCTGAGTCGGTGACCGACCAATTTTGAATCTCGTGTTTCATGCACGATCGCAGGAATTTCTAGGGGATGACCGTTTTTTTTGGTGGATACCCTTTTTCAATGAATCGTTTCTACTCTTTTCATCATCTAGTGAAGAGATATCACACTCACAACGATGGAAACGCACGACATGCTCCTCAAGCCCACCAGTGGTACCTCAACACCACACCTTCTCCTTGTTTTCGCGCAGATCTTCTTCCTATCTTCCTCTCCCTTCCCCCTGCGCAGGCCTCTAGCTATAACAACGCTTACCGGACTTGCAATCTGGGCACAGTTAAGCCCATGGACACACAATCCTGGCACCGCTAACTTCGCCGCTCTTGCCTGGCCACACTGGCTTGCCACCATTGAGAAATTTCTCAATCACACGCCGAATCCAGAATCCGCTCTTTGGCCTGTGGACAAACAGCCCGGTGTTGCATTGACATGGCCGGCTTTTGGATGGCGCAAGCTCAAATGGTCTGTCTCGCTGATTCTCAATCTGCGAGGTATCAGGTACAACTTTCAGGTCAAAAATGTGCCCAAGACGAGGTTTTGGTCGAGTGAGCGGACCGGCACGTTGAGGTTTTTGACCTGGCAAGTCGTCGAGCTGGCGTTGTTCATGCTCATGGGAGATCTGGTAGCCCAGTTGAGTATTAGACTATTTTTTCCAACACCTGGTTTGGACAGTATGACGCTTACGATACGTGATGCAAATTGGACGGCGAGCTTTGGGAAGGCTTTGGTTTTTGGTGCTGGCCCCTATTTCTTTATCAATATGCAGTATATCTTGGCTTCTATTGTATGTGTTGGATTGGGCATCAATAGGCCAGAGGTAAGTAATCACCTTCTTCTGTCAATCATTTTGATCTAGGACTTGGTCTCATCACCTGAGTCCGTAGGATTGGCCACCTCTTTTTGGCCGTCTAGCAGAAGCTACGACTGTCCGTTCATTCTGGGGAAAGTTCTGGCACCAAATGATTCGCAAGGTGAGCTAGCTCCTTTCAACAAAACTCTACCATGGGATCATGACTGACATTGCGTCAAAGCCGCTCTCAGGTCTCACAGGCTCCTTAGTTGATGCTCTTGGCATAACCCGCGGAACAAATGCCTCCTCATACACCCAACTATGGATCTCCTTCGCTGTTTCCGGCTTCATGCATGCGGCTTCAATGACGCTGATGCCGTGTCCCGCAAATATTCCCGAATGGCATCGCTGGAGAGGTCTGCTGCTGTATTTTCTATGGCAAGCTGCGGCTATCACTATTGAGGATTTTGTCATCTTCACGGGCCAAAAGTTACTGGGCGGCATACAAACAAGAAAAAAGTGGGTGCATTGTTTGGGATACTTATGGGTTACCTGGTCGTTCTGGACATCATTGGCATGGGCAGCGGATGTATTGTTGAAATTGAGAATGGGAGAGACCTCACCATTCCCTGGCACTTTATGGGGTCCATTTCTAGATCAAATCCTGGCTTAGTGAGTTTTTTCTGAACGAAAGTATGTAGCCACCAATCAAACTCCAAGTCTCGCAAGTGCTTTTGTATGCACGATAATGGGGTGAAAGTTGTTGAGTTGCCTTCGTGCGATATTCTGTTACTACTTAGTACTGCATGGAGATGCATGAGAATCTTAGTAATCTTATTTATCTTCAACTCCTTGTCTTGCAAACCTACATAAAGCTAGTTCGTATCTATTTCTGCTTGATTTCCTTCTTACAAAGTTATTACTCTTAATAGTCGTACGTTGCACCTTTGAACATGTAAGCAGTGCCCAGAAAGAAAACTCTACATCATAAAAGTGAAGCATATCTTTCTAGATCTACTAATTGGCATTGCGCTCTTCTCGTCTGGGGAATAAGGAAAAATCGGCTTTGTACCGGTCGTCAAATATAAACAAAACTGCAGTCAAGTTGAAACAGTAAAGACATGCAAACTATTAGGAGCAAAAGAAATTGATTCGGCATCCAGCGCCACAACACATCAAGCAAGATATTGGAGTATTTATATAAAAATACACCCGCATACATCTATTCGTAATAGCAGCATGGTATAGCAGGTGTAAATTGCTTCAATTAAATTTGATCACCGTCGTCAAATTGGTCTGTAACGATCGCAAAGAGGTTTTGTATTTTATTGCCATACTTCCGTTTATCCTGTCTCAGCTTAGGTCACATTGTTGAAAGGACGACTCTTCGAAAGCTTATACACCCTGGAGAACATGCAAGGAAGCAAGTGCACAATCTCAATGTCCACCAAAAACCAAACACCTTACCTCAATGCTCTCTCTCCTGGGTGCATCTGGCTTCGTCTCCGGATGCTCAAACGCACAGTGCGGGCAAACTGTACATCCAGACAGTCAGCATTCCCGTTTCTTTGAACTGCGAAAGATTTCATCACTGTCGTGTAAAGAATGACTTACGTTTTGCAGGTACATCAGGCGAGTTGTCGTATATCTTGATAAGTAGCGCTTCGTCGGGTCGTTGACCACCGAGGTAATACCACTTCTGGCCTGAGCCGTGGCTGATGTTGTATGTGGAGCCAAGTTCTTCCCACTGGTTCTTCCACAGGTCGGTAGCATGCAGGTTTTCTTCGCGCAAGGACTTGCCGTCCATAGTTGCGAGGGGCCAGTCTTGGACGGGGCCGTTGATCGGTCGCCAGACGCTGATCATATGTGTCAGTGTTGATGCCTTTTTTCGTTTGGCCCGTATGAGCCGTTGCATAACTCCATGTACTCACTTAATTATTCGAAAGCGTCCCTTGAGCAGCTCCTCTGCTTCCTCGCCGGCGTATTGACGCGCTCGGCGGATGGCACCTTTTGGCGTTCTACAATTGTGTTAATCTTCTTGAACCACTATGTAAAAATATTTTGGGCATACTGATCGACGTGGACCTGTTGTTGTGTTAATGAGATTTCTTCTTATCGTGTGCGGACTTGTGACGTGCCGTTCGCCCTGGCTGTTGCTTTCCTGGGCTACCGAAAAAGCCTTCCTTTGGATCGCGTTTACGGATCGAATGGTTGAATATGATGACTTTATCCGCCCCTGTTTTGCGCTTTACCAATGCTTCAACTGCCGGATAATATTCTTTCTCGATCTTCTCGGTGTTGATGTCGCGGATTGCTTGCAATAATTCTTGTCGTCCTCCATCACTGTCATCCACAAACGCGAAAGCGTGATCATTTAGGGTGAAACTTTCTTTGGCTGATCGACAGTCCTCTACGCTGACCTTGTACGGGATCCAGTCGTAGTTTTTAACCTCAAAACCGGGATCGGGATTTGTGCGGTAATATGGTGCTTCTATCTTATCTTGCCATGGCTCTATGTAGAGCATTTCTGTATCGTACTTGGGGAGTGCAGACATTTTCTTCAGCATGAATCTATATCTAGTCAGCCTTGAGTGGAAGATACCGTAGAATGTTGGTCTACCTTGGGTCCTCTGCAACCTGCATATAAACGATCTACATAGGTCGGTGTCCGTGCAGGTTGAATTGGCGGGTAACAGATCGTTCCTTTCTGCTTAGGTCTGTTTCATTAGAGCATGCTTTTGAAGTTCAAGTGCTCCCACAGGTTTTAGATAACTGTTGCAGGGTTTTAATTTTCATCCGGGGTATTGATGCATTTCCAGCGTGTAATGTAACGGAATTGAGACCTGCAGATTTTTGGCGGTCCTCTACTCGGTACCCGATCTAATATGCGCCAACATGATTAGGGTCCTAAATATAACGTAGCCTGCACTTGGTAGCATGCAAAAGAATCTGATCATTCTAGTGCAGGCGGTGCATGTGCAGACGGAGAGACACAATGGGGACTTTTTCATTGTCTGAGAACAACACGCAGACAGACTCTCTCTCTCTTTTGAACCTGTTTTCGAACGCCAAATCGGTTGGAAAACCCGAGGTGTGGCGTCCTTACATGATCGTACTGGTCGCAATAACAGTCTTTGTCATTGGACTGGGACCTTTCTACGACTTCATTGAACGACGGGGCAACAAGCATGTAGTTCTCGGAGACTGCGGATGGTGGCTGAGAAGAACCATGATGACCAAGTTCAATCTGGATCCGAACAACGTTGTTTTTGACGGTTACAAAAGAGTAAGCAAAACCTGAATCTGATGATCTTCGAGAGCGCTTTCTCTAGTCAAAAAGAATCCAATAGGAAGAGCAGGCTGAAGTTTTTGTACTTCACTAATGATTCATATAGTACACCAAGCAAGATAAGATCTGGGCAACATGGATCAACGATGAGCTGATCCATATCCTTCCACCAAAGTTTTTCGATGATGTTAAGAATCAACCGCTACAGAAATTGTCTTTTCTGAAAGTAGTTGATGAGCATTTCATGTGGAATCTGCATGTCGGCGATATGGTATGCCAACGAGATTACGTTAAAGCAGTCAAGTCGCAACTGAACTTCAGTCTTCGTAAGATGTCCACGAACCCAGATCGTGAGTGGGGAAACAATGCTAACATTTTCCCTGATAGCGAGTATGACCAATTATATTGCAGACCAAACTGATATCGCCATTGCCGAGCGCATCGCACCGCCCGCGAACACTCGAGGCTGGAGAACCGTCATGCTTTGGGATGCAACTCTCGACATCATCCACCGGGTGACTGCTGCCGTAATGGTTGGGCCTGATCTCGCTGCTACCCCCGAATACATTTACCATGCGCGTGGCTACACCGAGGAAGTGACATCATGGAACGCACCTCTTTTCGCCATGCCTGCTTTTCTCCGGGTGCCATTCTTCTGGCTGTCCAAAGGAGGCCGTCAGATCCGCTACCACCAGCGTGAGGTACAAAAGTTCGTTTACCCTGAGTTGCGCAAGCGACAGGCAGCTGAACACTCGAGCGAGAACTTTGCGATGTTGGATGGGCTACTCAAGAGCGCTAAAGATAACACTGAGGCCTCATACGCTCGAATCGTCAACCAGGAATTGTTCCTCACATTTGCAGCCGCAGGTCTGTTCTCCGTGGTTGTATGTCAGCTTATCCTCTCTGCTCTCGGACATCCAGAGTATCTTGAGCCGCTCAGGGAGGAGATTGGAAATGCAGTTCGCGAATGCGGAGGTTGGAACAAAGACGCTTGTTCGAGAATGCCGAAATTAGACAGTTTCTTGCGAGAGACTTTGAGGTTGAGTCCTCCTACAGCGCGTAAGTTGATCCCTAGGTGCCTAAAGTTGGATAATGAGATTTGGTTGACCATGTTCCAAAGTTACGCTACAACGAAAGGTTGATGTGGACATTCCCCTGTCCAATGGCGAAGTGATCAAAGCTGGTACGCTTATCGGGTTTCCCACTCTGGCTATCCAACGAGATGAAGAGTACTACGAACGCCCACTGGAATTTGATGGATACCGTTTCTACGATGCCGACACAAACACTGCGAAGGTCAAATCGGTCACACAAAGCCGCACTTATCTACCGTAAGCCCACGTCATGCAGTGCTCGCTGTACGCTTTAAGACTAAATGGATATATGCAGATTTGGCTACGGCACTCAAACGTGCCCCGGAAGGTTTTTGGCAACCGAAACATCGAAGATAGTCTTTGCAAAGTTCTTAGTTGACTACGAGATGCGCTTTACACCTAAGCGCATCGGAAAGCCTGTAGACTGGCCGATTGGAGGGCAGATTATGCCTAGCATCGACGCATATGTGTCATTTAGGTTGCGAAAACGGTAATTTGGCATCACTGCACTTGGCCAAGACCGTGACGGCTTCGGCATCGAGAGATTGTAACTAGTCTTGGGTATTAAAATTGTAGTTGTGATATCTTCATTGCCGAAGGTCGGAAACCGAGCAAGGGGCTCACGTAAAATGCATATACAACTACAAAAATACAAATCGATGATATCTCGTATTTTGCACGAACCTGAAAGTGGTATCAAGTTTGTCTGCCCAGATAAAATATGTCTGGTACTGAGGTTGCTCAAAAGCGACCTAACGGGGAAGTAGTGATTGGGGATGTAGAATGTGACGGTAGGACCATCTTGTACGTCATCAGAGGTGAGAGGTTTTCCAAAAGAAACAGCTGTGATGGTGTAGTTTACTAACGTGTGATACCCTCAGCGGATCAAACATCCTACATCAACTACATCAAGCCGCTGATCTTAGCGGAGGAGCTCGGCTTCCCCCATCTACTCTCCGTGATCGATACACGCGATGAGTGGTTCTATGCAGTGCATCCAGAGCGCATGGTTCCGTCACTCAAGGATCGGGACGATGAAACGGGCGAGAAGATCATAGTATTTGAAGGTACAGCCTGTTTGCAGTACTTAGCTGCAAAATACGATAAACAGGGACAGTGGACCGGCCGAACAGCATGGGAGAAAGCACAAGTCCTTTCTTGGACAGCTTTCCAGACTGCTGGGCTCGGGTATGTGTATTTCCAGAGTGGCATACCTTATTTATGTCCCTATCTAACGATGACAGCGCGACGGCTAAATACTGGCTGTACTTCCTACGAGGATACCCGAGCAGACAAAATCCTGAGCCCATGCCGAGAACATGCGCAAAGTGAGTCATCATACTTTGAACCTCGCTTTTTTGCTTAGCTGATGTCACGGATGTAGACTCCACGTGAACACATTGAAAGCATGGGATATGCTAGAAGCAAGGCTGGCTCTTGAGGAACAAAAGTATATTGCGTTGCCGGACCGTCCAACTCTGGCAGATATTTCCTACTTTCCGTTCTCTATGCCATGGATGTTTGGCTTCTTTGGAGTAGACATTAACAATTGGCCCAACATCAAATTGTGGGGAGAGGTAATGATGGCGCGGCCGGCAATACAGAAGGTCATGGCGACAGCACCCAGCATTGGACACTGAGTTGCACTGTAATTAAAAGTCTGATACTGTGATAAAATGATTGCAATCGTGGGCAATACATGGTCCTGCGGCTGATGAGTGTCTGGCTGAATGATGCAATACAGGTTCGGTCACCGACCCAAGACAAGGGCTTAGGCTACAAGAACGTCATGGTCGTCTTTGACCCATGCCTACAACGGGATACCTATGGACAGCAAAGAGTAGTCCAAAAGATTCAGAGACAGCATGGGACCCAGCAATTCGGAGACAGAACGGCTTTTGGGCGCAGAGGCTGATGGCGTAGAAGCCACGCCAAAAGAAACACCCCCAGGTTACTATGCTATGCCTATTTCCTTTTTAGCCTCATGCGCCATGGCAGCAACAGCGGCCTCGACTATATATGGCTATGCCCACATTGTGTGCAAGGACGCGTCGCAGTGCGAGGATGCAGAAAAAGCAGCGTACGCATCGGCGGTGGCCGCGGCAACGACGATTGCAAACATGTGCGGACTGATGGCAGTGAGCGTATACGAGCGGCTGGGGACCCAAAAGGGGCTTGGAGTGTGGATAGGCCTTAGGGCGGGTAGTGTCGTGGTACTCGGTGCTGGAGGTACGTAAGGCAATGCATGGCGAGACAGAGAGAGACAGTCTAAGAGGCTGACAAGTGGTCAACAGTGCTTCGCAGGAGCGTCAGTCTGGCCTTGGGCGCGCGTGTGCTCGAGGGTCTGGCGACAGATAATACGCTACACATGATGCTGAATGCTTTATATGCGCACAGCAAAGATCAGCGCCATGTTGGCAGGCTTATGTCGATGTCGCTGGCCCTGTACATGGCTGGCATGGCCCTTAGCCCCGCCCTGGCCGCGCTGCTTGCAGACTTTCGAGTCTCTTTTGCCGTCGCCCTCGTTATCTTTGGTATTACGGCTGTATACCTGGCCGCCATAGGAACATGGTTAGACGATGAGCGTGGTGACAATCTTGTCGGTCATGGTCATATGAGAGAGAGTGGCGGTACTGACACCAACGCTTCGCCATTATCTGGCCTGGCCAGCCTCGCCCGTCCCGCTCTGCGCCTGTTCAGCCATCGAGTGCTTGCTGCGCACGGCGGAGCTATGTTTCTGTACAATGCAGCCATATCGTACATGTTTCCGGCCTTGATGGTGCATGCGACCCTCGAGTTTGGATTCACTCCAGCGCAGAACGGTCTCCTCTTGTCTGTTGCAGCGGGCACGTCTTCAATGCATCTCATCCTTGCTGCCGTAATGTCCAGGCCTGCTCGCAATGCCGCCGCTGTGCTGGTCTCTCTCACTGTGCTTGTCGCCGCTTTGGCCGCGCTGGCCATGGTTCAGGTGCCATGGGCCTTGTTCCCCGTTGTCGCTGCGGCCTCCTTGGGCCTGGCTACGCCGTCGTTCGTCAAAGCCCATCTTGTACAGCGTAGGCCGCACGATGGCCTAGCTGTTGCTGCTCTTTCTGTCGCAGAAGGCCTAGGCAGTCTGGTCTCAGCCCCGCTACTCGGTGCATGGCAAAGCACTCATCCGGGTGGCAGTGTGCTCTATGTTGCTGCCACTCTCGCTGCCGCATCAGCCATGGTCTTTGTCTTTGGGTGCGTGTAGTTTCATGAGTAGCATGGATTTCTCAAATCACTTCACAGTTCCAACATCTCACAGTCAAACAGAATACTCTACGGTTGTGATAAAAGGCGACGATTCAAATTAGTGGCATGGAACGCAGATGTGAACCGTCAACTGCAGAGCTTGGTGCCGAGGAGCAATCTTCCTGTCTGCCACAACAACCTCACAACTCTGTATTTCTCACCACTAAATTTAAATCTATAGATTTCTTAAACCTGGCTAATTGCCTAAATTAATCGCATGCTGCTTCTTCCACCCCACCGCAATACTCCTTCGCTATGCATCTGATATGATCAACATCCTGTTCCAACTCTGCACACTGTTGCAACAGCAAAGCGTCTAGCTGGTATAAAAGCTCAGCATATCGGTACGCTGGGTCGAGCAGATACTCGACCGCCGCTAGCAACATAGTCTGCACAATCTTGACAAATGCTTCTGGAATGTGATCCGTGTCATACTCTAGTCTCACGGAGAGATGATCTGCAAACATATGCCATTCGAATAGCATTCCAAACTTGGACCCTTCTGTCCAAATATGAAGCGGCTTTGCTCCAGCAACAGGAAAGATGCATTGTTCAGTTATGCGATCGTCGTGAAAAGTGACGACACAATCGAATAGTTGCTGGCGGCGCGATGGGAAAGGCAGACCAAGATGTTCCAGCAATTGGGGCCAGAGGATGGGGTGCGAGAGCGAGGCTTGCGATGCGCATTGAGCTGTGTGTAGTGTCTCTAGCGATGTCACCGCGTCATCTACCTTCACGCGTATGGGGAGCGCCTGGAGATAAAGACCGATAGTTTTCTGGTCTTCCATTGAGGGGCGATTCATGTACGGGCTGCCTAGTACGATGTCGGTTCGCTTACACAACCCATACAGAATTGTGGCCGTGGCAGCAAGGCCAAATTGGTGGAGTGTGAAACCATTGTTTGTTGTGAGAGCCAAAATTCCTTGGCATATGTCCTGAGGAACGGAAAACACAAGTGACGTGCCATTGTAAGACTTGTGCCACAACGCGTCTTCAGGCTTACGCTGAGCTGCAAGACCTTGAAGGTTTGTTGACCAAAAGCAAGCTGTTTCGCCGTCTAATGGCTGACTCCATGCTGTTGACTCAAAATACTCATGTTGTACAGCCGGTAGTTTTCCGCCATTGTAGAGTGTCGCTACTTCCGTCAGGAGCACATTCAATGCCGTAAGATCACATATAATGTGAGAAATACTGATGGCCAACAGCGAAGGAGACAGTGTAAATCGAGCCAAAACATCATTGGTGAGGTCGAAAGGGCGATTAACGAATTCGTGCGTATCGAGAGCATCAACCATCTGAGCTTTGATAGGATCATCTCGGATGACACGAGTTGGATTGCCATCTTTGCCTGGCATAAAGCGCGACCTCAGGATACAATGTCGGGATATGACGGCATTGAGTGCGTTCTCAAGGCGAATCAAGTCAACCTCAGAGCCCAGATTAGCGAGCCAAGGGACATTGAAAGCACTTTGGTTTTTCGATTCGTGATATCTGTGCCACCACTCTAACTCCGCCGGTGACAACGCATGGGCACCTAGAGGACGAATAGCACGTTTCTCGTCCGATTGCGCATCCCACCGGTTCATACGCGCTTGGATAATAGCCGCCATGTCACCAAGTGTGGGGGCTTGAATAATGTCCTTGATGGCGAGGGGTATATCCAACATACTGCGTAAGCGGGTAGCCAGGTCCAACTGTAGCACTGAGTGACCACCTAATGCAGTGAAGCTGTCTTTTGCACTCAATCTGGTCAATGCATCAATGCCTAGCAAGGCTCGCCACTCGTGCGCAACCAGACTTTCGATGCGAGACAAGCCCTGCTCTGGGTCTATGACGGCGCATGGCATCTCGAGGACAGAATTCTGCTGCGCCAGCGCCTTGGCATCCAGTTTCCCGTTTTTCGACAGTGGCAGTTGCGCCTTGGCGATGATGTGTTTGGGTTGGGCATGATGGGGAAGAACGGAACGCAGTCGATGAGCCAGATGTTGAGTGTCGACAACTTCTGGCTCCACCCATAAGACGAGCTTCCCTTTGTGTTCTGTGGCAATGGCCTTGCGTATGGTTGGCATCTCGCGCAAAGCAACAGTGCCAACATCATCAAGGTTTATACGGAAACCACGCATCTTGATCTGTCTGTCCTTTCGTCCACACAAGTGGACATTTCCCGATGAATCCCAGAAGCCAAGATCACCAGTGCGGTACATGCGTTCACCTTCAGAAGGGGATGGGCAGAAGGGATCAGGTAAGAAGTCGCGGGTGTTCTGCTCAGCGAGTTCAGAGTTGATATATCCTCGACTGACTTGTACGCCTGCAATGAAGACGTTACCGATGACGTGTGGAGGTGAGAGATTCATGTCATCATCGAGAATGTACAGGCGCGTGGACGGTACCGGAGGTCCAACATTGACAGGCACACTGACTCGCAGCCTTTGCTGACATGACCCGATAGTGCCCTACCAGCGCTGTGTAAGTATACATGTTTGAAAGAGCATGTGAATTTAGAGGGGTTGAAGAAGGAATACGACACACCTCCGTTGGTCCATAAAGATTGAATAGAGTCCGGCCTGCAGCCCATTTGTCCAGGGTCGGTTGCTGCACAGGCTCGCCTGCAAAGTACACCTAAATTGTTGTAAGTAGCGGGTTTTTGCCAGTTGATGAAGGTGAAGTACAAATTTTAAGTTAGGGAATTCGCTTGGATCGAGACCGGCAGCGACTGATGGCGTCATCATAGCAACATCGACATCAATGAGGTGTGAGAAGGGGTCGTCTTGCTCAGTTCTTAGCACCAGCGTAGCGCCATGGCTAAGGGTCGCAAATATTTCGTGAACACATCCATCAAAGCCGGGAGACAGAAACTGGGCAATGCGGACGCCTGGGGCGCTGTTAAGGCGTACGTCCAAGTCGGCGTGAAACGCAGTGACGGCGCCATGGACGCATGCGACTCCTGTAACCTCATCAGTTAATTGCTCGAGTATACGACGTACCGCATGGAGTGAAGAAGTTACCTTTAGGTTTGCCAGTAGATCCGGAGGTAAAGCACAGGAATGCAGCATCGCCAGAACTCGGCCACCTGGTTAGCACGTGAATGTCATTTAGCAATTCATCCGCCAAAAGATCGTCGATGGCAAGTGCAGTGACGCTCTGTGGCATCAGCGCATGGACTAGTTGCGACCTCTGAGTACAAAGCAACAATGTGGCGCCGCTACTCTTCAGCAGCTCGTCGCGATATTCAACCGTATGGGACGAATCGAGGGGACAATAGACGCCACCAGCTTTGAGGGCAGCGCATATACCCACGATCCAATTGATGGAACGATCTGCAACAACGCACACAACGTCGCCTGGTTGCATCAGTTGCTCCATAAACGCTGCTACTCGTCCCGACTTCATCATCAGCTCCGCGTACGTCAACTGGATACCACCCTTCTTCACGGCGATGCGCTCAGCATTTGCCTGCGCAGCGTCTTCAATGCAACTCGTTACTGTCGGCCCTGTTGCACGGATTCGTGAAAGAGACGAGTTCCAATTGCCTCTGGACAGCAGCATGTGTCTTGTTTCTGCATCGAGGCGTCTTCTCAAGCAGTCTTCGACAGCGAGGTCTGGTTGCGTCAAAGCATGTAACACGTTTTGATACACATTCGCCATCTGACGTACATGCTCTTCGGTGAAACTGTTGCAACGGTATACAAATCGCACCCGTCCATCGCCTTCAACAAGGACAGTGAGTGGAAGTGCTGGAGTCTCTGCAACGACAGGTGGCTGAACTGGTTCTATTCCCCCTGACTGAAGAGTGGGAGAATCGTATTGCATGGCAAGCGCAGACGCGAATCGCAACGGATCTCCCTTGCGCTCAAATGTCTGAAATCTGGAAAGAGACTGCACTGCCTTGTATGTCTGCTCCAGGAATGCATGATTGGGCAGAGTTCTGTCGATTCCCATGCGTAGCGGCTGTGTGGCTATAAGCGGGCCGATGATGCTGTCAGCGCCTTCAAACCCCAAAGTCCGAGCAGAAAGCACAGCTCCAAAGAGAACTGTTGTAGCATTGGTATAACTGGATAAGACCAGCGCCCAAGCTGCATAGTGAAATGTCGCAGCCGTTGATTTCCCAGCAGTACTGAGCTTGGCTAAAGATGCAACATCCAGTTCCGTCTGGAGGATATACTCTGCAGTCCTTTCGGGTAGAACTGGTTTTGGTTTGGGGAGCAGCATATCGCCTATCGCGTCGCCAAAATCTTCATCTTGTTGCGTCCAAAACATGCTTGCCTCAGCTGATGTTGAAACTGCATGTCGGCGAATTTTGTCGACAGCAAGAGTGATAGGAGGTGATGGGTCGAAAGGAATTCCTCTTGCGGCTTTTGAAACCTTATTCAAAATCAATGAGGCGGAGAATCCATCCACCAACGCGTGGTGGATGGATAATATTACAACGCTTTGATTTCGAGGGAGACAAGTACCATGGCAGTGCAGAATTGCAAAAGAGGTCCCTAACCCAGCAGCTACCGCCGCTTCCCTGGTTCTTTGCTCAACCTCGCGCATCGACTTGACTTGATGTTCTCTCCACAAAACTATTGCTTTTTCGACAATGCGCTGTGTTTGTGTATCGATGTCGAGCTCAGTATGGAAGATGGGCTCTGCCGTAATTACAGTACGCCAAGCCTGCTGTAGACATTGCACGTCTTCACTGCGGTAGGTAGCAATGTATTGCACTACATTGGCTGTCTTCTGATGTACGCTCTCGTAAATGAGCATCCTTTGCAACCACATGAGCGGTGCTTCCGATGCTATCTCGGGTGATGGAGAAACCTCTGTTGGTGTTCGAGCTGTGTTGGCATAGGCATCAAGCAGGCTGTTGATAGAGGGCGACACGAGTAACTTTTCCATCGGTATTGTGAACCCGCGCTTGCGACAGTACGAACAAAGCATGATGGCTGCAAGAGAATGAAGGCCCTGGCTAACAAAGGACTGGCTGAGGTCGATCGCAGATGTCGGTATATCAAGTATGCTGGCCATTCCGCTGATGATTGTACATTGCAATCCGCCAGCGTGCTCTGTGTCGTCGGGAGTATCTATGACCATGTCTCTCATAATTTCAATCAATTTTCGCGGATCTACTTTGCCGTTTGGCGTGATTGGAAGTGACTCGAACCCTACCATGTGGTCCGGTACAAGGTAAGGCGGGACCTTGGCTCTCCACCGGGATTTGAGTCCCGGAATGTCTGAAGGGATTGGCGACAAAGCGGTATATAGCTTCCCATTCAGCTTGAGTGAGTAAGCCGCCCTAATGGTGGGATCCAAAGCTAGCAATGCCGCATCGACATCTAGCTCAAGGTTGACCAGGAACCCTCGGACCTTGACAGTTCGATCGAGCCGTCCACAAAACTCGACAAGCTTTTCTCCAGATGCGTCACAAAACCACTTCGCACGATCGCCGGTACTGTACGTTCGTTCCCCATTAAACAAAAGGAACTTCTCATCTGTTCGACATTTGTCCCGCCAGTAGCCCCTGGCCAGCCCGATGCCGGAGATATACAGCTCTCCTTCTTCTCCTGCCACGTCAATTTCTCGCCCCGAGGCATCTAGAATGTTGACTCTAGCGCCTTTGATGGGACTTCCTATAATAGTTGGTCTGAACTCTCCAGTCTGAGGACATTTTCGCACGATCCCAGTGAGAGTCGCGCATGTTGCTTCTGTAGGGCCATACGCAATCCACACTGGTCTCTTTAGAACACTCCAAGCTGTAAGTAGCTTTTTTGAAGCTGTTTCCCCACCCAAGACTATTCTGTCTAGCATGGGGTAGTCGTGTAATGATTGTGGTGGTTCCAGGGCTTCAAGTATGGATGGTGTCATGACGAGGACACTGCATTGGAGACTTCTCTGTTGCAGGGTGTACCGTGATGCCAGAATCAACGTTCCACCGTTGCATATTGAATTGAATAGAGTTCCCATGCAAGCTAGTATAGGTCAGATCGTTTGGTGCAGAACATTGAATCGATTTCACTTACCGTCAAAAGCCACAGAGAGCACTAACAGCACTCGATCTTCCGGAGTGACATCGTAGTTGAAGTGCGGTGATGTAACAAAGTTCGCTAACGATGAATGCTTAATCTCCACACCCTTGGGCTTTCCGGTTGTTCCAGATGTGAAGATTAGAGCTGCTAGTTCTGGAATCAGAACCATTTCTTCATCATCCAGGCTCTCATCAATTTCATTTTCTTCTGCATCGATCATCACCATACTTGGTAAGTCTACCTTTGGTCCCGTATATACGACGATCGAAGCATCTGTTCTTCTCAGCACATCCACAATTCTTTCCTTGGGCCATTGTTCGCGATCTATTGGTGTATAGATTGCACCGGCTTTTAAGATGGCTAGTATTCCAACCACCATACACAAACAAGAGTTCGTGATAAGAGGTATGACCTGCGAGTGGCGCACGCCATTGTCTCGCAGTCTTTTGGCCAAGGCAGACGATCGGCGATCCAGAACGCGGTAGGACAATGTCTCAGCTCCGTCTTGTACAGCTATGTTGTTAGGAAAGAATCGGCAAACGTTTTGAAAAAGGTCCAAGACAGAGAGACTGTGTTGGTGATTCATAGTGAAGATATGCAGTCGATAAGATGACAGTCGCTCAAATTGATACTATAACGCTCTTGTTCGGTACAACAGTGATTTCAGGCCTTCTAATTAACAAACTCATGACCATATTAACACATGACGCGCAGTGCGCATCCTCATGTCGGTCACCGATACATGCAAAAAATCTTGTTCACTTCCGATCGATCAATTGGCAGTCCAGAATCTATATTTCTCTCATCATCAAAGAATAGCAATTCCTTATAACTGAATTATTCATTGCATCATCTGAGACGATTTCACGTGGTCGCCAAATTAATTGAGCTCTCGGAATGGCACTTTCTGATCGTATGCGGGGGACCGTTGAGTCGGTCATGCCGAAAATCATTATTCAAGTCACACAACGAAGCTCCATCAACCCGCCTATTGACTTTGGCACTGCCGAGAACTGGCTTATCAGAAAGGAGTTGGTGGATTTCTTCAAGCAAAGCATCGCCGAGGAGCTTGTGGAGCAGGTGGGTTCTAAATATAACTCTTTTTACACAGAATATGGAAAGCCTAATACCTCGCATAGGATCTATCATACCAGAAGGGCTTCGCTGGCGACCCACGAGTGATAGAAAGCCTAGTAGAGACTTTTAACAGATTCTTCTCACCCTACATACCTGTGGAACCCTCACATATTGCCGTTGGGCCTGGAGGCGCAGCTATTCTCGAATCGCTCTTACTCAATATCTGCGATCCTGGAGATGGTATGCTAGTCTTGGCGCCGTTCTGGAGTAAGCCACCCTGTTCTACACTTCCAACTTTGAATTTCTTCCAACTGACTGTACACAGGTGGGTTCCACTTTCAGTTTGACGTTGGCCCCAAAGTCAAGATCATTCCTGTCACCTCTGCCAATGAAGATGTGCTGAATGAAAATGTCGTTCACGACCTGGAGGCAGCTCTAGCACAAGCTGATCAAAAGCCCAAGGGCGTTATTCTCTGCAATCCGCACAACCCACTTGGCCAATGCTATACGAAAACTGCATTAGAGGCCACATGCAAATTCTGTGAGAAGCACAATTTGCACCTCATCTCAGACGAGATTTATGCCCTGTCAATCTATGAATCAGTAGACGTGCCAAACCCTGTACCCTTTACATCACTCCTGAGCTTAGATCTTGCAGCAATGGGTGTCAATCTTGCGCGGGCGCATGTGATTTGGAGTGTGAGCAAGGACTTTGGATGCAGTGGTTTTCGGCTGGTAAGATACTTTCCAGAGGTCTCTATTCTTCAAGATTACGCTGACAGAAGGTCCGATAGGGCACGCTCGTAACCCAAGGCAGCCCTGCAATGACCTGTGGTGTAGCCATGGCCGCAAACACCCAGGTCTCTGGCCTTACAGCCGTGGCAGTCTCGTCGTTGCTATCTGATCTATCTACAACGGACAAATTCATCCAGATGAATAGAGAGAGGTTAGCCTGCGCTTACGGAAAAATGTCGGCGTTTTTACGAGCCCGCCAAATAAAATATATACCTGCTTACGCGGGTATCTATATCTGGGTGAAGCTGTCAGACAAAGTCCTTTCGTGGGATCAAGAATCTCAGTTAACGAAAATACTTGCTGAACACAATGTTGCCGTGAGTTCAGGGAAGAGTTATGCATCACAGGAGCCTGGCTGGTATAGGCTTTCATTCGCACTTGAGGCAGGGAAATTGGAAGAGGGATTGAAAAGGTTGGGAGAAGGCATTGATGCTTACGAGAAAGTCTGGTAGAGGTTATTCCTACTTAGAAAGGAAACTAAATCGCAAAAGAAGAATTCCTCATATACCCGAACTAATTTTAACTGAAAGGTCAAAGCAAAAGCCTCTCCCAATAACGGCCACATTTCCTAATGACAGCAGCTACACGCATACCATTCTAACACAGATTATGTCTCAAGACATCATAAGCGACAGATTGAGCGTCCATACCGTCCCCTCTTCCCCAGATTGGCGCATGCACGCAATCGTGCCACGCCCACATTATATACACAACGAATCTGACTACCTGCCCCACGCCAGCTGGCGCATTCCCGTCTGGTCCTAAGCTTGCCATCGTCATCCTCTCGACCAACAACATGACGGGATGCCAAAACGCCAAGAACAGCATCGCACCGATCCTGCGTCTCATGTCTTTCGGTTGCTCATATTTGGGAATATTGTGGAGGTAATTACAATACTCCTCTGGCAACTTTGCATCCGCAGCACCATCTGTAAGTAGTTTCTGTATACATGTGTCGCTTAGCAAGGCCTTCTTTTTTTTGATCCACAAGGTGAAAAACGTACCATGTACCTCGCACTAGGACTTGAGCTGGGAACTCGCCTCAAAATCGTCCCTAAAGTCCTGACGACAAACTCACTTCCCGTGATGAGCTCGTCGCTCTCCGTCGCTGGAATTGCTGGAGCTGCAATGTCGGCATATGCAATACCGCCACCCTCGGATGCGACCAGATGTACATATTGCTCTGCAGTAATGAGGTACGCCAGGCCAATTACCTCACGTGTCTTTTCATCGTCAACATCGGTAATCGGGCGAATGGATGTATAGGCCGGCTCTGAGTAGGGTGTCCCTGGAATTTCTGTGGTGAGGGTCCAGCCCGGGAGTTTTGCACGGGCAACCTTGATTGGATGGATCCCACGGGAGCCAGTGAATTTAGACAAGCTCATGTTGGAGCCATAGGCAAAGTACCAAACTGCAGTATTGGCGACCATCGTTGCAGTGTGGTTGAGTTGGATAGAACCGCTATGTGGGTGTATTGGTAGAGGTATTATGTTTGGTGTTGGATGTTGTCGGTAACCGAGATCGGCCATGGTGTGATTATCTGGTAGTAGTGCCCACGCCCAAGAGGTGAGTGCACCATTTCTCTCTTGAACACCCCGGTTTCTTTTCCAAAATACTGCTATGAAAGCTTGGCCTTCTAGCTGAAAAGTAGAATGATTCTGATGCATAGGTAAAGCTTTTCAAAGTTTCTACTACTAGAGGTCATTCAGGCCACCACTCATATACTGCTAAAGCACATTCAGACCTATCTTGATATCTTTTCCTACCCCAATAAAAAGCATTGTAATATAACATGATTGATTTTTAACTCCATTCTTGCTTAATTTTATTAATAGATAGATTTAATACTAAGAGTTAGGGAGAGGTTAAGTTGAGTCTTGTAAAATCCCCAATTAACCTAGCCTCTACTTGACCTCTTAGTAACCCAACTGTGCTCCCAACTCTACCTGTTTCTTACCGTACATCTGAGTCTTAATGGATTATTATCAAAGTAGTGTTGCGTTGAAGAAAGCTAGTACCCAGCAAACAGGCCCAGATTCATTCAAATCATTCAATTAATGCCAAGTTATCTCAGTTTTGCTTATAAATGCCAATTATGTCAATCTGCTAAATCCGACTGGACGGAGCGGAAAGTCATTTATCTTGCTGCACTTGCATTGCAGCGCCGTTGGCCGCAAAAAGACCCATGGAAAGACCTCCAGCAACTATCTTGAAGGGGCTGGCACAATCCCCAGCAGCAAATACGCCAGGGACAGTTGTCTCGTTGAAGGGTGGATTCACTTTCAGGTCTAGACCTGGAGTTAGCTCCACACCCAGCTGCTCTGCCCACGGTCCATTGATCTTGCTCCTTGGCTTGTGTGCGATAAAGCCGAAGACTTCCTTTGCGCCGTCTTCGAATTCAATCTCTACATCAGCAGTATCACCGGGCACCTTTCGGAATCTGACGATGCGCCTGGAGTCAACTGCTAATCCTTTTTCGATGCAAGCTTCTTGAATCTCCTGTTTTAGAGCTAGGTTGCCGTGAGTTAGGATAATGACCTTCTTAGCCAGCCTCTGGGCCATGCAGCCTACAGCAGTCGAATGCATCAGGTCTGCCATGTCCTCAACAGCAAGAATGCCGGCCTGGGCGGCACCGCGCTCCTCATAGCCATGGCAGAACAGACAGTGGTATCTAACGTGATCTTAACATTAGGTTCCACGTAAAGAGACTAGGCAACTTACATTCCACGGCCCCAGCATTCATCGTAACCCTCAATCTCTGGATACAAATCTTGTACACCAGTCGCCAAAACAACCTTTTTCCCTTTGTAAGTTTTACCCTGGTTGTCCAGCGCCTCGAAGCTTCCGTCCGACAGCTTTGTAATCTTCTCCACCTTTGCCTGGACAAACGTGGTCGTCTTGTAGCGATTCGTGAGGTCTTTGCGTGCTGCTTCACGGAATTTCTCTGGGTGCTGGTGATCCCATGTCGGGAGGTTGTGCATGTGGGGTGCCCGCGCATTGCGGTATACTCCATGGTCGAACACGATGCAGGGGTGCATCAAGCGACTGAGAGCAGTAGCTGCGGAGAGACCAGCGGGCCCACCGCCAATGATGAGAACATCTACGGCTGACATGATAGAGGTGTGGTAAGATAGATGATGTATTGAAAAATGTAGTAAGCGTGGGGTTGCTCCAGATATCCTTAACATGAGGGAGGTACTTTAAACAAAGATTATGTGCTAGAGAAGACCTTGTCGGCTACCAATTGATTGTGCCCTGGAACAGCAGGTCGGTCGCCGACGCGAGGTATATAGCGCTGATCGTGGATAGGGTCACCAGTTGAGACTTGCTAGAACAGGGTCATTCGATATTGAACAAAAAATGGAAATCGACATGTTTCATCTGCGCGTAGCTACGCGAGCAGATCTACCACAATTAGTCACCTTGGTCGCCGAACCTTTCTGCAGCGGTTCACTCGACACATCGGGCCTAACTTTCAGCAAAGACGAGATAACAGCCTACCTTGAGTGGCGTCTGCCACGTTTGCTACTCGACAGCCAGTCATTGGTCCTCATTCTGGAGTTCCGTCCTGTTAACTCGTTTAAGAAGGTTTCAGGTCGGATCATCGGGTGTAGCATATTGTCCCTCGGCTCTCTGGCATCTCGACCCTCATCAGCAGCACCATCATGTATTTCTCCATCCAATTAGATCAAGGTAGAATGATCTAATGCTTCTAGTAGATGTCGACGTCTCTTTTCTGAAGTTGCGTTCGGCCTTGTCCGACTTGACGGTATGGCCAGATACACAGACTGCTGAAGTCCACACCCAGTTCGAAGCTTCTCGAAGTTGCATTGAGACTTCAATTGGTAAAGACTCCATTTCTCTGCTATTTTACTACCTGCATCCCGATTTCCAGGGCTGCGGACTGGGGTCGAAGATGTTAGCCGAGGTTCAGGAAAGGGCGGAAGAGCTCAATCAACAACTTCCTTTTACAGCTGTATTCCGAGTTGAAGACGTCGATTTTGGTACAATATGTGGATTCAAGCATACAAAAAATGCTGGGAAACTGAAGGTACTTGAACGTGTATGCTAGTTGCTACATAGCTTGTCGGTCGCCGTTCATGTGGGGCGTGTTTTTTAGGTGTACAATGGCGACTATTTTGAGAAATATAAGATGCGTCAATTATAATCTTTCTGAGGTCTCGCTGACGATCACCTGAATCCTTTTACTGTGTACTTTGACTGCAAAGTCAATTTTTTTGACACCCGATTCCGGCTGGTTGGGGAGTGGCCTGCCATTCTTTTCTGAGATAATTGATCTGATACGCTATATAGCAAACAGAGATTAAAAAAAAATCAAGTCATACTCTTTCTGCGATGAAATATTGTCATGGAAGAAAAAAAAGAACAACGAAAAGCGAGCAGAATGGATTTTCTAAGGTATCCACTTCCATCTTTGAGCGAACGTGTACCTATGCCAGCAATCTTCCTTCCTTCCTTCTACTTGGTTCTGATCGCCTCTATCCTGATCCGGCCCCATTGGCTACGCAGCATCCTCATCACACCCATCCTCCTAATATACGTCTGGGCGTACCTGCATGTCACGGGAGGAGTCGATTCCGACCGGCAGAATATGACAATGCTCATTACATCCATTCTGATGTGGCTTGAATTCAACGTCATCGGCAACTCCGAGAAGGACCTGTTCCGGACATGGGAACAAGCCGTTCCTGTGTGTAACCGTTCCATTCTGCAGAGACTTGCTTGGAATTACGATCTCTGGACAACCTGGCGCGGCTGTGGGTGGAACTGGGGGTCTCGGAGATCGCCGAAGTTGCCGGGTCATGTTGCCAATCGAAAGTAATTCCTTTCCGCATACGCAAGGCAATCAAAAGACAAAAGATTTAGCTAACAAATACAGGACCTTCTTGATCGATAATGTAATGTGGGGAACGTACTGCTGGGTCATGAGTCAGATCTTGCTGTATTTTCTTGAAGTTACGCCATATACATGCATCTTAGAGCGTCAACACATCCGCACAGCGCCGCTTCATGTGCAAGTAGCCGTGGTATGGATCGCAGCTTGCTACACCCAGTACAGTATGAGTTTCATGTATAGATCTCTTACGTCTGTGCTTGTCGTGATCGGCGTGTGCACACCATTCCAGTGTCCTCCGTTGTTTGGATCATTCACAAAAATGTATACAGTCAATAATTTGTGGGCCATATGTTGGCAGCAGATGATGAGGAGGGTAAGAATACGCGAAGTCCATCTCCTAGCCATACCTCGACTTTGTTAACTCATGTTAGGCCCTCATATTGTTTCCCAACATGGTCGTCTCCACGTTGGGCGTTGACAAATGGGCGGCCAAATACACCCGCTTGATCCTCGCATTCCTTGTTTCGGGAGCCATTCATGCAGCTGGATCATGGAACGCAACGCGTGATTGTCTGGGTGATATGGAAATGTTTGTTCCTCAAGCGGCGGCAATAATAGTGGAAGATTGTGTCGTCTCATTAGGGAAGCGATTGGGGGTCAAGAAGTCAGGTATGTAATTCTGCTACTCTTCGACTGGGAGTTATACTAACACTTTGCGCTGCAGGCTGGACTCTGGCGCTTGGATATTTTTGGACATTTTCGTGGTTCAGCTTTTGTCTAAGGGCATGGGGCGGTCAGCTGCTTTGGGCGGGTATGTTCGCGTCGGATGGGTACAGCAGTGTGGTGTCACGAGTAATCCGCTAATAGCAAGCACATTTGAGGTAAACAGATGCATGATATAGGTAGAAAAGTTCTGCCAGTCAATTGAAAACATACTACATATCATTCTCTCTAATGTTACTTGACTATCTGATACGCAGGACCAGCTGACTGCCCCGCACCGGCATCGAGCTGCATCTGTAGACCGCCCGCAACAAATGCTCCCATCGCAACAGCAAACGTTCCAATTTTGAACGGATCACCACAGTCTCCCGCTGCAAAGACTCCGGGCGTATTTGTTTCAAAAAAGGGAGGATTAGTTTTGTAGAACCCAGAATCATTTGTCTCTACACCCAGATCCTTTGCAAAGGTACCATTGTTACGTGGCAAGGGTCTATGAATCATGAAACCCTCCGTTTTATTGCTGCCGTCTTCGAATACGGCCGTAAGCTGAGCTTGGACAGGTTCTTTGACGAAGCGAGTAATGCGGCGCGCATCGATGATGAACCCCAAGGGCTCAAGAGCCTCTCGGCACTCGGCAGCCAAGGCCTCGTTCCCGTGAGTGTAAACGGTTACAGGCCCCGAAGTGTAGCGGCGGCACTGAAGGGCCAGGTGACGAGCAGCCTTGAGGTTGTCATCACCGCCTGCAGCTAGCACACCTGCAGAGGCACAGCCACGCTCTTCGTAGCCCCGATGCACAAGGCAGTGAAAGCTTGTTGAAATATTTTTAGCTAGCGAATCGAGTAGAATACAGCGAGGCAACTCACATTCCCCTTGACCAGCATGCATTGTATCCGGGGATATCAAGTGGAACATCTTCGATGCCTGCAGCCAGGACTAGTTTGCGACCTCGCCAAGTACGACCTTTCGAATCGGTAGCTATGAAAGAAAATTCAGCCTCGGGATCGCGAACGACATTTTCGATCACAACTCCGGTGGCGAATTGAACTGTGTTGTATTTGGAGAGGATGTTTTGGCGTGCGGCAGCACGGTATTCTTCTGGATCACGACCATCCCACCCTGGAAGTGTATGCAACCAGTTGACATGGTGATTGCGATAGCTGCGAGAGTCGAAGACCACAGCCGTATGGAGAGACCGCACGAGGCTCAATGCGGTACTCAGACCCGCAAGTCCACCTCCAATGATGAGTACATCGAGACTGTCTGTCATTTTGGTGTTTGAGATTGTGTGATGGTGCTACCTCCTCCCTCCCTGCTCTTTTGTGTCGTTGCAGACGGCCACCTCGGATAGCGAGAACATCGGAGCTCGACATGTCCTTTGTCCTGACATGTGTTCAAAAGCGTCTTTCGAAGCCACCCCTCACATCCGCACAACTTCCTAACTTAGTTCTTGAGTTTGAAAATCTAACCCACTATGTCTGTGACGGCAACCATGCTATTCATGGCTCCAATGGCTGAGGAGCCGTTCTATCGATCTCAGCCCGACGAGGGCTTTGAATCATGTAACTTTTCTTACAACGCTGAGAAGGTCCAGGTTCAGGACGCACGCCCTACAAAAAACCAGTTCTCTCTTGACACTCATGGTTTCGCCCACGCAGACGACCCCGAAGGTGAGGCGTTTGTGGAGCAGCTCCGCAACAACGAGGAGGGGGCCAAGGAGCGCTACTACGAGCACCTGGAAAATTTGATCAAGAAACATACTGGCGCCTCGCGTGTAGTCGTCTTCGACCACACGATGCGGCGCCGCGATCCGTCGCTAGCAGGCAAGAATCCCGACGGTAGGGAACAACCGGCCGCCTACGTGCATGTGGACCAGTAAGTACCTTTCTGTCAAAGCATGATATCCTTTTCTTCTCAGATGAATCACATGCTGATTGGTGACACAGGGGCCCAGTGGGGGCGGCACGTCGAGTGCACCAGCATCTAGGTTACGAATCGGACCGCCTACTAAAAGGGCGTGTGCAGATTATCAAGTAAGTTTACCCCCAGCCAATGCGGGGAAAGTTAAGCACGAAGTCGCTAAGACATAGACGAAACCTAGTGTCTGGAGACCGCTCAACGGCCCCGTTCGGGACTGGCCGCTGGCAACGATGGACTTTACATCCTTGAAGCCTGCAAACTATCATCCCACTAACTTGTACCGAAATCGATTTGAGCTCCGAGGTCAGTCGTGCAACATCTCACATCGATCCGATCAGCGCTGGTACTACCTTGAGGGGCAGAAGAATAGTGAAGTAACCTTTATCAAAATTTGGGACAACAAGCCCAACGTGAGTGCCAAAGGTAAGTTGGCTCCAAAGGATGCCTTGATGAGTTCTTCTTTAGTGCTTGTAACTAAGTTTTGTTGCAGCATGTGCACACTGCGCCTTTGAACACCCCGATACGCCCAAAAATGCTGTACTGAGGGAAAGTATCGAGGTGCGATGCATCGTCTTCTATGAGAATGAGGACTTGGCATCATCACTGTGGTGGACCTGAGTACTTTAGTAATTTAGCAGTGACACTACTTTGTGCGGAGTTATGTTCAGCTTCTTAGCGCTATAGGCCTAATATATATACTACTACGCATTACCTAAAAACAATTTACTGTGCTACTTTATTGAGAAGAAGATTTGCGTGCGGGGGCCACTAACAAGGGGATGACACCGGCCGTGGAACCGGTAGAAAGAATTCCCGGCACTTTCAAATAGCCCATCCTTCGGCGTTATTAGCATCATTTACGCACCGCTTTCCTAAAAACTCTTAGTTTAGGAGGTATCACTTTAAGATGCAGTAAAGACAATATAGCTGAGAAATTACTATTACGTTAATGCTGCGCTAGTGTTATACTGCAGTACAGCGCAAAAGTGTTGTGCTATGGAGACGCTAAAATGATGACCAAGCTCTTCTTCAGATCACTTAATACAGAAAAATACTATGCTATCCTTAGTAATCATGGCTCTGTCGAGTATAGATCGTACTCTGTACAGTACAACTCTCACTCTCGACCCCGGCCTGTATCACCCCTTTACTAGCTACCACGTACATGAATTTGGCCTACCACCACAGTAAAGCTACTGGAAAGTTGCCAACGGTCAAGCGCATTTTGGTAAGTCGGTGACCTGTGTTGAGCCCGAGGTATTTTGTCCGCGGGCTCTCGCGGAACCGAAATGGCCAGACACCTCAGGCAGGCGAAAGGGCTGGTTTCTTAGCATCCTACCGTGTAAACAACTTGATACGCAGCTGCACCCTTGCACGTAAGGTCTGACTTTTCAAATCTAGACACCTGTTGACTTAATAAAGCGCATGATTCTAAAAATCTTTTATGTACATAGTTATAGTTATATGTAAACTAAGTTATTATACTAATATCTCGCGTCCAAAGTGGCTACTTTTGGTGGTAGTTTAGTATTGCTCAGCACTTGGTGTACAAAAGAATGGACACTCTGAATAGGCAATACTTTATAACAGGTACTAGTACTAATCACTTAGGCCTTTTCTATTTTTACTTACTCTTACCACTCTTATATATCACTAAGATCATACGCGTAAAGATAGAGTTTATTTTAACATTATAATTATGTTATAGCGCCGTAAAATTGATACATTTCTAGCGTATCATTAATTTTAATTATGTTTTGGCTAGGTAGTGGCCTGTCTGGAGTGCCCGTTTTTGTGTCCACCGGGTGTCCGGCTATTTCAGTTCCGAGAGACAGGGTAACGAGGTAGAGTACGCGCTAACTATATAGAGTGTAGCTCCCGTTGAGATTGTTAGGAATAGCATAGTATTTCTCAGTAATGACTTAGCGTCTGTGTATATGCTAATATCGAAAGTGTTTGATATATGAGAGCTATCCGATTTTTGCTCGGCCGAGCTTCAGAGTCAGCAAATATTCTCTATTGTAGCTCAAAGAAGCTATATATTACTAAATTACAAGCCATGATCAGTCTGCCAACCTGATCACGATCGATCAGGAATTGCACAATTTTAGCACCGCCACATGTTGAATACTTTTGATATCAGCGTGTGACACAAAACCACTACCAGTTACTCGTAGTGCTGAGTCCATTACCACCTTCCAACAAGCTTAAGAGGGGTCAATTTAACCATAGTTGATCGGATAACCTGCTGTCCTTGCTGATTAGAAGCTTTGGTAAAATTGTAGTGGTGGATGAACAAAAGAGATGACTGGGGTATATCATAGGAGACTCCACATTGTCCGAGCATAGACTGGTAAATGGGCCCCCACCTCGCGTAACTAGTACTATATTGACAGTGGGTCAAGTTCACACTGCACATGTAAACCCATGTCCTGCATCGAATATCTAGACATGTTATTCGCTTCATGACGGATTATGTCGGAGCGGCGGTCAATTGGTGGTTCGATTGGACTGTTCTGCATGACACGGCAGTTACATGGCCATGTAGCTGGGCGGACCTGCGTCACGTACTAGAATATTATCGAGTTGGTCGGAAGCCGACAGAAGTCAAAATCCCATAAAAGAGACAGGAGTGCTGACTGTACAGCTGCAGGACGCATACGCCACTTTGCAAGCCCCACGTAAGTTTTCTTCCCGTTGCTGTAAGTATGCAGCATAGTTGGTTTCCCGCGTTTCTTGGCCTTTGAATAGGTATACGCTGACCAACGTTAGCTAGGACAAACAGACAACTACAGAGCCTCGGAGCTACATGAAACTGGACAACGCAGGGCAGACCAAACTATGGCCTCGGGTTTAGGTAGCAATTGCAATTGTACAATGGCGGTGATTCGTGTGCTCATGCGTATCGAGCAGCTCGAGGGAGTCCAAGTGGGGCTGTCGACGTCGCTGGAGGTTATGGAAGATGCTGAAGTGCGTTGTTTTGCTGTGCTAAGCTGCCCTATCTGTCGGCAACGGCGATTCTCATTGGCCAGTGTCACGGTCATCAGCGCAACAGTGACTGAATGGGTCCGCAGGACATGGCTAGGCGGGAGCATTGATAACGACGTTTTGCTCGGAGACATTCACCTGGATCGGGCCGATGCTGAGATGCTGAGCAGGGAGCTCATGACTCTGCAACTATCCCACTTTGTCCGCGTCATGACACGTCTTGAAACAACCCTTTCCGCAGCCAGTTCCGTCCATACAGTGGGCTACCAGGACATTGTCCGCTCGAAATTGCAGGAACTTCACGACTGCAAAGACCAGATTCACAAATTGTCCCTATCAGGTTAAACGGACACGGTAAGAGTCGGACGTTATTGCAGGTTTCATGCTTTACTGTGGTACATGGCAAAAGTTTGGTGTTGTGTAGACGCTGAAATCATAATTGGGCTCTTGTTCAGGTGACTTTACTACGTGTACTTGATTCATCAAAGAGAAATACCAGTCTGTTCTCAAACTTGTCAACGGAAGCTACACTGTATACAGTATAGCTTGTACTCTCAACAGTACAACCCTTATGAGTAGGTGCAGTTCTCAGTGTTGCTCAAGGCATCGCCGATGTGGCGGTGCTTTTCCGTTGTAGCTGAGCGCAAATGATAAATGGGCCGACTCTCAGTGAGATCCGCTCCAATCAATCTTACCAAACACTTTTATCCATCTTGCTCTCTACCCGAGCCTGTATCATCCCCTTGCTAATTGCCCCCACACAAAACTTCTGCCATGTACTGCATATGGCAGTATCCTTGCATTCTTCTTCTTACATTGGGCAACATAGCTGCCTATCTGGGGTGAGGTGCCCTGGCATGTTTCTAGCCATAGTGTACATGCGGTTTACCAGGAGGCAATGCGGAGAAGTAATACCGAGTCCGAATGCATCTAGTTATACATAGCGGTTCTGGCGCAATAAAGAATTTGCTATTCATGCACACATACATTTGGAAAGCCCATTCGCAAGCGCACGCCATCACGCCCCAACAATTGCGCCATGTCCAATCAACGAAGCAGTCAGGCTCCTAAAGTCGCCAAAGTACGTCAGTCTTGTGATACATGTCAAGCATCCAAGATACGCTGCGGTCAGGAACGCCCAAGTTGCCGGCGTTGTGCCAAATACAACATTACTTGTGTCTATAGTGTGTCCCGCCGTGCGGGACGACCCCGACCCAAGAGGACCGCCACAAACCCCTCCACACCGACCCAAAATTCTTCATCAACCCAATCACAATCGCCATCAAACCCGCAGAGAACGCTCCCGACACCAGATGGAACCTCGCCAACGCATCGTGGATGTGAGCCTACTTTGACTCTGCCAAGCCAGGATGGCACGCAACCAGATACACTGCAGGACCAGAGTGAGTCGAAGAAAGATGATGAACAAGATTGGCAGAACAGTATGTGTTTGGAGAGGGACCAGGATGGATTCGAGATAGGGCTCGCCCAAGATGACGATATCGGCAACAATGACTACAGCAACAGTAGTAATTGCATTAGTAGTGGAAGCAGCAGCAGCAGTATAACGAGCACAACCGGTACAACAACCTGTATAAGCAGTAGCATTAGCAAGGACTTTAATCCTAGCGCTGAAGACACCACGCTAGACCTGACCCATAACCACTGCCACGACACGCACTTCTCGCCTGACCTGTCATCAAACCAGACCGTGGACTTTTTCAGCCATGTAGATGGGACACAATTCTCCACCTTCTTCCTTTCCAGCACTGACCTGGGTACCCAGCTGGACAGCCACCAATCCATGGATTTTGGCAGCCTCGTCAGTCCCCTCGCAGACGGCATGGCGAATCTCCCCCTAGACTCGCCTTTTGCACTGGGAATATCTGAAGCTAACGATACAACTGCCACTGCCGCTACTACCAATCTTAGCAGTATTAGTACTACTATGACCATGACTGCCACTGCCCCAGTAGCCCCCAACATGGTACCCGCATCGTGCCAATGCGCACCTATGCTACTACAACATCTCGGCGAGGTAGCGAATAGCAACACGCTAGTAGCAGCGGGAAATAGTGGACATGGTGAGGAAGGCTTTTTAGCTAGCGCAGTGCAGCGCTCGCGGGTGCTCCTGGATCACTGCTTCATAGTGCTGTCATGCGGGCTGTGCAGCCGACGCATGTCGTCGACGCTAGTACTGTGCCAAGCTATGGACGAACTGAGTGTGTCGTTGGGTATGGGCACGCTGTGGACGGATGGGGGTTGCAGCAATAACAACGGTGGCGGCAGCACGTCAGCGTATGAGCAGGATAGATTGCCCTTGATCAGCAATTTGGCAAAGGATGAGGTGCGGCTGCGCTGTGGAAGCTATGCAGTCCGAGGCGTGGATCGCCAGGTTTTGCTGAGGACACTGATGATGGGCCGCCTTAGGGAAATGCAGCAGGCCATGGGGAGATTGTGCCAGGCAGTTGAGACATTGTCGTCGCCGTATCGTGCTGCGTGCGCGCGCATGGCGGTTGAACTTGAAAAGAGAGTCAGGTCAAAAGTGGATTCGTTTCGAGCGACAGCAACACAGTAGGGGCCATTTTAAAGTGTGGGATCAATACAAGAAGTTGTATGCGTAACATGTAAAAACAATGGAAAACACGGATCATGCATAAGTGGCGAGCATGACTATCAAATGAAGATTGCTTGACTAATGGCAACTACTTGTACTTTGACCCACTGCCTTCCAACTAGGTAAAAATCACAGATGCATTCTAGAGATGGAGGGGCCCACGATTTTAATGGGCTGCGAAACTGGCTGCAATTGCTTGTGCATCGACTTTGCCAGCACGGGTTAGAGGGAAGACGTCTACGCAAGCAATAGCAGAGGGAACGGCTGGCTTGGGCAGGATTTGCAACATGGCAGTCTTGACTGCATCCTGGGACACGGTGGCCGGCTGAATCATAGCAACGAGGCTATCTCCTTTTTGAGACCTTGTAAGCGCGACAGCTTTGACATGCGGCAGTGCCTTGAGAATGCGGGCCTCAAGATCGTCCAGATCGAGCCTGAAGCCGCGCAGCTTGAGCTGGCGGTCTCTACGACCAAGGCAGACGACATGGCCGTTGTGATCCCAATAGCCGTAGTCGCCAGTCCGATACATGGTTTCGCCAAGGCCGGGACATATCGTGTCCGGCACGAAGCGGGTAGCCGTGTGATCAGGCAGGTTGGCATAGCCCAGGGCAATCTGGACTCCAGCGATGTAGATTTCGCCAACGGCGCCCTGTGGGAGTAAGCAGCCATTGCGTCCCAGGATGTAGAGGCGCGACGTTGGATTAGGGTGGCCAATGGTGACGGGTTGGGTCGGTTGGAGTCGAGTTATGGTTGCGCCACCCGTGCCCTCGGTGGGGCCGTACATGTTGTATAGTTTGCGGCCGCGAGCGGCCCACTTGTCCACGACGGGGTGAGAAACTTGCTCTCCGACCAGGTACACGGTCTCGAGGTTTGCAAAATCCGCGGGCGATAGGCAACAGGCGACCGAGGGCGTCATGATGGCGCTACTGACTAGGCGCAGGACGTCGAAGGGGTCAGCCGACGTGGCCGGGTCGCGCAGGACGAGCGTTGCCCCGTAGCAGAGGGCGGAGAAGATCTCATGGATGCTTCCGTCGAAGGCGGGCGACATGAACTGGGCGATTCGGATGCCCGGGTTCGCGTGAAGGCGTACCTCGACGTCAGCCTGGAAGGCGACCAGGGCCTGATGGGTGCAGATGACGCCCTTGGGACGGCCGGTGGAACCAGAGGTGAAGCAAAGGTACGCGGGAGCTAGCGGCCGGGGAGTGCGCTTGAGCTTGAGCTTACGTTCTCCGTTGCCCCCTCCGTCCCCGTCGGCTGCATGGTGGGGAGCGGCTGTGGCGGAAGCAGGGAGCGATTGCTGGCACACCAAGTGGGCACATCCGTCTGGCATCAACTGTCTCTGCCGCTCATGACCAACGAGAAAGACACGGCCGCCGGCCGTCCGGAACATGTCGCGGCGAAGCTCGTGGGGGAGAGTGGCATCCAAGCTGCAAAAGACGGCGTCGGCTTGCAATGCACCAAGCAAGCCCACGATCCATTCCAGACTCCCATCCGCATGCACACACACAACCTCGCCAGCCTTGACCCCAGCCTCGCCCAGGGCTGTGGCCGTGCGAGCCGCGAGCCGATGCAGCTCAGCGTACGTGATGCGTCGGTTGCCGACCTCGACTGCCACCGCCTCTGCGTGCGTGCACGCAGCCGCGTCCAGCATGGATACCAGATCCTCGTGCATATGCGCAGCCCGTGTCGTCGCCCCAGACATGCAGTTTCCCAAGACTCGCAGCCGCATCTGCATGGGCACTGTTACCAGCGCCAACTTGCACTCGTGCATGAGCGTCGAGTGCGCAAGCCGCTCCAATGCCATGGCAAAGCACATGGCCATGTCCTCAACGGCCGTGACCGCGTATCGATCTGCATGGTAGACCACACGCAGACTCATCATTGTCTCATCGAGCGCTAGGCTAAGTGGAATGCTGCTCTCGAAGTCGTACTCCGCCGGTCGGAGTGGCTGCATTGCCTCACCAGCACCCGCCCTGTCTATGCCCCGTGTGACTGACAGGGCCGCCTCAAAGTCGCGATCCAAGCCGTGCTCGGGTGCACTCCACTGATAGCATGAGAGCTCCACCAACCTGTCGAAGACGTTCTGTACAAACTCATCCGTCATCATATCCTCGTCAACGTTTGCGTAGAACGGCAATGAGTTGAGAATAGGGCCAATGACGGTGTCGATGCCGTCGATAGGCAGGTTCCGCCCGCTCATAATCGTTCCAAACTTGACCTTACTCGCATCTGCATATGTGGCTTGCACAACCGCCCATGCTGCATGGAAGAAGGCCGCCATAGTGACGCCTAGCTCCTTGGATTTTTCTCGCAGCCGCTCGCCCAGGTGGTCGAAATTGACGTTGATTTCGTTGCGCTTCTGTCCTTGGATGATCGCCCATTTCGTTGCTGTCGCTGCTGCTACTGCTTCTACTTGTCCCCTCGGTCTCTGCAAACCAGTCTCTGTAGCTGCCCCTGGATGCTCTCGTACACGGTTTTGCCAATACCGAGTCGCCGCTTTGCTCTGTTCCTTGCCAAGTGCTTCAAGCGCTTTGGCCGCCGTCAAGAACGATTTTCCCGCCCCAACTCCCACTTCTCCCGCTGCTACTTTCCGCACCTTGACCGCGAGTCGTTCCATGGCGAACCCGTCCAATAGAGCATGATGAATGGATAGTATAATGGTAGCTTCACTCTCGGGACGTCCGCCGCGGCTGCTCTTACTCCTGACTACTTTATACACGACAGTCTTGAATACAAACGTTGGTTGTAACTGTCCCTCTCTTCGCGCCAGTTCTTCTTCGTACGATTTGCGATCAAAAGTTACTACCTCGGTCCATGGGCACTCAAACTTGCGTTTGCACATGACATATCTCCCCTGCCCCACCTCTTCAAACCCAGTAGAGAACATTGGCTCCATAGCTAGCACCCTCTTCCAGGCGTACGTTATGACGGGGAGGTCTTCGAGGCTCCATGTTTCGAAATAGTGTATTGTACTTTGCCCGCTCTGAATGAAAGCTGCTTGCAGACTAGTTGCCGGGGCCGACTCTTCATTCAAGACTGGTGGTGGCTTGATCCCTGATTGCCCTGATGGTAAAGCATCCTCTGCATTCTCATCATCTCCAACATTAGAACAATCAGATAGCGAACCAGATGGCGACTGTGACAGAGATGATAGTGACGACCGTGTTGTTGATGGTTGTGAATATTCGGTCACGTCCACTGTTGCACTGGAGATAAGCTCAGGCTTGGCAGGCGCCTCGCCTGGGCACGAGCCATCATCTGGCAGCAGCGCTTCGATAGAAGGTGACGTGAGTAACGTGAAAACGGTTGGAGGTTTGGAAACCACGGGCTTGCATGCATGTTGCACTTCGACCGCTGACAGTGAATGTCCTCCGAGTCCAATGAAGCATTTTGATGTGTCGATGCTTTCCGTCGGCACACCCAAGGCCTTTGCAATCGAGGAGAGAATGAAGGTTCGTTCTGCTGACGTTGAGTCAAACATTGTGAGCAAAGGACGCAACGAAAGGGTATTAAAAAAAGGACACGCAAGAAGCTGAGATGATCACGCTTGGGTGTGGCTAGCGTGGGGTGGGTTCATAAAAGAGGTGCAATCGGTCCATGTCTTCTACTTTTCTTGCACAGCATGCAGTATATGATGGATCAAATGGACCTGTGGGATAAGACCCTTGGTCGCTATCTGACACCTGCTTCCACGACCGTTCCTGGTCTCGTCACGGCTTCGGCGACCGACCGAACTGTTTACCCCGTCCAATATTGCTATTAGTCATTTGAACAAAAGAGCTGATTTGAATACTTAGAACTAGGTCCTCTTAAACCTTGATACTCTCTTCAATTTCACCATGGCGAGGCGATCAGCCAAGCACACAAATTCGTGGTTACTCAAAATGTTGAAACCCTCCGTTCCGGAAACCGATTTGATTGACGTGAGCATTGTCACAGTGCCAAACTTCACTGACACTCACATGCATCGAAAGCGTTTCCTGCTTACTGCATATGCACGCTTTGCAACATCTCCCGAGTGATTCTATATGCTTTCTTATCCACACATAATCCCCTCTATGATTTGCTCGACCAAGCTTTGGGAACAAGGTCAAATGCACAATGCCACGCGTTCCTCAGTGGGTAGATCTTGGTAATGGTCCACCCAGCACTATCCGCCAACGCAATCCACTCGTCCCTGGTCCGCTCCACACCATCTGCTGTCATCATCATGTTCATGTCACCGTAGCGGGACAACCTTGCACTCCTTGTCGTGTCCAGCATCTCCTCCAAGATGATCAGTTTGCTATTCTCACCTGGCACAATGGCCTTTTCGATGTTGCGTAGAATGCGTTTTGCATCTTCATCGCGCCAATCATGTAGCGTCCACTTCATCGTATATACCTTGGAAGGTGGGATGCTCTCAAAAAAATCGCCACCAATGAGGTTCTCAGCAGGCACCTGCGCAGCTACATCTGCAAATTGGCCCTCAGCCGAATGGAATAGCGGCTTTACATACTCGATGACGTGTGGGAGATCGAAAATGCCTCCCTTGAGAGACTTGTGCGCACGCAAGAGCATGGCAATGAAGCCGCCACCCCCACCTCCAATGTCAATAATCGTCTCATTCTCAATCTCGCTCCATGGATAGTCGGCTAGAATGCCCGGTGCTTGGGCTGCCGCACCTGCTCCTAGTGTCGCGTGCAGCTGTGGAACCCATCCCTGGCTGCGGAAGTATTCAAACATGCCGACATCAGTGTTGTAGTTGATCTGAGCAGCCGACCGAACCGCGTCTTGGCGCAGCGACGACGGAATTCCGCGCGCTATGTCATAAAATTGTGTTCCATACAATGTGGCCCAGTGATGCCATTGTGTCCAATGGTCCGAAAGCAAAAGTCTCGACGTGGCGTTGTTCGTGTATGTTTTGCTCGTCTTGTCATATGCAAATATGCCGTTGCTGATAAGGACACGAAGCACCTGAGCGAGGCGGTCGGCACGCGCTGAGCACGCCTTCGCAAGAGATTCAATCTTCATCGGTCCCGACTTTTCAAGATGGTCGGCTATTTTCAATTCGACCACTGATACAAGACATTTTGCATGTACATAGCCTGGAGCAGTGGGTCAATATATTGTACATGATAAGCAATTGGTGGATTGCCACCTACCCAAGAAATGATCTGCAAGTACCAAGTATCCTGGCTCAAGCAATTTCTCAACCTCATGTAGCAAGTCGATGGACCTATTCGCCAACTTCTTCAACTCTGGGTCCGGCAATGCGCTCTTGGCATGATTATGCAGCCCTGTTTGCAATTCCTGACTCACAGCCTCGGACTTGAGTGAGCGAAGCACGTCCTCAAGTTGGGTGTTGAGAGATGTCAATATGGTTGCCATCATGTATGTGGAAATGTGGGAGCCGTTTGTGTTTGTGCAGCTGGAAACTTGAATACGAAAGATACCGAATAGAACCTTACAGCCGTCTGTGAAAAATCCCGCAATGGTTAACGTTATTAATACGGCATAATTACAACTATTTGTCGATTTGCGGTCCCCATACACGCTTCAACCAGGGAGATCAGTGCAGTACTTCACCTTGGTCGGTAGCCGACGCAGCATCGGATAGGTCGATCGACCATTGCACGAAGCATTCGTGTTGCGCTAACTCTCAGAGGGGGTACTGGTCTTGCTTATTTGGATTTCTTCCATGACTAGCGATGTAATGGAATCAGACGCATAGCTCGAACATTGGAGTACAGTAATATTGATAGAAGGATACTCGATATTTCCTCAAACTGAGCAAGAGATCTGCGGTTTCTGACATCACCAGGGCAATATTCATTAACAAATAGCATTACTTAGGGCTTCGGACTGTTCAGATAGTTTTAATAAGGTTCGAAAAATAATATCAAACTCTATAATATTTATTACAAATGTCCACTACCGTGGGTGAGATAAGGTTTCCGCGTGAGAATATGTCGGAGATGCCTAGGCTACCTCATTTACCTCCCGCTTGACGATCGCTTTGATACTACGCTGCCCAGCTTCCTCTTCAGAAGACACTTTGAATACGTCAGCCTCATCCACATGCCCCAGATTGGACGGAGGGAACACAAGGTTGATTCCAAGATATATCAAAGCCCCTACCGTTCCGCCGAAAAGAAAGGAGAGATCATAAAGCTTTGCAGCTCCAAACGGCACGTGGATATTTGGGTTGACTGCGTTGATAAACCCTGGTAATTGTGGTATCCAAGCCACTATCCATGCGAGAATCGTGCGCGGATTGAAACCGTACGTGTAATAGTACGCCGAATCAGGATTAATCTCATAAAGAGCAGAGAGCTGAATGCGGCGACTCCTCAAGACGAAGTAATCGATGATCTGAATACCAAGAATGGGACCGATGATGATGGTATACGATGCGACGACGTTGAGAAAGACGGCTGCATTCGTCAAGAGCTGCCACGGACAAGTACCACAGGCGATTGTGAGCGCAAGGAGAGCTCCGCGTCGGATGTTGATATACTTGGGTGCAAGAGCAGCGAGATCCATGCCAGTACTGAATCCGTTCTCAAAAGTATTGACGACGAGCTGGCACAGCATGAGACCCAATGACACAAAGAAGCTGGCGGCGCGGGTTTTTGCAGAGTAATCTCTCTGCAGCCAGAGCAGGGCTATCTCTGTAGGATTCCAGATGGCTTTTCCGTAGATGGACTGGGTTGCTGATGCAGTGATGCACCCAAAGAGTGGCATCAGCGTGCCAAACACCATGATAGACGTCCACTGGCCCGTCACCTGGGCGCCCGGCGTACGTGCAAACCGCGTGTAATCAGGCTGGCTCATCAAACCCACCGCAATGGAGCCAACCACTGTCGTAACCGCCTTACAGATGCCCCATCCGATATCACTATCTGGCAGCGAGCCCTCTGTCAACAATTGTCCTGCCCCCTTAGCTCGCACCACCGCCCAAATCATAATACCAAAAAGCACGCAGAACGAATACGCATTCAGCGCAACGAAAACGCGAACAATCCTTTTCTTCTCCAGCTTCCCACACAAAAAAGGCACCGTGATCAAATTAAACAGCACCCAGCCAATCAACTGCTGCGTCTGAACATTAGCCCCAGCCGGCAGCGTATTCCGCATCCGGTGGAAAGAAGGAAACATCGCACTCAGCATGGCCGTGATACAAATGCCCCCGAGATAGGATTGCAATGCTATTCCTACAATCCCGCACACGATGCGTTGGAACATGGGGACGTAGGACCCGCGCATTCCCCAGAGGGCGCGCGAGTATACAGGAAAGCCAATTCCCCAGTCGGCACCGATGGTACCGACGGCGACGGCAATGGCAGCGATTATGGCGCGACCGATGACGATGGCGAGCATGACTTGCCAGACGGAGAGGCCCAGGGCTACTAGCGAGGAGCCCATGGTAAAATTAGTGAGAGAGACATGCCAAGCGAGCCAGAAGGCACTATAGGTCCATGCAGTCCATTGGCGGCGGCTGGGGGGCAGTGGACGGATGTCTATGTTGAGCCATCGGGAGGTCTCTTTGTCTGAGAGTTGGAAACGCCTGCGTAGTAGTGTAAGTTCAAAGCCCTCATGATATGGGAATGAGAGAAGAAAGGCAACTTGCTACGTACATCGTATCGAAACTCCGTCTTTTTTTCCTTTTCTTGAATTTCGCAGTGCACGGCAAAAGACAGGAGCAGTTGTTGGTGTTGTTTTAAGTACCCTCGGTTTCCGAGACTCTGGGAAACCGGATCCGAGCGGCTAGATGTAGTTTACTCAGTAGTGGTGTTTTGAGCATGAAAATTGTGCAAATCCAGTGACCATTCAGGTTTGGTTTGTCTTTTTGGTTCAAAACTAACTTGGATGAAAGATATTGCAATTTTAAATTTAGTTTTGCCGTGAATTTGGGACAAAAAATATCCGCAAAATGCTGGTGACTAGAATGAACTACATTGCGTAACTCTGACCATCGATCTCCATGGCTTTCCCATCGATATAATCCTATCTCGTATAGATGCATTGGCTCCAAAGAAGGTTTTTGTGAAGGATTTCCAAATGATTGGCCTTGAAGCAAAGTCTACCCACGAAACACATAAAGTAAACTTTAGCACCAGTTATGCACAATCATCCTAATTGATGGTAATCTCTATTTTGGATAGAATTCACCATTATATTTGTTTGAAAATGTGTCTCATAAAGTGTGTTTCACCCTCCATACAACGAGCAATGTCTTCATCGAATACTTGTTGAGGCTGAGTATTACGCAGATAGCCGTACGTCTATACAGCACAATTGGCCCCTTGGCGGTCTATGAATCCCGAAAATTCTAAGACGAGGATCTGCTTGATGGAGCAATTCCTGGTATTCTGCTGCAGATCTTTTCTTCGCATTGAACAACTGCAGCATGCTGATATCGTCTTGGAAAAGCTCTACTCTCTGCTGTCTCGAAAGGCTGGTATCATTCCACTCCGGAAGCACATTTTCGGCAATTATGAGTCGTGTTTCCGGCCCGCTGCTCTCCATTGCCGGTGCGATTGCTTTGAGGATACGCACACAATTCTCATCGTCATTGTTGTGCAAGCAGTGCTTGAGGAAGAAGGCACCTTGGTCTAGCGATTTCTGAGGCGTGAAGTAGTCATGAACCTCAAAGCGCAAACGATCCGCTAGCCCGCCCCGGGCAATACCTGCGATAACATCTTCCTTGACAAATGTGTCCTGAACCAAGAATTTGAGATGTTCGAAGTGCTGTGCAGAATCATTAGCCATCTACTTGTTTCTACGTACGTTGTTGTCTTTACTTACTTCGGCCAGACACCTCGCAACCTGGCCCTCTCCACCTCCAATATCCACAATAGTGCCCTTCACATCATCCCAATTATACGATTCGTTGATCTCATGCAAGAGTAACGGTTCATGCAGCCCACGTTGGAACCGCGCCAACTTCTCTGGCTGCTTAGCCCAAAATTCATAACACCCTTCCCCAAACCGCACCTCAAACGCGCTAGGCCTGGCTCCATTCTCCCCCACGGGTGCCAAAAGAGAATCAGGAAGTGTAGCGGCCGAGCCACCGAACACCTCAAAGGTAGCGCGCAAAAATGATGCGAAGTGAGGATGCTCTTGTACAAATGCCGAGAAGGGTGTATGCGCGAAAGTGCACTCAGATACTTCTTGGAAACAACCTCGAGCAGAAAGCAGGCGCAGAACCCGCGTGAGTACCCCGGTATCTACGCCCACTGCTGCAGCAAGCGAAGTACTGGTGGCTGTTCCAGTAAGTGGTATGCGTTGGAAGAGTTCGAATTCGTTTGCACAGCGAAAGACGGCCGTGTCAGCGCATGCACCACGAATACTAGACCAGTATTCTAGCGGATGGGTCAGATGGAGTGCAGTGTTGTTGATAGTTTCGAGGTACTCATTCCTCAAAGTATCAAATTCGCGGTCTTCTGTTGATGCTGGAGTCTTTGAGGTTTGCGACAAGTATGCTTCAATTCTGGTAGTGAGGGTGCGGAGTTGGCCTAGTAAAGTAAGCATTTGAATCCGTTCCGTATCAATCATGGCAATGTTAAGGATTTGTTTGAATCTCTTCGCTTTATCGTATGTTGAACTGTTAGTCTCCCTTTATGCTTCCAAATCGTAGTGTTATAGAATTATCGATTCCCGGCCAGCCAAGCCATGATTCTCATAGTGTTCATGCCGGGCGCCTCGGCCACCGACATTCAAATTGGAATATTCTCAGGAGTTTCCGTTTCTCCTTCTTAGAAGATATAAATAAGAAAACTCACTAATACTCTGTTGCTTGTCATGATTATAGCTACAATGATGATCGCTGCCTATTCATTCCTTTGGTCCCCACTAGGGATTATGGGGATAGTCTTCGCTAGTGGTTCAACTCTAGTAATGGTGTGGAGATATTTCCAAAGACCGGCTTTGACACTTGCACCAGGCGTCCCAATCACAGGAAAGCCAGACGATACTAGTTTTGAGTATGCAGTCCGAGAGGGAGATACAACAGTGGGTCATAGCCTGGCACTAATATCGAAATGATCCGCTAATTTCCCCATGCAGTACCCTGACGGCGTCTATCAGATAGCCCTACCAATCATGCCACACGTATTCTTTCCACCAAAAGCCATGAAGGAGCTGTATTCATCAACATCAGCTAGCTTTGCAGCGCATACAGCCGACATTCTGTTGGGCAAGTACACATATCAGGGTGAGGAGAACAAAGAACTCAAAGCAGGCATTCGCGCCATGTCAAATAATCTCGATGTCGTCATTAAATCTTTTGAGGCTGATATTGCCTACGCCTTTGACACAGTGTTTGGGCAATGCGACGAGTGGGTGACTGTGGATCAGGTCTGGCCCACCACGTTTCGCCTTGCCTCTATCTTGAGCTCGCGCCCTTTCCTAGGGCGAGAGCTCAGTCGTGAACCTAAGTGGTTTGCTGCCATGACAGACTATGTACAGAGCCTGAGTAGCTGCGTCGGAAGCTTAAGGCCTGTGCCCGCAATCATAAGGTTCTTCTTCGAATCACGCATCCCCCGCATCAAAAATCTGGTCAAGACTCGTGACCATATGGAAGATATGATGATGCCAATCATTCAAGATCATTTGAATCGCTATATTGCAACAGGTAGAGAATCCAAGTCTCGGCGCACTGCTACCATTAGTGACGATGGGGGCGAGCTTCTCGACTGGATGATTCCTGAGTATCCAAACCCGAATGCCAAAAAGCTGGCGCGCGACGAGATCACTATCATCCTAGAGTCGGTCATGAACATTTCGTCTGGGCTCAGCCATTTGATGTACAATATCGCCAAGTACTCAGAATATCAGGACCCATTGCGAGAGGAGTATCAGGAGGTGATGAAGACGACCAATGGGCTAAGCAAGGCAGCACTCTTCAATATGAAGAAGATGGATAGCTTTATGAAGGAGACACATCGATTGAGCCCTCCATCATTGAGTACGTGTTCCAATTCTCGATCATTGTTACGCTGATGTTGATGCACCATGCAGTGGCGATTATGAGAAAGGTCATTGATCCGAGAGGCATGCAGCTTTCCGTTGGGCCGCGCATCCCATGTGGCACGCTTTGTGCTGTTAGCGCCGATCGTGTCAACATGTCTCCTGACTTCTACCCTGAGCCGAACAAGTTTGATGGCTATCGATTCTACCGCATGCGCCAGGAGCGCGGAGAGGAGTTCAGGCACCAGCTCGTTTCGACTAGCGACTCGGAAATCAATTTCTCGATAGGCGGTCGAGCTTGTCCGGGTCGTATCTTCTTTTCAGCTTTAGAGAAGGTCGTGTTGTGTCATTTGCTTACACAATATGATGTACGTGTCAAGCCAGGGCATGAGATGGAAGAAAGTAGGCAGATAGATGGCATTCGTGTTGTCATCAACCCTCGCGCTATCTTTCAAATCAAAAGGAAACGTTAATCAAAAACATGAAAAGATCCTTTACCGTTAAGTACTCAATCATATCTTTGCCCTCATGCTTCCATCTTTGAACTATGAAATGTGTCGCATATTGAGCGGCACTGAATGCACCTCTCTTAAGGTTGAACAATAAATCTATAGTCGTTGACGTGCTATCTATTGTGACAAGATACAAGGTCGAGCTCAAAAGACCAAGTGGCAACACGCAATTAGATAACGTGCATCCAATCGTAACGGAACAACCGCCGTGGCGGAACACCAGTAGCACTTTCTACCACAACAACGCTAACAACGGTCGCACCCCTTAGATACTCTCGGAATACATACTTAGACTCTTTGTATTCTTCTATACGTGATATCCTTAGCGTAACCTCCCTATTAACTTTATAATACTATATCTTACTACTTATATCCTTTATACCCTTACCTTAGCCTACCTTAGCGTCTACTTAAAGTATAATATATCTATCTAAAAGCTTATTAACCTATAAAGTGCTATAGAAAGCTTATGTCCTAAGAAGAATACTACGCTTAATAAGGTAACTACGCTATAGTAGTTATCTATACTTTATTAAGTAGGACTACTAAGTAAAGACCTATATTCTTACTATATAGAAGAAGCCTAGCCATAATTTAATAACGTGCGGGATCAGTAAGCTGGGCAGATCAGTAAGCTGGGCACCCCACCAAACTTCACCCAACGCTCTACACAACCACCACAATGCCGCGACAACAACGTTCTATACAGACTTCTCGTGAAGGCAGAATAAGCCTTGCTATCGCATCTTATCGTAATAATCTAAAACAATCTATTCGTGCTCTCGCAAAAGCCTTTGATATACTATAATCTACACTACACACGCGTATCTATGGTGTCTAGCCACGATCAGAGACAGCCTCTGTCAACCGTAAGCTATCGCCCATTAAAGAGCAGTCTCTCGTGCAGTGGATCCTAGACCTTAACTGACGCGGTTTTCCGCCCTATATCATTGACGTGCGACGGATGGCAGACGCTCTACTCGCCGCGCGTGGCCAAAATCCACCTCCAGCACCTATTGGCAAGAAGTAGGTGTCGCGCTTTATCCAGAACCAGCCAGAGCTCCAGACAAAGTGGACTAGGAAGTATAGTAGCCAGCGCGCTCTCTCTAAGGATCCTGTCGCAATCGCAGCTTGGTCTAAGCTAGTAGAAGAGACGCGCTAGACGTACAGTATCCTAGATTAAGACATCTACAACTTTGACGAGACTAGGTTCGCAATGGGCGTCGCTAGCACGTCTAAGGTAGTTATAAGCTCTGATAGAGTCGGCCGAGTAGCTGTTGTACAGCCAGGTAATCGCGAGTGGGTTGCAGCGATTAAGTGCATTAATACGTCTAGCTGGTGTCTACCACCGTTAGTTATCTTGTCTGGTAAGGTCCACAAGAACAGCTGGTATAATGGGCTCCCACCAGACTGGGCTATTAGTGTCTCAGACAACGGTTGGACGACTGATCAGCTTGGCGTAGAGTGGGTGAAGCACTTTAATCAGCATACAGCAGCTCGTACAGCTGGAGTCTATCGGCTTCTTATTCTAGACAGCTATAGTAGCCACGCTACGCCAGAGTTCGACCAGTACTGCGCTGAGAATAAGATCATTACTCTCTGCATGCTACCTTATACTTCCCATCTTCTCTAGCCTCTAGACGTGAGCTGCTACTCTCCTCTTAAGCGTGTGTACGGACGCGAGATTGAGGAGCTCGCGCGCTATGGGGTCTACCACGTTAATAAGATTGACTTCCTCACAGTCTATACACGGATCCGGCCGACAGTCTTCACGCAGCAGAATATCTAGGCAGGCTTTCAGGCAACAGGCCTTGTCCCTCCTTATCTAGATTGCGTTCTATTGTCGCTTACTATAGCTAGAACACTATCCCCACCACAGACAACTATAGATAATAACGCCGTAGGGCAGGCATTAACGCAGACAGAGACACTACATACAGTAGCAGAGCTTCAGTAGCAGGTGCGCTATCTCTAAGAATGACTATAGCGGCAGCTAGAGAGTCTAATAAGTATTGCGATACGCCAGCTTGCTAAGAGCGCTCAGCTTGTAATGCAATCAGCGGCAATACTCGTAGAGGAGAATAGAAAGCTACGTAAAGAAAATTAGCGTCAGCGATAAAAGCAAGATCAGCAGCGTTAACATATTACTTCTAGTAGGGTACTCTAAGTGTAGCAGGCTCAGCAGCTTGCTGCAGAGGCAGAAAGGGTGGTCATGGAGGCTAGCCAGAGCTAGGGTGGTGAGCGGCGTCGGCGCGCGCCACCAACGTGCACGAAGTGTCACACTCAAGGCCATACGCGGACTTAATATAGATAGTAATAATCTACCTTATAGTAGAATATAACTATATTATCTCTTATTGCTGTGGCTCAATTGCGCAGAACGTCGGGTCAAGTTTGGTGGGGTGGCCCACTAACTGATCCGGCCCACTTACTGATCCCGCACGTTAACTATGTAGTATACTAAATAGTCGCGCCGCTAGCTTCTATAAGCGCGCGGAACATCGCTAACCCAACTTAAGATTAAGAGTAGTGCTAAGACCCTTATCAGCCTAGCTAACGCGTTCTAGAGCATAGCAACACCTACTTATAACATAGATACGTACTATTATAGCGCCCTCTAGAACCTACTATTGTTCTCTCTACTAACCAAACGAAAGACCTAATTAAGCCTACTACATCCTAATCCCTTCCCGAGCCCACTAGCGCCGGTTCCTAGACCAAGCAGCAGCCGAGATCTAGTCTCGGCTCGTTGAAGGGGATACGATGAGATAGGAGAAGGCAGAATGCGGGCGGCCCTCGAATTGAAGCTTGTGCTTCGGCAACTGGGTTGAGCGTCACTGGCGCAACGCCGTGGTTGCAAGCGCACACGAAGGCGGAAAGGCTCTGCATGTTTTGGTGATACAGCTGTGGTACGGTCAAAGGACCCAGCGGCTCCTCACATGAGCACTGCAATCTCTAGAGCCGTAGAGACGTGCCCCAGTTTGAGCTCTAAGGGTCACTGGGAGCTTTGGATCGTTCATCTTCGTAAGGGATAAGTACTAGCGGAGCTGTGATGGTGGCCATGCTTGGCAACACTCTACACTGTCTACAGTTACATCCAGCACTCTTTCTCTTCAGCCAGATATATATAAACCATCGTCTCCGGCGCAAATATCTCTCCGTCGGAATGACTTCGCACCTTTTGCTCTTAGCATTTTCACCACAGCCTCTCTGTGCATCCGCGAAGCCGCTTGGAGTGCGTTGCCGTACTTTCCACTGAGCGCGTTGACTTCGGCGCCCGCGTTGAGTAGCAGCTTCACCACCGCCTCTTTACTATAAGCTGAAGCCGCTTGGAGTGCGTTGCCGTAGTATCCACCTTGCGCGTTAACCTCGGCGCCCGCGTTGAGCAGTAGCTTCACAATTACCTCGTTTCCCAAATATGAAGCCATCTGGAGTGCGTTGCCGTAGTATCCACCCTGCGCGTTGACCTCGGCGCCCGCGTTAAGCAGCAGCTTCACTATCGCCTCTTTGCCAGCGGCTAAAGCCGCCTGGAGTGCGTTGCCGTACTCTCCACCCTGCGCGTTGACATCAGCGCCCGCGTCGAGTAGCAGCTTTACTACCGCCTCTTTGCCAGCAGCTGAAGCCGCCTGGAGTGCGTTGCCGTACTTTCCACCCTGCGCGTTGGCGTTAGCGCCCGCGTCAAGCAGCAGCTTTACTACCGCCTCTTTGCTATAAGCTGAAGCCGCTTGAAGTGCGTTGCCGAACTCTCCACCCTGCGCGTTAGCATTAGCGCCTGCGTTGATTAGCAGTTCTATAATCGCCTCGTGGCCTTGGTATAAAGCCGCCTGGAGCGCGTTGCTGTAGTATCCACCCTGTGCGTTAGCGTCGGCGCCCGCGTCGAGCAGCAGCTTCACAATCGCCTTGTGGCCTCCAGCTGAAGCCACTTGGAGTGCGTTGCCGTACTTTCCCTCCTGCGCGTGCACATGGGTAATTTGATGCAGTATCGTTTGAACGGCCAGTGCGTGGCCTTCATCTATGGCCTCTCGGAGCACTTCTTTCTCCAACTTCTCTCCTTCGTTTCCTACTTTTAAGTGCAGCAAGTGCTTCACAATGTGGGCACACCCTTGTAGTGCAGCCCGTAGTATAGCTTTTTTCCTGTCATGAATAACCACTATCTTTACTCGGTGCTCAGGACTTCCCCATGAAATCACCCGCAACCCCTTATCATATTTCTCTTGTTCTTGAAATTCATTCGTCTGGCCGCCTAGTACAAGCCTAACAACCTGACTGTGGCATGTCTCATCATCCTCTTTGAAATTTCTGTCTAGTCTCTTTTCAAACATGAGCAGCGCTGGATCATCAACAACAGGTATGCCCTGGGACATGAAAATTGGTTCTTCAGGCATGAGCGGCACATTCAGCACATTTCCTGATCGAAGATGAGGGAAAATAATTTCTGTTGCTTCCTCTTGTCCGAATGGTAGCACGAAACAGGTTGTTTCTAGAGTTTCGAAGTAGTACATGAGATTAAGAATCTCGTGAACAGATAGAGATGTACTATGAAGCAGATGTGTGACAGCCTGATGAATAACTTGGTGAGTCGGCTTCTTGTAGTCTATATCAATGCTTTGGGTATCTGAAGGATCAGAGGACATGCCGAGTAGGGCGTATATCTTGTCGCGTTCGTCTGTTGCTCTGCTGGCTGGGAATCTGCGAAGGAGGGTGCATAAGTCTCGTTTCTGGCCCCACCAAGATCCTGAACGGGAAGGCCCTGGCATGATCTCCAATATAGGTTGACAGTGCGGCTCAGGTTCTTCTCCTATTACGGACGGTGCGCAGGCAAATATTTCCGCCGGAATAGACCGAGTGCCACAACGGACTGTAGCTTTTCGAGCGTTTGCTACTTCTTGTAGAATCCAGACCCGTGTGAACCACTGTCGGCCTAGCAATTGCCGTAACCCGGTACGGTAATTATCCCAACGATTGTCGTCAAGCGTTAACTGTCCAAGTTGGCAACCTGCGCCTGTTCTTGGGTGCTGATTGAGTGCGTCCATAAGACCCGTGATCTCTACGGTTGCCTTTCCCAGCCAGAAGAGAACTTCCTCAGCCAATCCGAAGATTTTTCCCATCTGCTGAACCTGCCAGCCCTGTTCTTCCTTGTCGGCTTGGTTGATACATATCGCATCAATCCATAGATAACGGTCTCTGTCGTGTAATCGCAAGTATTGTAACGCAGAGTACAGGTTGTCTGTTATCCAATGCCGCTTTCGATTGAGAATTATGCATTCTACAAGCTCAGTGCTGCCCCATACGTAGGAGAGGGCTTCATATGAAACGTTTTCATTTTTCGATAGCGACTGCGGGAAAAGCTCACATTCGATCTCAGGACTTTGGTATTTCAACAGCTTCAGGAGTCGGAAAGTCGAGCTCCCAGGTCGAAGCGATGTGTACTGGTATTTCTCGAGAGCTGGTATTGGAGTGGCCATGATGAAAGAAGCTAAGCGCGTTAGATGAGTGGAGACATGAAGCGTTGTATTGTCTGCGGCACGGCTGAACCTAACGCACATCGTACCAAAGGTGGGGCAGTGCCAAGCGCCAAACCATCTGACTAACTAGTCGAATAGCAATAACTGGCAGTAGATTGAGTCAGGGAGGTGTTTATCAACGCCAAAAAATCCCAATAACTATTTACTCAGCGTCTGGCCACTTGCTACCACACTACACTATACAAAACTCGATCAAATTTTTCAGTTGATGACAAGACACCATTCCCTCCGTTCTCTTTTTACTTCGAGTATTCCATACCATTAGATAGATCAAGTCCGCTGTTAGGCTTTTTCAATAATCTCACTTCGTTCAGTTCCACTTTTAGTCTCTGAACCAGCATCCGTGTTTCCAACAGATTGGTACAAAACTACGAAGGCGAGACCAGCTGTTCCTGTAATGCCTAGAAGCAGCCAAAAGCTAGATTGATAGCCATTCATCAATGAACTTTCTAAATTGGGGTCTTTGGTGAAACTCTTTGCGACAGCGTTACACAGTGCGAGTAGTATCGCGCTACCAGTCTGGTACGCGACCATTAGCATAGCTGTAGCCTGTCCGTGCTGCGCTTCTGGTATCGTGCAAAGAGTGGTTGCCTGCGCACGCACAACGGCAGGTGCATTACCGAAGAGGTAAAGAAGTGCGAAAACGATGATGTAAGCGCGATGGGCTTCTACATCCATTAGCCCCCATGGGATCAGGAAGCCAGCCGTCCATAAGTATGCACCGCCGATCTGAACTCGGACTGAGGTGCACTGGCTGAGAAAATTTCCAAGGCCTCCAGAGACAACTGAGCCAACCGCAGCTGGCTGCAACTTGGTTAGTACAATTTTCTTTATTAGGATTTATATCACGGTTGCTAATTTCTTACCAAGAGATAGAGTGCTGAGCGAAATGCAGATAGGTGGAGACAGTTAAGGAAGACCTGGGTGATGAGCAAAAGCCAAGCAGCAAACCCACCTCCAAAAACAAGAAAGTTTAGGAGCATGAGTACCATGTTGCGATCGAAGAGGAATGGTTTTGGAAGAACAGGGTTCTCCAGTCGACGTTCGTAAATAGGGAAACCAATGACCAGTAGGCCTCCCAGAATAATTGTCACAAGAATCTCAGGGCTTGTCCAGCCGCGATTACCGCCATCATCGATACCATAGATGAGCATGGGAAGACCCGTAATGATCATGCCAAGACCCATTTTGTCGAATTTCTTTGTTGGATCGTGTGGAGGCTTAGGGAAGATCGGAATCAAGAAGTAACCAGCGATACATAGGAACCCATTCATAGCAAGGACTAGCCAGAAGAGCGCCCGCCATCCGATTGAAGATTCTAGAAACGAGGATTAACAGAAGGGTTGGCATATATGTGTGTAGATACCTACCAACAAGCAATGCACCAAGAATCATGCCCGTAACCATTCCAAGGGGACCGCACATAATGAGGAGTGAAAGCCCTTTTGTGCGCTTCTTCTCGTCAGAGAACAAATGTGTGACTATAGGAGGTCCAGTGGCAGTCTGTAACATTATCAACGGTCAGTCAGCCTCTTCTTTGCTCCTACAAAATACTGTGAATTCTTACGCTCATCGCCGCGCCCATACCGCAGAACGCTCTCCCCACAATGAGTCCATATTTGTTCGGCGTTGCTGCACAAAGAGCGCTCGACCAGGTCAAAAATCCTGTACCAAGTAAAAATCCAAATCGGAGCCCATATCTATCAATGATCGATCCGGATATTGGTAGGATGGTAGCGAAAGCCAGACTGTACGCAATAGAGACCCAGTTGACATCGAATGGCGTCATATTAAGTGACTTCATGATCGCTGTGAGCCCAAAGTTGACCATAGTCGCCTGGAAGGTGTCGATGTACATGGCCAGACAGGCCATACCCGTAACGGCCCATCCTAGCGACTTGGACCTTGAAGCATCGTTTTCGGGACGTAGCCATGAAGGCGTTGGAATCCTTTCCATCATCTGTATGTCTTGCGCCCTTTGGAATTGCTAGAGTAAGGATATTTGTAAGTATTTCCAGAGATGTCATGGGAAATCATAAGAAGGATTTGGCAGCCGTGCGATGTGATCATGGGGATTGGAGTTTGGTATCGTAAACCGGAGAGTTTTCGGAGACTAACCGGCGACAAAATGGAGTTTACCTTAAGGGGAAATTCAGGAGAGCTGAGCCAAGATCACAGGCAGCAATCGAAAACTACTAAGTCAGCCTAGGAGAGCCGTTTCATGTGATAGTCGGCTTCCGACTTTTTAATTTAATTTAGCGTCATACCGGGGGCAATTATCGATAGTTATAGCCAAAATGATTCGGCTTGTTTACTCTTTTATCAAAGGCCAATTCCCCACAACGCTGGGAGAGATGTCTCCTCTTCATGAAATGTGCTAAAATCTTGACTTAGCCGAGGTAATACCAGCTCGCTATAGTAGAAGACTATGTACATTGATGGTTTAGAATAAAATTCCCTGTGCAATTACTAGTCAAGTGTTACTCGAAATACAGGAAAACTCCCCAATTTAGACAGACCAAATACACTATGATGAGACGTTCACAGCTAGCAACTCAATTTAACAACCCCACCAGCAGTGCTGCACTATGCAAGAAGAACTCTGTTATAAACCATTCAAACACTGTATCTACGCAGAACTATCTTTGGTCTGCTTCTCCCACATCGACTTGTATATCCCATCATTGGCCAGCAGGTGCTTATGGCGACCCCTCTCCACGATGTGTCCGTGGTGCATAACGATGATCTGATCGGCATCCGTGATTGTTGACAAGCGATGACTATAGATAGAATGTCAACGAACGAAATCCAGGGATTGATGAAGGGGAACGAATGACTTACGCGATAGCAATAGTAGTACGTCCTTTGCAAGCAGTCTTCAAGGAATCTTGAATCAGACGCTCAGTCTGCGAGTCCAACGAGGCAGTCGCCTCATCCAACAACATGATTTGCGGACGCTTGAGTACCGCTCTAGCAATTGCAATCCGCTGTTTCTCACCACCGGAGAGTCTAAGGCCTCGTTCTCCAACGTTGCTGTTGTACCTGTCGGGAAAGCTCATAATCTTCTCATGAATACTGGCGACTTTGCATGCAGCCTGTACCTCCTCGAAAGTGGCATTAGGATTCGAATACTGAACATTGTAGAGGATGCTTTCGTTGAAAAGGATAGTGTCTTGAGGTACGACACTGAAGTGTTGGCGCAAAGTGGCCATGGTAATGTCACGCACATCAACTCCATCGATCTTGACACTACCGCCATCAACCTCGTAGAAGCGAAAGAGAAGCTTGAGAATCGTTGATTTACCGCTGCCGCTCTCACCAACAATAGCGGTCGTGGTACCGGGCAGGACTTCGAAGTTGACATTGTCGAGAGTTGGCTTACGCTTGTCATAAGCGAACTGGACGTTGTTGAAACTGATTCTACCAAAACATGAGTTCATAGGTTTAGCGTTCGGGCTGTCCTGTACTTGAGGCGTGATCTTATACTAGAAGCCGCTGTCAGCTCATGACACGAGCAATGATCTGCAGATTACCTACCAGTGCAAGCATACGTTCAGCGTCTACCATATTATTCTGTACCTGAGTGTAGAAGCTTCCAAAAAAGTTCAACGGCGCTTGAAGCTGAGCCAGGTAGGTCAAAATTGTAACGAACATGGCTACTTTGTAGGTTCCCTCTGAAATTTGGAACGCTGCGAGAAGGCAGGTTAGGAGTACGCCGAGGACGAATATGAAGTTTTGTACTGCATTCAGCACATTTAGTGAGAAGAATACCGAGTACTCCGCTTCCTGGAAGTATTTTACTAGACGCTGGAATTTCGAAAGCTCAAGAGGTAGGGCACTGTTGTGGTGAACAGTTTCGTAGGACATGATAGCGTCAGTTCTACAAAGCGACATTAGCATCAGCACAAAATGGCATATGAGGTCTCTACTGACTTGGCCGCATCCATCTCGCGATCTCTCGTTGCTGCTTCGCGTCTTGCGCGACCACGGTACTTCGCCATGTATATGGTGATAAACAAGTAAAACCACATGACCGCGACAACGATGATGGCGTAGAAGGCGTCTAAGAAAACAAAGAAATATACAGCCGCGACAGCAAGATCAAAAACCATTGGAAACAGCTGGAAGATAAGCCCATCCAGGAAGGTGTTGATTGCGCTGCCTTTACTCAGCGCGCTGATGACTTCGCCAACACGTTTGCTCAAGTGGAAGTCTAGCGAAAGTTTCATAACATGCTCAAATGCGGCGACAGTAAGTCTGCGGTAGGCGGACTGGCTGATGGGGATCCACAAGATGGCGCGTATCGATCCTAGGACACCCTGTTGTCCCTGCAAACTGCGGTAAACCACATACAACATGATGTCTCTCAGCGGCAAATTTCCTTTGCCCAGATGTTCGACTAGAATACCAAGTTGGTGTGGTACCATGATGTTAATAAATCGCTGGGCTACTAGTAAACCAAAACAGAAGACAGCCCAGGTTTGCAAAATAACGTCATCGGAAGGCCTTTTATACGTTAGTCACTTTACCTTGTACGTATTGCAAGATTGAAGGCTTACCAGAGATATGGGATTAGATCACGGAATCCAGCTAGGTAGTCGAAAGCCGACACGGTTTGTGCATCCTTAGAACTTGGCGACGCGGTCGCTGGTGTAGAGCCGTAGTGAACGCTTTGCTCAGGGCTGAGAAGAGATTCAGTTTCGCTATCCGAATTCGCATCATCCATTCTACGCCGGCTGAAAACAAAAAGTATCGCCATCAAGCTAAGGATCACAAGTCGAGCGGCTCCTAGCGCTTCGCATGAAATCTCTAGCGCATTCTGGCGTCCATTATTCAAATTGTTGGCACTGATGAAGCAAATGATGAGGATGGCTGCCTCGTATACAATGCTCAGTAGCCATGTTTGAAAATTCGCGTTGTTTGGGGAGTAAGGAATGTCAGGGTCGGGAAGAAGAGAGCTGCAAAAAATCAACAAGATAGAAATAATCGCGCCCTATGGGTACGTGTTAGATAACGGTTTTATATTCCAATGATCTTTCTTCGTACCAGATAAGCCTCGCTGCTAAATAGTAAGTCGGATTTGTGTTTTAGTGATATATATGCGGCAACACCAGTGTTAATAGCCTATCCAATTGACGTGTCAGTAGTATTCAAACTTAGCCTTGAGATACAAACTTACAAGAAGAAGAGCTAGTATGCAATGAAGTAAAAGTAAAGACTTATTCGCTCGCTCTATGCGACGACGATTAAGCAATTTGTTTGTAGGTTCATCTTTTTTGTACAAGGCCTCATAGGAGTTGGCACCGAGAGATACCAAGCCAAAAGCGACCGGATACGACCAAAGGACTGTGCTAGCAAATATGGGCCCCATATTATGGGGGGAAAAGAAGAAAAAGTGTTCAGCGTGAACAAGTAACGATAGCGAATGAATGTCAAGGACGAGATATGAGTAGAAGCATTGTCTAGTAGGATGCGAACGGTATTCACGTGATCATAGGAATGATAAACTAGCTGCGGTGCTACGATCGAAGCTCGGACTTGCTTGCGGCATTAGTTTGGTCGCAACGTTAGGCCGTTCTGTCATCGGCTTCCAACAATGGAAGCTCGGTAACCGAGCTTTCCTATTCCCAACACGGAGAATCACTCACACCATGCACAATAACTTTCCAAAATGGGATGTGTATTTTCATAAGCACAGTGAATAGCGTGGGTTTAGTTCCTGTATAAGCTATCTCTGTTTAAAACAAGATAAGTTTTAATTACCAATGGTTGGTGCAAACTCTAAAATTCTGCTCACAGCCGGGCGACTCAACATGCGATCAGACCACTCTTTGATCTTTGGCCAATCTTCGATTTTGACCTTCATGAATTCGAACATGTAGGGCATAGCGAAGGGTAAATATGCTAGGTCGGCGACCGTAGGACGATCTTTTAATGCGATGTACGTCTGCTCCGGCTCTGAAAGCCGCTTCTCCATAATGTCCCACTGCTTCAAGACGTTCGCATACAATCTGTAAATTTCTGTCAGATAGATGAATTCATGAAGGATTGAGGTTGGGTTCTCATACTTTTCAATTGTTTTGGGGAGTTTCTCGTCATGAACTGCGTAAAAATACAGCCAATACTTGGATGTTGCTCTGGAAGATGAATAGTCAGTTGGTCAGTGTGTGATAGTGGAACAAGAGTAACGCACCCTAGACCAGCAGTCTGGTACGCAATCCACGATAAAATGTTGCCCTTTTCATGTTGGGTCTTGCCATACCACAATCCTTCCTTGTCATACATCTCAGCGAGATATTGGAGGCAGGCAGTGCTTTCAAATACGATGATCTCTTGCTTTGTGGCTGGGTCTTGATCGTGGATAGTGGGAACATAACGTTCAGGGTGAATACGGTGATACCATTCGTCTTTGGTAACAACCACCGAAATATCGTAATCAATGCCAAGCTCTTCCGCCATCATCAAAACTTTCATGTAATTGATGTATGACGTCTTGGTCGCTACATCGTGGCGTATCAGAACATATAGCAAGCCCTATCTTTGATAGTGCTTACCTTTGACGACATATAGGATCGGCTTTCCCTCGTAGGTGATCTCGCCATACTTGATAACAGGCATTTTGACATCCATGGAACCCATTTTGTGTGATAAGATATGGTTTATTGCCTTCGCTGGTGACTATGTCAAAACAGATAGAATGCAGCTATCTCTTATGGCTTGTGGTTCTATTCTAATCGGCTTCCGACGGTTGATCGTTGGCCTGCTAGCAGTATGAAGGTTCGCAGAGTGATAGATGTCTATTTTATTTATAACAAGTGAGGAAAATCAACACAAAATAAAAGAGGAGACGAAGCTACTTGTTTATGACAAAAATGAGTGAATAATGGGTCGTCATACCTGGATTCAATTTCCTGGAATAAGAACAGAGGGATTGAATTGGAACCCTATCACTATCTAGGTAGATATCTCGGGCACCGATGGGATATCTTCACAGTTTTTAAATCAAAGTTCATAATCTCACCTGCTATATCATTTCCCACGAGCGATTCCTTCTATCATTCGATTACATTCTGCAGTCGTTGAATGTCGCCCTTGGTGTCCTTCGAACTCATCTCGTGAAGTCGTGTCCAACAGTTGTCTTGTTTCCGATACATTGGTTTCGTCTGATTGCCTATGTTACTCGATAATCTCTCGAGTGTTGGTCTGTTAGAGCCAAAACACCTGGCGTGGGGGCTCAGCATTACCACTCTATTCACCGTCGCACTGCTCAAAGCCATTTCTCTCTCCCAGAATGTACTTGTAAACCTGATTTCAAGTATCTTGAATGTACGTATTACCTTCAAGGAAGAACCTCAATGTGCGCAAGTTGAAAAGTAGCAGTGGTACCTACACTGGAGGTATCCAATCAAAGATGTAGATGGCACCAAGAATCTACCGTCACTGCCATATGTATGGCCGAACGGTAATGGAGATGCAGCAAAGTTCCTCCAAGGCCGTGAAAATGGGGAGGAATGGCGAAAGAAACTAGGGTCTACTTACAGAATCTGGTCTGGATCTACTCCTGAAGTGTGGGTATCCCTCCTTCGCACAGAGTAAAGATAACTAACAAGTGTTCACAGAGTGATATCTGAGCCAGAGCACCTAAAAGAACTCTTTAAGGACTCTGATCAGCACTACAAAGCCGTCAACAACGACTCCGGATATCTGATGAGCCAGCTCTTGGGCCAATGTGTTGGTTTGCTCAGCCGAAAATCTTGGCAAAGTCTCCGATCCCAGGTGGAAGGGCCATTCACCCATGTCGCCATTGCCAATGATGCAGCCCTCATCCGTGCGCAAACGCGAAAGTTTGTTGAACAATTGAGCAACACTGGAGATTTCCGCAACGGCATTTTTGACCCAGCCAAGGATATCAACTTTTATCCTTTCTTTGTTGTCGCTACTTTATTGTACGGTGACCTCGATGCAGAAGACGTTCAATGGTTGAGGAAGATTGCACCTTTGCGCCAGAAACTATTTACATATGTGATCAGTGGCGGTTTGGCTCGTTTCTCAGTATCCCGGTTCCTTCCCACAACGGCAAATAGGCTACTGCATGAATTCCAGCAGGAGTGGTCATGTTTCAACGAATCCATCTACGAAAAGGCTAAAGCTAGGGGTGATATAACGCCCATGACCAAGCTATGGGAAGACAGCAAGGAGGGCAGGATAGACCAGGTACAGGTAAGGGTAAAAGTTATAGACTCCTATGGCAGGATATCTGACTCTTGGATCTTGTACCAGCTACTTCAAACTCTCGATGAGTCTCTATTTGCAAACCTCGACGTAACTACAGGCGCTATCTCATGGAACTTCATCTATCTCGCCTCCTCCCCCAACGACCAGGCAAGATTAGTAGAAGAAATCAAGAGGGAGTGTGGTCCAGATGACATTCATTGGGACGCATATATTGCTCGAAGCGATACCTTCCTAGCATCCTGTATCAACGAATCTTCTCGCCTGCGGCCAGTCGCACGTATGTTTATCAGCAGTAAAAATGTCTAGGATTATTTGCTAACCACGTTAGCGTTTTCTATTCCGCAAGCTCCCCCAACAAATCGCAGGATTGGCAAATGGATGCTTCCAGGCCGAGTAAGTACCTAAACGATGGCGGCGGATATAAGGTGTTAACTGGATGCTCAGACAATGATCATTGTTGATTCGTACGGACTAAACATTCGCAATCCCTTTTGGGGAGAAAAGAGCCAAGAATGGATACCATCCCGATTCCTAAACATCAAACCCAGCCAGGTAAGTATATCAGTTTACAACTTCGTTTAGTACATCGGAGTGATTTCTAACGTTGATTGTTTAGTTACGATACAATATGTGGCGTTTTGGATTTGGCCCACGGCAATGTATGGGAAAATTTGTTGCTGATCGCATGCTTCGGAGCATAGTCGCTAGCATCATTAGAGACTGGCAGTTGCAGCTCAGGCCAGAAGATGCTAATACGGACTTTACAGTAAACCCTGATGAATGGATTACACATCCTGACATTCGTCTCATTTGCAAGATACGGTAAGAATAATGGAGCGAACTATCTGAATCTATAGTCATTCGTTTTAGACGCTGAGAAATTGTCGAAATAAATAGTTTTTGGGATATGCTGTGACAATCATGACAATATGTGTAAGGTTTTATCGTCTTATTACGGATCGTTGAAGTCTCTCAGCTATAAATATCAAAGTTTTTCATAATTCAATCAACTGTTGTGGTTCTTACATACACAGATCCCCTGATACGAGAGACTGAGACGTAGTTGGCCCTGTAGAACTTCCATCAAATGGTGCCTGCTAGCTGCCAGTAGCATTAAAAAAATGTAGCCTACGCCAGATCCAAGACTAATAAGGTCACGTCTTGTTATGATTTCAAGTGCTATAGAACAAGATAATTAAGTGGCTTAGAGCATACTGAAGTTCTGTATACTAAATATTCCTCCTTGACTACTTGATCATTTTAATATCAATATTTCTCTTTATAAAGGTACCTACCGCGCATATAACTTGGATTCTTACTGAGGTTAACAAAAGGCGGAGAAAATCTTACTATAGTAGTAGTAATAGTAGTAGTAGGATTAGTAGAGCGGGAGAGGTCGAAAATTGATAAGCGAAGTGACTGGGTCGACATACTTCCCAAGTCATATGACGGCTCTCTTCGAGAATTAGTCTCCCAGTAGTCCGAATATCAGTGAACATAGCACACACGATAAGTCTCATCTGCCATCTTACGAAGCTGCACAATATTGGATCCACGGTAAGAGTCATGGACTATGCTGAAGAATCTGCTGAGAATATATGCTAACCAATAAGTAGCTTACTTTGATTCAGTCCAAAGGTAGTAAGAGAAGCCTTGATTGAGCTACTTATACTGACTGATATGGTAGTACTTATCCTATCCTTGACAAGTCAAGCTTTATGGCCGAGTTCCATAGGACTTACGAATATCTTTCCCCGGAGACTGATCCTGTGTGGTGCGCAATGATTAACACCATCCTTGCAATCGGCTGCTGTGTTAATCCTAGCTCAAACAAGGGCCAATACTGTAATCTTTTTATTAATGCTCTAGGACTTTTTGGTAGAGTCGCGCTATCGTTGTGTCCCCTCCGGAAAGTTCAAACTTTGATGCTCATGGTAACAGGTGACCATATCGCCCATGTTTGGATGGCTACTAACACAAACAGTATCTTTTTGTGAGCTCTACTTACTTACCACACTGGGGATATACAGTCCTAGCTTTGGCGGTCAAGGAGGCTCGGGCCATTGGACTGCAAGTACGACCGCGACGGTCATGGCGAATGGACAACGGCGATCTCCGTCAACGTAGCTTAGTGTTCTAGACATTGTACATTTTTGATGCAAGTATTTTTGCTTCGATACTACAACCGATCGCGGTGTGATTGGGATTGCATGTTACCCTCCGACTCGGCCCACATCTTCACAGCCGAGGTAGGATTGGAAAAGGCGCTGAGGAACCTTTTCATCTACAACATTGAGTTGAGTCAAATGCTATAAGCCCTGTCGCGTCTAATGCATACTACTTCCGACAATACGAGTCTAAAGAAGCGTGGCTTGGAATGGGAAGAGAATGTGAGTCAGACCCTAACTCTGCCTAGTCAGCTTATCCATCGCCACTAAAACTTTGTCTAGATTGAAAAGTTGTGTTCAACTGGGGCCTGATTGGAAAATTGATTGGAACTGTGAAACACAACAGTTCGCCAAACTTCCTGACGAGATAAGCCTATCCATTATCGTCTTGAATTGTTTCATATGCTTGGGGCGATATGTCTTCAGAGGCTGGTCGCTTTCGCATAGGCTTATGCTTGACAATAGCAGCGCTGTATCGAAACCCCGCCTCTCGACCGTTGAAATGGCGGATCACACATCAGCCTGTGAAAACGCTGCATCCTTAGTTCGCTTAGTTTCCTCTTTGCGAAAAGATCGCATAAACTTTTACTGGTATAGACCATGCCCAATTACACGATGGTCGTTTGGCTAATTCCTTTCTAGACATCTTGATGAGGTTACCAGTATCTTTTCTGCACATGCTGTTCTTTGGTATTATTATATGGCCGTCATGTAAAAAAGCAGATATTTACATGGAGCTTCTCTCAATTTTTGTCGAGTCGACAGTATATGGCATCGATCGTCCTAATCCACTCATTTTGGACCTGCATTTCACACACTATCTAACATTCTTCACTCGTTGTGCACGTTCCGCGCTTCTACAAGCCAAGATAACAGATAGAGAATGAATAATGTTTTAGCATTCGCCCCTCTAATCTTATTATTTTGGATCGGTCTAAGTAAATCTGGGGCCACTTCAAATCAGACCTTTTCGATAGATGAGTTGAGCATGCTCATATCTCGTATCTTCAAAACGACGATCAACAGGGCTCAGGACGAAAAGCGGTCTCCATTGCATTCTTCCAACAAATATCTGTTCATTGTAGAGACAACTGTTGATGCGAAAGAGGCTTGGGCTAAGGAAGTTGTGTCTCGTTCGAGTGCACTAGCGAGTCTCTGCCCCCCCAGGTTATTTTAATGGTGAGGGAGAGGCACTTGCAGTTTATCAGATGGATGAAGCAACAAAACATAAAGCCGCTCGTGGTTTGACCTGGGGTTTTGGGTTTGTTGACTGGCTCAAGACCACTGATAAGTGGACTGCAAAAAATCCTTTGTCTGGTATCGATTTCAAATTTGCAAAATCGCGAGTTTATATATGCCTTGGGCGTTGTCTTAGTTCTAGGACATAGCTTAGTCTTGCTTGATTTGCTATATAAATTACACATCACGGACTTTCTAATAACATCAACACGGTATATATGTAAAGATTTCTGCTAACACTTGCTAGCCTATTCACATCGGCCTGTCCCTAGCTTAAAGTGATTGTGACGCAACCCGGCTCGGCTCCGCCTAGGCCGGCATGTGCCGAAAAAGGTACAGTATACTGGATAACAGTAACTAAGAGCCTAAGAGGCGAAAAGCTATATACACATGACAGTGATTGATAGCTTTTTTCAATCTGACCTGCTTACAGACCATAAACAGCTCCAATTATTTGAGTTATAATAGCAGGCCATAGTCTCCAAACATCCCCAAAGCTCACTTGTTAGGTCTTACTTACGAAATCCTAAATCTCTGACCCCAAACCTTAACGCCATTATGTACACGAACTACGGGGATATAAAAGGTCAGCCTGCAATTGTCATCATGGAATAACCGTCCTTTGGGTCAGTTTTCGAGCGTTGTCTTGGTACATCCACATTCATGGAGCGTTGCGGCTTGTCAGACACAAGGGCTAATGAGCGATGGCCTGATAATAAGTAGGTCAATATCGCGATGATCCATGCGCGTATGAATGCCTCTCGGCATGGCCTACTGGGAGAACAATCAACCATCAAGAAAGACCCATTAATTCTGACACGGGCATCATATTGAATTTGTCAAACGGCTTAAATATAATCAGACGTTGGGCGTACAGAAAGTTAATATCCAGTTTTCTTTTAAGATAAATACTTAAAGAATTTCATCAACGGCCACTCAAGGAGCAGAGTTCTATCACCTCCCAGCAATCCCTCCACTTTGGGCAGCCTCTTGTCTCACGATGTTGCTATCTCCACTCCTCTGCCTTCTTTTTAGCTTCTCCGTTGCTGGAAACTCTGTAACTTCTGAAGATTCAGACATTGATTCTCTGCTTCCACTACAACGAGGTCGCTCATCACATCCGCGATGAAGATGGCGAGCACGCACTCCTACAAGCTACATTGAGGCGAGTAGACGACCGTTTCCGCGCCAATTCGACGGTCCACGAATTACTCGCCCGCGATTTGCAAAACAAGGAAATCAATGCTCGAGCCACGGTTTTTTATAAGCCAGATTTGAATGCGGTGTGCACGCAGAACAGGCTACTAAGGGCACATCCCTACACAATCCGGGATGTATGTATCAGTGCAAGGCAATTCAGTGTACTTTGCGACCCTAATGCCTCAGGCGACGATGTCGTCACAGTGCATGTGCACTGCCAGCCCGACTACTTTTGCGTTACAGTCCTCAAAAACACGCTTCAAATCGTCGACCCAGACAATTTACAGCCTGGCCAAGGCGCGGAGCCAATCCGTCAGAAACGCCTCTATTTCCGACCTTTTCAGATCAAAACAACAGCTGTGGATTTCGTTACCGACTGGTGGACTGCGCCTGGCAAATTCAAAGTCACCTTTGGTCGCATGGCTGTCCTGGGAGATACTGCCGGTGTGCCGTATAAACACAAATTCGAATGGAAGTACATAAAAATCGACGTTGTGGAGCGTTGCGGGAGCTAAAAATATTGAGTCGGAAAATAGTGGCGCAGACCACGAGTACCAACTGTCTTGCAATTACGATGGCGCTGCTGATATGCAGTTTCGAGCGGTCACGGAAGACCTCGACGAGGTTGCTCCTGCCAAGAACCTCATACTGAATGCCTATTTTGGAGCCGCATCTTAAAATGACGTTAATGGAGTTGGTTAGCGTTCAAGCGCTATAGCAATAATAGCCGAAGCTCTGTGGTTAGAGTTCAGTCAAAGGACTGATGATTCGGTGGGGCACGAAGAAAAAATCAACCCAAAATCCATGCGCGGATCCGTATGGACATGCTTTGTCGTGTTGAACACAGTCCCACACTTTGTTGCGCTCTCCAGCCCAGCCTATGCGATGGTGTTTTTATTTAAAATAGGATCTCTCATTGTATGATTTCAGCAGCAAAGCTTATTGTAGTCAATATCTATTAGGCAATCATGCTCCAATATTCTATATTGTGATACGTTATGAAGTACGCATAAGAAATTTGGGGAAAAAAGGGTATGCATCATTAGATTTCATTACATGAAGCTTACGAGCATGGACCTTCTCATCAACGAACTTGCTCTCGATAAGGGAATCATGATAGCCCTCTTCATTTCTTCAACGTTCGTAGCAAAGGAGCGATTCTCGCTCGTTTACTTAAGCCCACACGGTACGGCACTTTGCCTTTGGTCATGGACGAAGGAGTTATGGGCTTCGCTGACTTTTCTGGTGTCTCTGACGTCGGAGCTGGATCGAGTTTGGTTGGGACCTTGACTCGTTCTGTGTCCTGAGAAATCACTGGTTCCACCGGTTGTGGCTCGTCTGGTGTGATGTCTGAGCTTGGGTCGATCTTCTCGGTGGCCAGTTTCTGTTCTATTGGTTGTAGAGATCCACTAGGCTGCCCCTCTTTTTCTTCTTGTTCACGAGGTACGATGGGTCCGATGGCGTCAGAAGTGGTAGGCGTTTTCTTTGGACGACCTCGACCTCTCTTCTTCTCATTCACCGGCGCCGGTACAGGGACTAACAATGAGAATGATTCGGATTCCGTCTGGTCTAGCGTAATTCTCTTACGTTTTGACTTCTTACTCGACACATTTATAGCGTCTTCTGCTCGTGCAACGGCAGCTTTGGGCGACTTCTTTGGTATCACTACTTGCACTTTTGTCGGACTCATGTTCTGATCTGTTTCTGAGCGCTTATTTGGGTTTGAGGTTTCCGCGACAGTGTTTACGTCTATAAGATCCGTGGTAGAACTATCTGCGTCAGGTCCTGCTGCCTGACCATGTTCCGCAGTCTCACAATCGTCTCGACGATACTCATCCAGATTGCGCATTATGCCTTGGACAGTCTGCACGTCGACTACCTCAGGCTCGCCTTCTTCTCTTGGTTTTGGCATCGGCTTAGGTGGACTTTGTGGTGCTAGCTCGTCATGGCCGATATTGTTAGTAACTAGCCAATCGACAGTCTGAATGATGTCACCGTTGTTACGTCTCAGAGCTCTGGCAGTCGTCGAAGGCGTGAAGCCCATATCGCATATTTGCCGTACTTTCTCGGGTGTCGTGATTGCGTTGGCAGCGCGCATGTCAGCTGTTGTTCTTCGACGTTTGCTGAGCTTTGCAGCTTTCTCAGGTCGGACGGAGTAGTCAATTGGCTCTTCAGTGTCGACCTTGAGTGACCTTGAGCGACTGGGCCTTGGCTTGTATCGCTCCTGGAGGAGTCCAATTGCGGACAGTTCGTCATCAGAGCTTGGAGGCGCCCGGCTCTTGTGTAGGCGAGGCGATATCTTTGCTTCCGCTTGATCATTTGTATGAGATTCTGGTCGTGGGGTTGGTGTTTTCATGGATATCAGTGGGGAGTTCGTCTTGGAGACTACTGGTTCACCATCTGCGGTATGTCCCTCAAAACTAGAACAGTCGTTCTTCGATGGATTTTGATTCGGTTGAGATGAGGATGCACATTTGCTCCGCTGCGTCGCCGGCCATCCGGGACTTTTCTGTATAGCCACAACAGGCGCGCCCAATGAGGCGTGAGGTGGTGATTCACGACACGGGGATTCAGTCTGCTCAGTTTCTTCTGCAGGTGTGAACCTCATCAGATCTGACCAAGGTACTGATGGTTCAGGTGGAAGATGATGGCGAAGCTCCCCAGTTTCGGGCTCCTGTCCTAGCATTACTGGGGCATTGACAGCTTCCAAGACACGCTGTTGCGTCATGGTGGCGTTTGGGATGGTACTTGATGGTTCACCAAACATAATGGGCTCATGGTCAGCATATTCGTTGCGCATGGTGCCTTCTAATTGCCAGACAGCTTCGTCGAAATTCGCAGGTCCATGGCCGTTTACAAGTTGGCCGGGAGATTCCGTCTTCCTTCTCTTGTTTGGATGCTCTGGTAAGGAAACCGAAGACTGTGGTTCATCTTGGCTGGGCAAGGGCCGTAGATGGATGGACAATGATTCTTTACTGGTACTATCAAGTGAATCTACAGCAATGGTTAATATTGTCACGGGATATGGTTGCAGAAGCATATTGACCCTACCAGTGGCACCCGTGCTTTCGGCGTGAAGATTACTGGGCCGCTGACCGGAGGCGTCTGGCGGCTGCGATGGTGGCAGGTCGGCCTCGAGGTCTTCATCCAGCTCGTCGTCTGAATCCTGGACTATGCGTGCCATTTTGAATCATTTCCCGGGTGTTGCAACAAATGGGGTTAACGGTCAGGTGGAGTCGTGTTCGCGTCGCCGCGTCGGGCACGCGCTATCACGGGTGCGGCTAGGACGCTAGTGGCGGTGGGAACCTGCTGCTTTGGGCGGGCGCCATTAACTCTACGAAAGCCGCGACTAGGCTTGACTTTCCCACCACCATTGTTCTCCACCCATGGATAGATTCGCCTCTAGCTCGGGCGATACCAGCGATGCCGCGAATAACTCGCGCTTCACTTCGCAGGCTGCCACGGCAGAAGATCTCCTCAAAGCGCAAACCGTTGGTCTTGTGAACCTAAATGACTACCGCAAGCGACGCGCCGAGGCCTTGGACAGGAAAGAACGAGGTGACACAGGGCTTGACTCTGGTGCCAGCACACCGATAGATGGGTAGGGGGGCATTTGCTATCTAGTCACGGAAAGTTGGCTAATTTACAAAGTACAGGGCATCGACACCAAAGCCAGTCTTCAAGAAGAAGCGCAAGGTAGCCACCAAGGGCAAGCTGTCGTTTGGCACAGAAGAAGAAAATGACACCGACTCTACTGTCTCCAAGACGGCCAGTCCGCGCCAAAGCACACCTACCGATCCGACTGGTGTAAAATCTGAAGCAGAAAGCAGTGTAGTGAAGAAGAAGCTGGGCGCAAACTCAAACATTGGCCTGAAGCCTCGCGTCATGACCAAGACGGCACTCCAGCGCGAGGCGCAGCAGGCAGAGCTTGCACGGCAGGACTTTGTTGTGATGCGCGATGCGGTCAAGGCCACCGAAGTGGTTATTCCATTTGTCTTTTACGACGGCACCAACATACCAGGCGGGCGATGCAGGCTGAAGAAGGGGGAGCAGATCTGGCTGTTCTTGGACAAGGCGAGGAAGGTGGGGGCAGAGCTAGGTGTGGGTGGAGACAAGAGCCGGAGGGACTGGGCTAGGGTCAGTGTAGACGACTTGATGCTGGTAAGGGGAGAGATCATTATACCACACGTAAGTTGGCCATGTGTCTGTGCTCGTGTTCCATGACTGACACTAGAGGCAGCATTACGAAATCTACCACTTCCTGTTCAACCGGGTTGCCGGGCTTGACGGACCCCTCTTCGACTACTCGGCACAACCCACCAAGGCCACTCCCAGAGTGACGACGGAGGTCGACGAAGAGGCCGACGTCGATCCGGCCACGTACGACCCACTGCTGCAGCCGGGCAAGAAGAAGAGCAAAGAGTCGAGCATAGCAGACGAGGAGCTCGAGGGATTTGGGGACGATGCGACGCTGACCAAGGTGGTTGATAGACGGTGGTACGAACGCAATAAACACATCTTCCCTGCGAGCGCGTGGACAGAATATGCGCCGGACAAGGACCTATCCAAGATGCAGCGCAAGGACGCACAGGGGAACGCCTTCTTCTTCTCGTGAGACGAGACAAGGCGAGTAGAGTGCTGGTGTTCACATGACTGAGCGCGGACTTGAGCACGGATGCAGATGCAGATGGGGATGCGGAGGCGAGGGTGCGTAGACAAGAGGAGTAAGTAAATAGTACTTAGGAGTATTAGTAGGACATGACATGGGAGGGAAAAGAAGGGTCCAGTGGCCCAGGCACTAAGTATGCAGTCGTGGGCCGCTGCTAAACGACTCGGAAAAGGGTCCGCGTGCATGACTTGCGGGCCAATTGCGGGGAGGCCATGCAAAAACCATCAATACAACGCCCGTTGTCTCCACCACGCTGTATCGTCTTAAAGCCATGTGATTCAGGCTCGAGCTTCCCTTGCCACCATCCGCGACGCATCTGCCATGCATACCGCTACAAAGAGGCCATGGCGTTCTCACTTGCTCTTGCTCACGTCCGTCCACACATACCAAGGGAGCGTCATCTGCTCTTGGACCAGACGATAAACCCAATCAAGCTCGTCCCAAAGCATCTAGATCCGCCAGCCCCCTGGCGCCACGGTCAAGCCCGTGGCCGCTTAAGATGCCTTTGACGAGCTGACAAACATACACCGCCGTGATCCGCCGACGCAGCATGCACGCCAGGCGTTGGTGCGCTGATGCATGGATGCACTATGATGCGGCAACCAACGGGGTGGGGGGGGAGGGGGGGGCCCAGTTTCCACCAGCAAACAGAAGCTTGGGAGAAGAGTATAAATTCATCAATCACCCTGCGGCTGCTTGCGGCGTGCGAGCAAAAGCTTAGGACAAAGCGACTCCATCTGAACTCCACCCTCACACGTCATCGCAGACCCTGACGGCGCACGAACCACTCCTTCTCCCAGCTCCAGCTCAACCATCTTCTTTTGCTTGCGCATACACACACATACTACGCCTACAACAGCTTCCTTTTCGCACTCCGACAACACTGCCCAGCGATTCTCCCGCTACAGTGTACTTTCCCTTGCCCTCGAGCTGCGGCTTTCCCTTTCTTTTTGACAGTCCGTTTAACCATGCTGCAGGCGCGATTTGATCGGGCCCCGTCTCCTCCAATGAGGATGGTCGCCTCGAGCACACCCTAAAGAGTCCTTGATTAACGCGTTGACTGCGCCGGTCGCATGCTACCCGCCCTTTGCTATCTGTCTTGCTCATCGTTTCATTGTTGCCACTATATTTCCTAGCTTTTGCTACCCCTCCTGCTGCGCGGCCAATTCGCAACTGCTTGTGGAGCTGCTCTCGTTCCTCAGCGTCAGCCTCTGTTTGGTAACACATACCCGCTGACCATCACTCGAGTGCCAAGATGAAGTTTGGACATAACCTGCCTAGGAACCAGGTTCCAGAATGGGCGTCCTCGTACATCAACTACAAAGGCCTCAAGAAGCTGATCAAGAATGCCGCTGAAGCCTCCAAAAACGGCTCGGATCCAGATCTCACAGGTCAGTCTGAAAGCTCATAAGCCTGTATTCTATATGTCTATATATTGTTTTTAAGGTGTTTCAGCACCTCTCAGTCGTCTATTCGGAGAGCATCGTACGGCGCATGCAAGGATCGGATGACTAACAGCAATCTACAGAGTTCTTCTTCTCTCTTGATCGTAACCTCGAAGATGTCGACAACTTCTACAACCGAAAGTATGCAGAGTTTTCCCGGCGCCTTAGAATCCTTCATGGCCGCTATGGCCGGGCCGCTCAGTTGCCCGAAGGTATCGATAAAGACGAGGCACAAGACCTCATGGGCGCACTGCTTGAGCTGCGAGGCTCAATGCGAAAGCTTCAGTGGTACGGAGAAGTCAATCGGAGGGGTTTCAACAAAATCACCAAGAAGTTGGACAAGAAGATCAAAACAGTGTGTTTGCAAGAGCCCTACCTGGCCTCCAAGGTTAACCCAAAGCCTTTTGCGCACAATCTGCCGCTCAACCAAGACATGAAGGCTGTCAATGAATGGTTGTCAGGATTGGGTGATATCAAGACTTTTGATGACACGGGCTCTACACATTCTGCGGGCTCCCTAGGTCGAGTGCCGGGTCGTTCGCTACACCTGCCATCCGGCCTACTCGATGCGGCAGACTTGGCTATTCGTAATGACAAGGCGGAAGACCTCGGCCAACGAATTGCCGAAGCTGCTGCCAACAACGGCATCACCAGCTCTTCAATGCAGCAGGTTTTGCTGAACTTCCTTCAGCGCTCCATTTCATGCCGTTCCAAACAATGCATCAAGAGATTGTTGCAGGATATCATTTCGTTGGATGAAGATGACGACATCAACAAACGCAATTGTATCCACCGACTAGTCATCAACATTGGCCGTTCAAAGAGCGGTGAAACATTTGGCGCCGACGGAACTCGGCAACCAAGTTTAAATGAAGCAGGAAACTTCATAGTGCCCGCTACTGACCCTAACCGGCAACCTCGTCCTTGTACGACTACTGAAGAAGAGTCAACCCAGCTACTAAGCGAGAACGACGAGTCCGTGCGCCTACTCATTTATCTGCTGGACGAGCTGCGTGATGAGCAACGCAGTGCACTTCAAGCTCGTGATTCCTATGGAAGGCTTCCGCTTCATTATGCCGCTCAATATGGCTTCGTAGTCATCTGTCAGGTTGTCATAAAACATATGCAGGACTGGGGCCAGTTCGACGTTGCACAAGGCATAGACTCTCCAGATTGGCAGGACACTGACGGTAATGCACCCCTGCATCTCAGTGTGATGGGCGGGCATGTCCTCACCACCAAAACTCTTCTTGAGGCAGAGAATTGGCGGGGAACACATGAGCAAAGACGTGCGTCGAGGAAGTCTAGTGCTCGCTCAGGAGCAGTTCTGTCTTTGGCGACTCGATCAAATTTTGTTGGTATTGTCAAGCTCCTAGTTGAGGCCGACGTCGATGTCAACTACCAGGATGAGGGCGGTGAGACTGCCTTGCATATGGCAGCGCGCTACGGCTATGCCGAATGTGCCAAAGTTCTGCTGGAGGGCTCTAACACAAACAAAGCTGAGGTTGATGTTCCCGAAAAGACGTTTGCTTGGACGCCATTGTTCATTGCCTGTGTCGATGATCATCTCTCAATAGTTGAGCTTTTAGCCGCTGCTGGAGCTAATTTACACAGATGCGACAACTCCGGCTGGACAGCGAAAGAGCATGCTGCACTTCGTGGCCATATACAAATTGCAGAACGGCTGTGCGAGCTTGCCCCCACAACAGTCTCGTCTCGTGTGGTACCCACAGATACACGGATTTCTCGGGCTGGTTCACCCCCTCAGAATTCGCTTGATGAAAGAAGGTCGAAGAATTTGAATCGAGACACAAGCAGCCCTGTTCAGAAGGTCCCTGAGCCGGTGAAAACCTTTGGTCATCGTTATCTGACGAATGAAACAATGGTGTTGGTTAGCCTTGGTTCGATGGATGTTCGCAAAGACACGCCGGCGGTCAAGCTTGACGATATTCCACTTGCGGATGCGCATGCAACACAACTAGACACTGCTTTGTCTGTGGTTGTGCAAGCATCTGGAGCCAAAGGAGAACCCACAGTGATTGATTTGCCCATCCAAGATAATATCGCCACAGAGCCCATTACGTTTATGACCAGCGATATCACCAAGGTTAAACTTTTGTTCGACATTGTCCCAACCTATGCCGGAACACATGAACGCTCGATGGGCCGGGCTGTGGCTTTACTGTCTACAATCAAAACCAGCATTGGATCAAAGCGAATTCCACTCCAAGGAGATATGAAGGTACCTATTGTGGCAGCCTCGACGCTGGATGTTATTGGAACGGTCAACTTCAATTTTCTCATCATCACACCCTTCCATCATCCAAACATGTCGATCACAGAGCAGCACACCTACTGGAAGAAGATGGCTTCATCGACCATGGTCATTGGCCATCGTGGTCTTGGCAAGAACACGGCATCTCGTACATCACTACAACTCGGCGAGAACACTATTCAATCCTTCATCTCAGCTGCTAATCTGGGCGCGGAGTATGTTGAATTTGATGTCCAACTGACAAAGGACCATGTACCGGTCATCTATCATGACTTTCTTGTCAGTGAGACAGGTATTGACGCGCCTGTACATACCCTTACTCTGGACCAGTTCCTCCACATCGGTGAAGGCTCGAATCCTCGCTATGCTCGCACAGGGTCCCCAGATAGAACTCCTCATCTCAGCAGTGCTGAAGATGACCGTCCCAATGTGAGAAGGCCTAGATCTTACTCCGTTGATATCTCGAAGCAACGTAATATCCATACCGACCGCGCTGAGGAGCTGACGGAGCGAATGAAGCATACCCGTGATTTCAAGAAGAAAGGATTCAAGGGAAACAGCCGCGGATATTCCATCCAGTCATCATTTACAACTCTGGAACGAATGTTTGACGAAGTACCACAATCAGTTGGATTCAATATCGAGATGAAGTACCCCATGCTTCACGAGTCGGAAGAGGAGGAAATGGACCAATATGCGGTAGAGCTGAATTCCTTCGTCGACACAATCTTGGAAAAGGTCTACGACAAAATGGGGGAACGCAACATCATCTTCTCATCCTTCAACCCAGACATCTGCCTCATGCTATCCTTTAAGCAACCCTCGATTCCTGTTTTGTTCCTCACAGATGCCGGAACATCACCAGTAGGAGATGTTCGGGCTGCAAGCTTGCAGGAGGCGATCCGCTTTGCTAGTCGTTGGAACTTGCTCGGAGTAGTCAGCGCCGCTACACCGCTCGTCATGTGCCCTAGACTTGTCAAAGTAGTCAAGGAAAGTGGCCTTGTCTGCGTGAGCTACGGAATGCTGAACAACGATCCCAAGAATGTTTTGGTAAGTAAACACATCGCCCCTATTCTATGTTACGCACATGGCTAACGGGAAATAGTTGCAACGAAACGAAGGCATCGATGCCGTCATCGTTGACAGTGTGCTCCGAGTCCGCCAGGGACTCCAGGCTCCTAACCAGGAGCATACGGGTGTTAGTGAGAATGACGCAACATCCCTGGCTGTTCCGTCCGAGTCTGTTCCTTCTATCAAAGAGGGCAGTGAGGCACAGGAGAATGGGGCGAATGGTACCAACGGCACCAACGGAATTAACGGGACTCACGCTGTCAATGGCACAGCGCATGAGCAAATAGTGGCATAGGAACTCTTTTTTCCTAGAATTAATTCGCACCAAAGGCAGCTAGCGTTAGATTTGTTCAGTATTTTAGTGGCAATGTGCGGGTGAGCAGGGTAGTCCCTTCACCAAAGCACCTCACGTATGCATGAAGATGGGCCGTGTGCTGAGTCCCATGTTTTTGTAGTCGT